ACCAGGAAGTAGGCCTTAGAGGGGGGCGTGGTCTGTAACGGCAGCTATGTATTTCTGGCTAGGTGATGAACTGGAACGAGGGAAGGAGGTATTGTGCAGTGGAATTAGGATTTGTAATGGCGATTTCTGTTATGTTCTTTTGGTTTCTGTTACGTGAAGGTATTAGTCATCGTTGGATTATGGATGGATATATAAGGGGGTATTGTCTCGTGCTTTTGTCTGTTTTCCTTCTTCTTTTCTTTCCTTAAGTAACCTCTGTATTTATTCCACGAATACTATTCTTTGTCCACACTACGTCATAGGGCTCCAACCGGTTTATCATACCAGGTAGAGCCACCTCATAGTCCATAGTCAAAGTATACCTTTACGTCTACGTCCACGTCTACGTCAATACCTCGGTTGTATTCCTTGGCACCACAGTCTATCGCCTATATTCCCCGTGATACTGCCGATGCAGTTGAACCTAGTCCAAATGTTGTGAACAGTGCTTTTTGGAACACCAAAAACTTCGGAAATATGTCGGACTGTGACACCACACTGTCTGGCACCAATGATCATCCAACGGGTAGCCTCTGACAGTTCTCGCCTACTTGCATTGAGTTGTTTGGAGGAAGGATTGTGGGGAGGTGCCATGGTTGATGAATCACGGATGCCACGGTTGATGAGGAGCGGAAGCGTTGTCCCATAATTTCTGAATAAGAACTATACAAAATCAAAAATATGACTCAAATCATGACTTTAAAAGTTAGATCGCACACACCTGAAGGATGGACTTAAAATTCTGGAATTCTTTGGGCTCCGTCTTGAGATAATTTCCAACTGTCCTTAAAACTTTGAAATTTTTTGGATGAGCTTGGGTGGTTGCTTTGGGTAGCTAAACATGGCTACTTTGGCTGTAAAAAGGGTATATTACCAAAACTTCTGTTCTAGTACTATCCCCTGCGTCGTAGTTGGTTGATTTGACTGACTCGAGTCAGTGAATTATAATTCACAGTACTTATGCACTACTGCTAACTACATTAACACAATATCTGAGAAGAGCCCTACGAGTCTGAGAACAGGATATAGAAATCAAACCCTTCTGTATGTAATTGGCTTGTAGGCGCAGCCTAATTCACTATGTTTCACTAATTACAGTATTTTGAGACTTGCCAGATTTCACTGACTCTAGTCAGGCAAAATCTACGATCCAGGGGATATGAGGTATGTATACACGTACTTTTACACGATAACCCAGTATGCCTGGAGATCTACTATAGATCTAGAGAGCTCTTACACCTTGCGTTAAAGCATATATAGATATGTACATGTACATGTAGTAGAAAATACTCACAGCCCTGCTTATATATATCGCAGCTGATACGACATCACATGCTTACCGCGCGTGGCCAGTAAGCATGCTTCTTAAAACCTATATACTTGAAGGTTAAGTACATGTATACTTAAGTGATCAGTCCAAAAGACAGAGTGAAAGTAATTAGCCCGAGGAATCTCAATGTTGGTAATAGTAGTCTACGTCTACTTAAAGTACAATGTAGTTCTGAGAATTGATTATATCTTCAGGGAGTAATGTGGATACATGTAGGTAGGATAAATACTTTTATAATGAGGTACACTTGTATTTATGCGTTATTTTAGGTACATGTCTAGAGTGAGTATACATGTAGTGATTGAAGGGATCTCAGTATTGAGGTGTTCTTAAGCCGGTGCGGGATGCGTTGCGTGCATCTACTTGGCTTCCATTACATATATGTTTTGACCTTGCAATAGTAAAGTGAAAACCAATAGAGTAGGTGGGCAGGTCTCCGGTATAAAATTCTAATTACGCTGCAGCACCCAGTCAATGTTGTTTTTGCAGTCTTTGCTATCTGTTATCAGTACTGTGTCAAAATAATGAGTTTATGTAGTTATCTTGATGATACGACCTAACCAACACTTAAAGCCCGTTCAGCAAAAGTCCAAAATGGCGTTTACAGGGTTAAAAACTCCGTTTCAATGACCTTTTGTTAGGTATATGTATTGATCTTGAAAACTCTGTTTTGTCTTGTTGCCGAATGGGCCCTAATACATGCATATATGTAATCACTCCTACATCCCTGTATCCGAGCAAAGCCTCGAAGATCTCAAAAACCGATAACTCGAAACCGCTGCTCATTATGCATGGACGACTTGGGACTGGCGTTAGGCTAGTCTCAAGAGATCTAGATATCTGTGCATAAATTGCATGTACAGTAGCACTCGCAAATTTCCCCCAATCCTTTCAAATATCGATCACCCAAGTACATGTAACTCCTCCACATCTCCTATATATATACATGTAGTTAGCATCAGCTTGGCTATATCGATATGTGGGGGCTAGGGAGAGAACCTGATCATGATCGTTTTTTACTTTGGTACAGCAACAAACATTTATCTTTTAATTTCTCCCACTGATACCGAAAGTAGTGTTAGCAACAATTCGAATCTTGATTAAACACTCGGACTTTGAAAACAGAGGAAGGGAAAGTTACCCAAGCATGGCGAAAGATCTGATAAAATCTTCATTGCCGAACTTATGACCCCAGGAAGGGATTCTCCCTCTGCATGCATCCTCATCTATACCAACTACTTCCTCCTCGTCCCCAAGTTCTTTACCACCATCTCCCCCTAAAGCTTCCGTACACTGCTCAAATCCCTCAACGTACTCTTCCACTTTTTGGAGGTCCTCGCGCATCTCTTTTTGTATTCTTAATGAATTAGCAAAGGCCTTGTCTGCCTCCTCAATTTTATTCAGTAAAGACGCAAGCCTGCTTCGAGTGTTATCTGAGGGGGATAGCACCTCTCCCTTCCGGAGGGATAGTTTTTTCAGAGGTAGGGGTGCTAGAGGAGGCACCCCCAGCTCCGTATTTGTTAGGGTTGTGGATTGTGTTAACGATGTTAATTATCTGCACAAGGTGTTCAATTTTTAGTTGAACTTCACCAGAAACCCTCCTGACTCTTCCAATTTTCGACTCAAATGCTTTGGTGTAAAACCGGCGGGCCTTTGACTTCTCTGCTAGCCCTCTGTCGAAACCTCTGAATTGGTCGAACAACTTCCCTAGATGGTCTACCTCTGTCTTCAATTGCACGAAGGAGCATGCAACAACGGTTTATTTCTTTTCAATATGCTCAGGCACCATATACTCTACATTTTTTTATCGAAGTTGCCATCTCCATTCGAGACTCGATAGCATATTTCAACAAAGTTCAGATGCATAAAGCGTGTGCGGTTAGTTGAGTCCTTTTTGGGATAAACTATCCACCAGAAATTAATTATCGTTAATTGCATCGAAACAAGGACTGCCCGGATTACTCACGCGCCACTTTCACTGGTGCCAGTTGGTTCTTTGATTACCGAATCTCCAAGGGGAGACCTGGGAGCGAGAGAGAGAAAGAGAAAAAGCGAGGCGAGTAATGTCCCGTAGTCAAAGTCTATATGAACTTGACGCTCCATGTTTGCGACGAACTATCCACTCAAAGTTACTATCGTTTATTACATTAAAATAAAGACTGCTCGGATTACTCATGCGCCACTCTCACTGGTGCCTGTTGGTTTTTGATAACTTTATTTGCGATGGATTTGGCCATCAAATCTCCTAGAGCTATGGAGACCTAGGAGCGAGAGAGAAAGAAAGAGGAAGGGGAATCCGGTAGCTAGAAGGCTGCATGAAGTTAATGAATGAATGAACGTAATATCAACGAGTTAGTCCACTAATTAATCAATCAGCGAACTAACCTGGTCTATACTTCAATATTTAGCAGTGCGTGATCCAAACGATAACTCTAGGGGACAACTGCAGATGACTTCGTCATTTAACACCACTCTCTAAAACGACCACTGTTCAACTAAATAACTATTTACCTAAATGACTCTGGCCTGCTATAAAAGTACCACCACGAGCGGTCTTCTTCTCCTTCAACACCAACACCTCAACACCACCAACACCTCCACGAGAATCACCACCAATGTCTTTACCATCGCCCTCTTCACCCCCATTTGTATCAAGTGAATCACATTAGATCGGTACCCCCTCTGCTCCCCTCTGTTCCCCACATGTCCCACTCTGTTGCCCATTCCCCTATGTTCTCCCTTCTGCTAACTTAGTTTCATCAGTGCTTGCTTGGGGTTACCATCACCATCATTAGTATCAAGGTAGTTCATATCTAGCCCGCTAGTTGGTATGGCCATTACTAATAGGTAGCAACAGGAGTGATGGCAGCAGCAGCAATGGTAACACGAGTAGTAACAGTAGCAGCAGTAGCGTTAGAAATAATAAAATATACATTCACTTATCTCTAAACGACAAAGTCATTTATTAACTGTGGTCATACACACGACGTTGTCATTTAGTCTAAATGACAAAATCATTTTGTCTAATTGATTTTGGCACTTATACTAAATGATTTTACTAAATGTTAAAGTTATTTATATAGTAGCAGAAACCAAGGTGTTTTCGATACCGTAGTGCTACGGCAGTAGTGCGGTATTTGTTAGAATGCCGCATTGCTGGGCCAATACGGAGATAATTCGGCATTCATTGAGGTTAGGATATTTGTAAACTGCCGTAGAACTGCTGCGGCACTACCATAGGAATATTAGACACGCAACTGGCTGCCAGGTTACGGTTAACTGGTTAATTATCGCCTCAGTAATCTTGTCTTGTAGCAGTTCAACACCATGGTTATAGGTACATTTCGACCATCACCACCACATATGTACAGTCGTCACCATCATGATGGCCATAACCAGCTCCGAACTACTGGCAGAACCGTAAATGTGATAGATTGAAATCCCAGAAAGAAAAAAAAATATTTTTAAAAACTAACCCTAACTGGCTCCGAACTACTGGCAGAACCGTACATGTGATGGGTTGGAATCCCAGAAAGAAAGAAAAAAACACTTTTAAAAACTAACCCTAACTGTGGGCCTCTGTATCCTATAGTTTGTTACTAGTGGCATGGTGATAAACCCGACGACACCTTCATCGCTGAGTCGATAACCCCAAGAAGGCCATCCTCCGCATCCCCCGCACCAGCTCCCTCCTTGTCTCCAGGTCCCTCCGCATCCACCGCACCAGCTCCCTCCTCGTCTCCGAGTCCCTCCGCCACCTCCCCTCCAGCTCCCCGAGGGATTCTTCCAATTGCTGGAAGGTTTTGGAAATTTCTTTTTGTATTTTTATTGCATTCTCTAAGGCTTTATTGCCTTCCTCGATCAGATTCCCAAGGGAATCAAGCCTACTTCTAGTACTGCTAGGTCCAGAAAGAGGGGCACCAGCCTCAGCTGCAGAGGAGGTGCCCCCTCCATACTCCAGGGAGTTATTAATGGTATTAACCATAGTTGTCAACTGGATAAGATTATCAATCTTCAGTTGGACTGAGATTGAGGACTTCTTTACTCTCAAAAGTTTTGATTTGAAGGTTTTTGTGTATATTTGATGTGCCTTGGACTTTTCGTTTAGGCCTTTATCAAAACGTTCAAATTGGGTAAATAGTTCCCGTAAACGTTTAATTTCCTTTTCCAATTGTAGGAAAGAGTACGGAATAAGCGTATATCTTTCTGCGATATGTTTAGGCACCATAAAATTTGCCTCTCCTATCGATGCCACCATTATCATTTGAGAATCGATTGTGTGTTTTAGTAGCCTTGTCTCTTCGTCATATGCTTCGTATTCCCTGCACATTTTTCTAACCTCGTCGACTATAAGCATAATCCCTCGGATAGTCAATACAATTCCCGTGACTGAAAGGGGATCCATGTTTGTATTTTGGGTGAGAATTAAGGCCCGTTTGGCTGCCCTTAATGACAGTGGATGAGGTTGGCTAGATGGTTATTGGCAAAAGGCCTACCTACAAAGAGGAGTTAGTGCTGCCATGAAAAGGAAGGGCGGAGTCACAAGCTATGGCTTACCTGCGAAGGGATGAAGATTAATGGTGGGGGCTACTTTGAGGTATTTCGGAGTGATGATTGAGGTGAAGGTGGCGGTACTTTGAAGGATTTCTGAGTGATGATTGAGGTGAAGGTGGCGGTACTTTGAAGGATTTCGGAGTGATGATTGAGGTGAAGGTGGCGGTACTTTGAAGGATTTCGGAGTGACGATTGAGGTAATGGTGGGGGCTACTTTGAAGGATTTCGGAGTGATGATTGAGGTGAAGGTGAGAGCTACTTTAAAAGATTTCAGAGTGATGATTGAGGTGAATTAACCTGTTCCCGGAGCTCGAGCTAGGTCTAATGTTTAATGCATGCACCGTTGCTGTTCGTATACTAACTATTAAGAGGAAAGGTGGTAGGTCGATAGAAAGGTACGTACCAATCAGTTCTCTGAGTCTAGCTTAGGGCGTGTGTGTGATAACTACATGTACATGTATGTATGGACTGTTTTTTTCATTTAACCCTACTTAGTTGGCTGTGGCCTACCTTGCTTTTGATACATACATACAAGTACTTGTACTTTACCGTCCGAACGGGATTTTTTAAACCTTATTTTAGGTTAGTGTGGTCCACGAGGCTGCTCGAGGCGAGTAGAGGCCGCCAAGTGCCTCGAGGTGCCTCTGCCTTGTATGGTTTATGCCTTTGCTTGCTCGTGCAAGGAGGGGTGTTGCCTCGAGGCAGATAATTACTATATTTCGATCTGTCAAAACTGCGTTTTATTGTAATACTGGTATGCAAATGTAGGGATTATACTTATACTTCCAATGTTCCTATCGGAAATATCAACCTCTAGTAGGAGTGGAAATGCATCAATTTTGACGTTTCCCATACAAAAGGTTGCGAGATACACATTATTTGATGCAATAACCGACCTACTCTGTGTTAAAGGCATTCCTGTCCCATTACCGACGAGTTTACTGATGCATTTACAGATGCTTTTACTTGTTAAAGGCATGTTAAATGCAAAATATACGACTTCACTGATGCATTTACCTGTTAAAAAACGACTTTACTCACTGTTTCCGGGGTTTCCTGTTTTCCGCCGGAAAATCAATGTTTTTCTATGAAGCCTCCTCCTCTAGATCTCGAGATAGTTGGTCCCCAAGTAGAATATTTCAATGGGGTCATCAAATGGTATCTGGCATCAATGGGCTTGTAACATTTGGGGAATACAATTTCATTTTGGTGGATGCATTGTTTGGCATATACATGCAGGTAATTCTGGCTTGATCCTCCTGGTATAATAGTAGGATGCTCTGTGATGATTCATTTCATTGGCGGTGGCCTTGGTCAATCATGTGAAGTATCACCGGTGGCCAAAACCTATCCCCCCTTGTGTATACGCCCAAAATGTGTGACAGAAGCGTGACCGGTAAATGCATCAGTGAAGTCGTTGGTAAAGTCATTTTTATTATTTAAAAACGACATTTTATTGTCAGTAAAGTCGTCCGATTTCCCTTAAAACGACTTTCTCTCTGCTAAAATATTGACATTTCCCAGCGAAGATTGGGACCCCAGAAACGACTTTCCCGACGACTTTACTTAATATTCGAGGTACACATTTCCACTCCCCCTAGAGAACCCTACTGAATATATACCACTAATACTATAATTACCTAAACCTCGAGCAGTTAGAGGCGAGCAAGAGGGTTTACCTCGAGTATACTCGCCTTATCGACCCCCATATAGCAATATCTTGAGCTCTCTCGAGGCAGAGACCTCGAGGCGAGGCCTAGAGCGTCAATTCCTCGTAGATCACACTATTTTAGGCTTATAGAAGCATGATATTCGCCTATGTTGACGATATCGTCTTATTTCTTTTTAAAGTCCTTATAAAACTATGGTTTTGATAATAATTAAATATTTTCAGGCTTAACGGGCTTGATCAGTCTTAATTAAGGTATTTTTGAAAAACAAAACTTAATAATGGTTATTCGTTGGATCAGCATGTCGATGGCCTGATAGGTATGCTTTTACACTTATTCGCCATAGTGAATTTCGGAAATGAAGTTTTTATTAATACTGAATTTGGTGTGTGCATCCGTTTAAGACAATCTATTTAACCTGCCTGTACCGCCTACCTGCCTACCTGTCTAGCTTTCTACCTGTCTACCTGCCTATTGACCTAATTCGCTGAATTAGGTGGATTTGGTGCTGTATTCGGTGCTGTATTCGGTCCTGGATTCGGTGCTGGATTTGGTGCTACTAGATTTGCTGCTGCTGCTGTACTCGCTGCTACTGTTGTATTCGCTGATTTGAATATGTTTTAATGATGATGATAATTGAGAAGACGTAGGGGTGATAGAGGAAATATATATATAGGGGTAATATCCCTTCTTGTGTTTTCACGACTGTGAGCTATTAGGCAACTTTTACTCGGTAATGAACCTAACCCATCCCTTCGTCTGTTCCCGGTTGTCACAACTTGCCGGACTGTAGACGGCGTGGTGATATTCGGTATTCTAGCTGTGATTGGATTGTAACGCTGGCAAAAGAGCACAAACGCACTCAAAAAGCGAAAGATCTGCTGAAGCAATGGTGGCGAGCGTTACATTCATACTTCGTAAAGAGGTTCACGGAGTGAGGGTTAGGTCTATTGGTAGAGGATTTACAAGAGATTTTGCTTGACCGGTTTAGCCTCCCCACATAGCGCCCGGTCCTGAATACATAGTAGTAGATGAAAGTCGCCGGAACAGGTTAAACCCCCCCCCCCCCCCAAATAGCGTTTCTCGTGAAAACGAACGAAGGGATATTGTCACGCCAAGGCTTGACAGAGGTAACGGTGCCAGTATTAACTTGTATTTAACTGCCGTCACGTTGCTACTCCTTAACACGACAATCATTATGTACATGCACATCTCACAGATGTATCCCTTCGTTCGTCAGAGTAAAAGCGGAGACATATTAGGCCCACGGCGGCGTGATGATATTCAGAAAATCTAGCTACGTACAGGCTGTGGAGGCACCAGAAAAAGGGATAGGAGGGGTCACAGAAGGTGACTTTACAGCAAAAGGTTCACGGAATATCCCTTCGTCTGTACAGTTTCCGGTAGAATTATTGCGAAAGTCAGAGCTGGAAGAGTGGATTTGTTGGTCTGTGTCCGTAGCAAAAAACCTTTTATGTAAGGGCCAATAGGACCATCGGGTCACGGAGAACCCACTTTCGCAATAATTTTACCGGAAACTGTACATAGGTAGGAGAGGGAGGAGACCTCGCGGTCGCGAGGTGGGCCACTACTAGTCTCTAGCACGCCTAACCCATACTCCGCGAACCACTTTAGGCTCGAAGTCACAGTTTATGACCTCTTTTTCAACAGATCTTTCCACTCCTAAAAGATATCCACTTCCGGTCGCAGTCAGTTATTTTGAAAATCCACTCGGCTTTTTCTTGCGAAAACCTGGTACGAACGAAGGGATAACTCGAAGAGGCGTTTTACTGGCTAGCACTTAAACCTAAATCTCACCCCGGGAACCTGTTTCGCCCTGAAGTCGCCGTTTGTGACTCCTTCTTTACTTGTTCTGGTGAGTCCAATCAAGTCTGTAGAGAGTTAGATTTAATGACTACATAATGATTACGTAGTAATGTGGAAAATTGACACCGCGGGATTTTATCACCGTGGAAAATAATTCAATATTCATGTATCTTTCTTCACCATGTCATCTATTCATCACGAATCACACCCTAATATAATTCTATTTAATAAGGTGATGAGACCCCATCTTCTAATGCCACCAGACTCATTTCAAACCACCTTAACCCAATGGACGAATTCACAACGCCGGTATGCCCTTCTGATATATGTACGCTCACTCCACGCTGACCAAGATGATGAGAAGGATGAGCATTGGCCTATCGAGAATCTTCGCCGTGGCATCAGCATCGCGGACCTGCATGGAAGAATATGTGATGTGCTTATTGAGATCACCGAAAAAGCGTCCTTTAAGTTTGATGATAACTGGCAAGAGTATGTCGAAGCCTTTGTCGAGTTCAAAGAGATACTGGGAAAACGAATCGATAACTATGGCTCGATGAATCCACTTCACAGGGATCTCGTCTGGTACATGCTCTATAACTGGCCGGGGTTCCACGTCTGTAGGTAGATCAAAAATATGGCCGGAGATATACGCCGTGAAGGCACAAAGGCATCTACGCTAACCAACCCTTTTTACTTTTAGTACGACTTTCCCGGATTCTCCGCGTTGAATCACAATCCGCCGTGGACAAGCTAAACTCTGCACTATCGGATCGTCAGTCACTCGAGTCTTTCGATCTCCCCCGATACGGGCTGAAAACAGCCAACAAACACATCCAAAAGGAGGCCGTCAAGGAGGTATATTCGCTAGTCAAAGCCTTCGTTGACGCCTTTGATGAGCAATATGATTTCTTTTGTCATGAGTTCCGCCGAGTCGAGCTTAACGACGGCTTGAGGAGATTGGTCAAAGAGGCTCAGCAAACCGGAACCAGACCTGGAGAAGACTTGAAGAGGCTTGAAGATGAGGCTTGCAAGACAAGAGTCGAAATTAGCAAGCATGCGAAACTAATCGTGACGCCCGGCTACAAATCACCTTTCTCCAAGACTGAAGTGACGGATATACCCTCCGAGGCAAATGATATGCGCTGCCGCAACGTGAATAATCTTTCACGAACCTGTGAATCCTTGAGAAAATCGCTTGCTGAATTCTCGGAAAGGCAGGAGAGAAGGGAGGAGCTCCAGAGGCGCAAGAAAGAGTTGGCTGAGAAAGAGTTGAAAAGGGCGAATGAGGAGCTTTCAGACTCAGTGGAGCTTTTGAGAGACGCGTTTCGAGAAAAGGTTAGCTACTGGTTTAGCACAAAATCCAAGGCACAGAAAATGGAGGAGAGAGAGCGTATTAAGGAAAGAACCCTCATGCATAAAAGGAAATACGCGAAGGGGAAATGAAGGAGGATTGCTTTTCTTGTATATGTTCTATCAATTTCAATTACTTCCCAGTCAGTTTAGATTGGATTGCCGCTGTAAATAATACTCGAGATTTAATTGCATGTACTTTATGGTGCGCCTAGTCTTAAAGGTGATACGGCGTATTTGGAAGTGGAACAATCGTGACTACTGAGCCAATATTCAGTGGGCCTATATCCCCCCTATATGGCATTTCTGCCACAAGTGACACTTTTGGTAGGTATAAATGGGGATAATCCTGTTCCACTCTGTTCATTCTTGGCGCCTTTTACATACAAAAACCCAATTTTTCAATTCCCTAAGGCTTTACAACCATAATAGGTATCAAATATCTGTCAGGCCATCCCGCTCTTCATCATTGCCTCTTGATATCTTTTGTGGTGGTAAAGTTATAAGCGATTGAATTTCTGTCACCTTTAAGATTGGGCGCACCATATGTATCAATTGGGCTGCAATCAATAAGGGAATTTGGAGTCTGGTCGCGGTGGATAGGATAACAGAAGCCTGGTATATATGTATGCATGTATGTACTGCATTGGAACTTTCTCTTAAAATTAATTAGAGAAAATCTTGAATAGAGATGCGTAGCACGATCTGAGTGCATTTTACTAGTTTCAAAATACGGTTACAACTAGTCATAACCGGATCCAAGCAGTTGAATCAAGACATTACATTCAGAATTTTAAAACCAACGTGTATGTAATGGCTAGAGTCTAGGCTGACAAGCCGAAACAAATATCGGATTATACATGATACCGTCTGTGATAGCGCAATATGCGTATAAAGGTACAGTTCAACTCTCCTTAAATGAGCTTAATGCAACCCGAATTCTGCTAGATAGATTCAACTATCCTTGTCTGATACTATATGTAGCTACAATTAATGTAATGAATTTTAAAAACTAGTAATCATCAACGTGTATCGGTCTCTAGGATTCACTACTAGACGGTGCCGAAGGTATTTCCTCACACCCCGGCATCCTACCTGCCGACCCAACCTCACGCACGCTTCCACTTTTCTCTCGGGCTTAATCTACTCCGGGCCACTTCAGATCCATATTCTCATTCTCCCACTCATCGCCCAGTGCAATTTTAGCCGTAGGTATGATGCCGAGCGATATCTTATGACGTAGATCCCATAGCTTCTTCAGTCCGTTCATCAGGTGTTTGCCCTTGACCTCTCCCGACCGACCTTTCACTATCCGCTTCGCTCTTTTGTGGACCCGTTTCCATAGCTGAGCCAAAGCCACGTCATACCACCCGTTATCGCCTGTCTTTATTGAACCGGAGAATCCAAACCAGCGCTCAATTGCCGACCACTCTGCCCACATGTCCAGTTTCTGGTGCCACCTCACCTTGTTATACGGGGGGGTAGTACTTTTGAACATCGCAAAGTCTTTCTTGACAAACTGGATGAGCATGATGATGTAATGCTCGACTACAGTGAGGTGCACGATGTCGTGAGGGTCAAAGACCGGTGAGGCGAGAACGGTGTTCCTGATGTTGATGCAGGTGAAGTGGACAGGGGGGAGCATAGGCGGATGGATCAGTGACGATACATGGCGTCTGAGTTTGCCGAGTTGCCGTATTGAAGTGAGAGTATTGCGGATAGCGACCGCACGATGCGTTCCTTCTCTGAGAAGTTTGAGATGAGTGAAGCATGGGGCATATGCGTGGTGGTCCATTGTGATGCTGGAGGCCTAGGTGAGGGGTAGATGTGGATTAGAATCTTGTATCAATATGAACGGGGAAGATGTATGATTCTTGCTAGATATGCGTACGCTGGGTCATATGATGATGTGTCTATATCGGCCTAGCTGAGGGTGATGATGATGATCATCGACATAAAATGACCATGAGTGTGATGTTTAAGAGTTGTGGGAGAAGGCTCAGTCAGGTTGTCGTAGGCACCAGAGATCGAGATGCATACTTGGTGAATACATCATGTACGTACACACGTATTTTTGGAAACGGTTACCTGGCCTGATTAGCTGTCGTGGCATAACGTTTACTAGTGGCTGAGGAAGTACACACAGACGCGCGCGTGCACGTGGGCTCCGGACAGATACAGCCATGGGAGCAACGGAGGTTCGAGGGAGCCTCATTATTACGTCACCTACAACGGGAACGATAAGACGCTCAACGTGAATTGCAACCATGCAACAGAATTCAACCATTCATCGAATATCACCCGGGCATGATATGTCACTCGTCGCCAAGACTCGCAATGGTGGTATATAAGCATACTAGTGCCGGAAAGGTTTGTGAATTTGTAGCGGGATTCATTAGCAGGATGCTTGATTGCGGTAGAGATTACATGTAGTATACTACATACATGTATTCAAGTCGTGGTAGAGCTTAGTCGGGAAATTGCATGTAGGTATTATACGAGATGGTGAACGATAGTACTTACCTCTTTTTAATTCGTGTAGCTAGATATCTCGGTATACGTAGCCATTATAAACTCCAATTAACTACGACAAACGAAAGATCCTGCTTGTGCCAGGCGATAGACAACCCTTGAGAGCTTTCTCAAAGACCCGAGCCTCAAGGCTACAGGTGTAATCTATTGCCGACAGCCCATGTATATGACTCGATAGATCTAACCTCCAATACAGATAGTTACAGTACGAAAAAACGGGGTGAAATCAGTACTGTATGACTACGGGAGGTCTCAAAAGGGTCCTAGCATGAGTCGATAATCATGCGTCAAAACGAAAAGTCTTTCTGTGGCATGATGAGGCACAGGTAGCTCACCGGCGAAAGGGACTCAAAAAGTACTCGTGGGTTAATTTAACGCGCGAGTAATGTGAAAATTGCGCAGTTGCGAAGAGAAGTATGATTTAGGATCTCTGGAAGACTGCTCATTACTCCAAGTCTTGTTACTTACCTCATCTTCACCCCAGCACACACACCCTTAAACCGAACAATCAGACCTACAATGATAACTATCTTTGAAAAATACCCGAGAAACTCCATCCAAACTCTCACTGTGTGTACCCGCTTTGAAGGTTGTAACGCTTCGCTCATGCCAATACCTTATACCTGGTTCTAGAAGCTAGTATCATGGTTGATGGACAAAATGCGATCCCTCAGCATGCCTGGATCGGAGGATCTCCGGGAGACGATACGGAAGCCCTACAAATCAACATTTGAGTGGGTGGAGGATGACCCCATCATCCATAAATGGATGCGAGATGATTCACAAGTGATTTGGGTATTTGGGGAGCTAGGTTCCGGAAAATTCGTGATTTCTAAGCACCTACTAAGCCGCATATACGAGCTGCACGAGTCAAACCACCCACAAGGTGCCGAAGCTATATTGAGCTTTTTCTTCGATGGCCGTGGAAGCGCTCTGTTGGGATCCGAGGAATTAAGCTTTCCTTCGAGCACTTCTTTACCAGACAATTATATAACCAATGCCAAAACTATGTTCTCTTATGCCGAAAGTTTGATTACGGTTCGAGAAGCTGGGTGCCACTTTTCCTAGATACCTTACGCCAATGCTTCCTTTCGATGCTTGAAAATCCTCGCATCCGGTCGACAAAGCTCATAATTGACGGCTTCGATGAAAGCGCTGAGGACTGTAGAGAGATCAACGCATTCCCGATGCAAAATACAATGGAACACAATTCAAATTCATTACCGAACACAATACCATCAGCACATTACCGATACATTGCCCTAACAGAATCTGGGATGCATTTACGGATTCATTCCTATGGGGTGGTAGAGTGAAATATAAAGATTAAAGCACACAAAGTTCTTCCAGGTGCGGAAAACCTGCATATAACCACCATCCCTTCTCTTTTTTTTTTTTTAAAAAAAATGACATGTTGGGCTGAAAGATTCCAGTCTTTGGTACGTTACATGCTACTTCCTCTTAGAACATTCGCATTTTTTCTCCCCGCTACATGCATCCACCCTCATCCACAATTGTTCCTGATATCCCACGCCCTCCCCGTTTTTGCCTCAAATTGTTTCACCCGCTCTCCATCCGGAATCTACCACACATCCGTTCCCGATCTGCATCCCGAGTGATGCACCATGATTCACTCGTGCCTCGTGGCAAGGGTTAGGGTTTTTCTTACTTTTGCGTTGACTTGGGCTTCGGTGTTTGATGGATGGCGTGAATCCTTAATCATTGATAGAGGGTGCGGTTGCAGGTTTATATGTTGTGGGTTCAAGATAAATCGTCTCCTTGGGGGAAGTGATTCCATTGGTGGTGTTGGTTTATATCATGATGGCGAGTAGTGGGCGGGCAAAAGAAGGGTAAATACATGTGTCTTTGATTCCCACCTAAACTACATGTACATGTATTCTCACCATCCGACGTTGCGCGCCAGTGGCGCTACCCCCCGCTCCGGAGCCGCCGAACCAGACGTTGTCTTAACCTTTGCTTGCCTGGTTACACAAGGACCGTGTATCCCTTCCTGTTCCGGCGCGGCGGGCCCTCGCTTAGGTCTTCCGCTTTGGCGGGTTCGGCGAAGTGCGGTTAAGCTTATCTGGGGACTGAGACATGTTCCTGCGTGGGCCGTGGGGGGGGCGGTGAGTGGCGACTGGGTCGGTTGAAAGATCCGCGTGAGGGGTGGATCTATCTATGGGTGTGGAGTAGGCCTCGGTGGAATCACAGCCGGAGAGATGGGGGGGTGGGGGGGTGGACGTTGTCAATGTAGAAATGGGGCCAGTAGGTATGTAGGGCTTCTCTGGTGTTTCGCCGATAATCTTTCCACTCGATGTAAGAGATTTTTTGTTTGTTACACGGTAACTTCATAGGCACGAGACGAGACGAGACGAATCTTTTGTTTATCATTAACATTGACATCTCGTTTACACAGTACAGTTGTTTGTGTTTGTGTGTTTCTGCCCCTGACTGACATCACCAACTCTCTCCCGTAGGAGCATGTTACATCAGAGCTAGAGGCCAAGGAATCCGAACAACTCAACTCTCCCCAAAAACAACACAGACAACACGCCTAGAGACTAGAGTAAGTAGAGGATGCACATATTCCCTGTTTCTCGCCCTCGTTCCCTGTCCCGCTGGATACTTTAACCCCTTCCGCGCACCCAAGCCGCGCCACACAGCACACCAATCTCCACCGCCCCACCCCCCCACCCAGCCTAACCGCATACCGCACAGCATCCCAGCAAGCCACACCGCCGAGTGGCCACTCATGCGCGATCGTGCACTTTTCCAGCCCGCATCACGGTGGGGAGAATCTGCACCTTTATCAATCAACACACCTCTAGGTAGAGTACGGCAGCGATATCAATGTTAGGGGGTGCACTTATTCCAACATAGAGAGAGAGAGAGAGAGAGAGAGATGTATATATAAACACACACACCTGGCCCCTCCTCGGCCTCCTCAGCTTGCTTGTTGAGTGCGCTAGTAGGTACCGCAGTCGCTCGTTAGCATCTCGCCATGAAGTTCCCGCTCCTCTCGGCCCTCCTCCTGTCGGGAGGCTTCGTCTACGCCCACAATAACGACCACAACAGCCGGTGCGCTAACACCGTCACTCGCACGGTCTGGAACATCCGCACCCGGTATGTATCCTCAATTGATACTCCCGCCATGGCCACCCTGATACCTACCAATGTCAATTGACTAACCAACCCATTCGGCACACAGAAAATTCACCGAGACCTTCACGAAATCAGTCCCCTACACCACAACATCGACTAAATACGTCTCCGGCGACGTCCAGAAGAAAACGTAAGTCCTCCCCCCCGGTGCGCAGCTTCAACTACTGACACGGACAACCCCAGCGTCACGCTCTTCACAAGCACAAAGACGCATGTCGTCTCCACCATCACCAAAGACGGCATCGTCACCACCACGACGCTGACGATGCCCGGCGGGTACTCGACCGTCACAGTGCCCGGTGCCGGCGAGGTTACCACCGTCACTATCCCCGGTGCGGGAGAAATGACCACTGTCACTGTTCCGACGACGGTTGTTGTGCCCGGTGCGGGGGAGGTTACGACTGTTACTGTTCCGACAACGGTGCAGGGCCCAACGTCGACGTCGATAGTAACGGTGCCGGGGGCGGGTGAGGTGACGACGGTGACGGCGCCGACGACTGTCACGATCCCGGGTGCGGGAGAGGTCACCACTGTTACTGTTCCGACGACGTTGACGATTCCTGGGGCGGGTGAAGTTACGACTGTCACTGTTCCGACTACTATGACGGTCCCTGGTGCTGGTGAGGTTACGACTGTCACGATTCCGGGTGCGGGAGAGGTTACGACTGTCACTGTACCCACTACCCTTACTATTCCTGGTGCTGGCGAGGTTACGACTGTCACTGTGCCTACCACCTTGACTATTCCAGGAGCTGGAGAAGTTACGACGGTGACTGGAACTACTACATTGACTATCCCTGGAGCTGGCGAAGTTACTACTGTTACTGTCCCCGGTGCCGGGGAGGTTACGACGGTGACGGGGACTACTACGTTGACTGTTCCTGGTGCTGGTGAGGTTACTACAGTTACTGTGCCCACTACTTTGACTATCCCTGGCGCGGGAGAGGTTACTACTGTTACCGTCCCTGGTGCGGGACAGGTTACAACAGTGACTGGAACTACTACCTTGACCATTTCTGGAGCTGGCGAAGTTACTACTGTAACTGTTCCGACAACAGTTGAGCTGCCGGGTACTACCACCACTGTCCCAACTACTATCACCGTTCCTGGTTCTGGAGAGCTTACCACTGTGACTGTTCCTACTACCCTAACTATTCCGGGAGCTGGTGAGGTCACCACGGTGACTGGAACTACTACGTTGACTGTTCCCGGAGCTGGCGAGGTTATAACTGTAACTGTGCCTACCACCTTGACTATTCCAGGAGCTGGAGAAGTTACGACGGTGACTGGAACTACTACGTTGACTGTTCCTGGGGCCGGAGAGGTTACAACAGTTACTGTACCCACTACTTTAACCATTCCGGGAGCTGGCGAGGTTACTACTGTGACGGTGCCCACTACCCTAACCGTTCCAGGCGCTGGGGAGGTTACTACTACCACCCTGACTATTCATGGAGCTGGGGAGGTTATTACTGTAACTGTTCCTACGACTGTTGAGCTGCCAGGCACTACAACCACTGTCCCCACCACTATTACTATTCCTGGTGCTGGTGAGATTACAACGGTGACTGGAACAACTACCTTAACTATCCCTGGGGCCGGAGAAGTTACAGCCGTTACTGTACCCACCACCTTGACTATCCCAGGTGCTGGTGAAGTTACCACTGTGACTGTTCCTACTACAGTGGAACTCCCGGGAACTACTCTTACTGTCCCGACCACTGTCACTCTTCCCCCTGCTGCTGGAGAGCTTACTACTGTGACCGTTCCCACAACCTTGACTATTCCGGGAGCTGGTGAAGTTACTACGGTCACTGTTCCTACGACTGTGGAACTCCCGGGCACTACCACTACTGTCCCGACCACTATCACTATTCCGGGTGCTGGAGAGGTCACTACTGTGACGGTTCCTACGACTGTTGAGCTGCCGGGAACTACCGTGACTGTGCCTACTACCGTTGAGCTGCCAGGTACCACTGTGACGGTGCCTACCACAGTTGAGCTTCCAGGCACTACTGTGACTGTGCCCACGACCGTCACCGCTTCCACAACCGTCACTTCGTCCACGACCGTCACTGCTCCCACCACTGTGACTGTTCCCACCACTGTCACTTCGTCCACGACCGTGACTTCCACCACCACGCGGACCACCGGCACAACGGTGACCGTACCCACCACCGTGACATCCACCACCACCCGGTCTGCCACGGTGACAGTCTCCACCACGTCGACTGTCACACAAACCATAAGCTTCACCGCAACGTAGACCCCCCCGCCCCGCCCCACCACCTACCTGTCTCTCCACTAAGCCACTCTGATACATCACAGTCCATCGCCCTCCTGTTCCGCACCACCAAGCCCCGTCCTCAACCCTAGCTTCGAAGAATCCAACGCCGCCTGGACCTGGAGCGGCTTCTTGCTCAGCCAGGCCAACACCGGTCTCTTCTCCGGAAACGCGAGAACTGGCATCCGCGCCTTGTAAGTTACCCCCTTCTACCAACCATCTTCGACCAACAAGCAAGCTAACCATCCCACAGCCAAGCACAAGGCAGCGGCCAAGGCTGGAGCTTCACCCTCTCGCAGACCGTGAGCGGCCTCTGCCCTGGCAGCCGCTACACCCTAAGCGCCTACGGGCGCTCTGGCACCACATGCACGGCCTCCTGGACCATCGGCGCGCAGACAGTCATTCCCTCTGCTCCCCTTAGCATAGGAATCTATACACGCGTGGCGGGTGAGTGGGTGGTGCCGGAGGGGGTCACGAGCGCGGCGTTGAAGGCCGTGGTGACGTGTAATAATTCGGGGGCGGCTGCGAGGGCGCATTTTGATGATGTGACGATGGCGCTGGTGCAGTAGAGGGGTGGGTGAGTGGGAGGGGCGGGAAGTGGAGGGAAGGGGGGAGGGGGGTTTGTAATGGTAGAATTTTTTTTTGAATTTAACTCATTAATTATATGCAGACCGTAGTCTATGACAATATCGCACTACCCCCAGAGATTCCCAAACACTTCCTCCACCTCTCACACAGTAAGGAAAATAAGTAAAATAAGTAAAGAAAAGGAAGAGGTAATCGTGAAAACAGTAGGCCAGTAGCCTGTAACAAATGAAAACATCGTGCAGCTTATGAGTGTAATAGATAGTGACTTATTTGTAATGGTAGATGCATGTAGGGGTTTATATATAATTTTTTTTTATACGCAGGGGAGGTTATATTGTCGTTGCGGTACTTACTCGTGGCCGAGTTCTGGAATACATGTCCCACAAGTCTAGCCTAACCTTGAAAATAATGGAATCATGAATCATCACTCGGAGTGGATTCGGAATACTGTCTTTTATTGTGAACGCGTTGATTGTATGCAGACCTAGGTCTATGATAGTCTGAAGACTTCCTTTGTTCGTGATCTAGGGGATGCGGGATGAGAAATAATATTGCTTGCTTTACAGCCGTTTTCATAATATTAGGCCCAGCCGAGCGTCGTAACACATAGTGAGAATCCACAGTCGATTGCCTCTCTAGGTAATTCCTATAGCTTCATCAGGCAATCCGGCCGACAGTTTAAATTCAGATACTTAAATGGGTATCTCGAGTTTCCTAATGAAGTAATCGTGCTTAACTTTGCAAGACTTGCTCTATGTGCTACGACGCTCGGTTGGGCCTAATATTATGAAAACGGCTGTAATTTGGCTTTGGAGTGTGGCCGATATTGCACTGTGGCTCCGCCGGGGCATAGACGTATGTACAGCGGGCTGGTAGCTATAATTATGGAACATATTGGCCTGCTGGGGGCTATAGACCATGGGGACTCAGTAATTTAATGGTGTGGGAGAGCCCGCTAGTGAGTTATCATGAGGAATCCGGACCTGTCCAGCGCGCTCAGGACAGATCCATGAACCCGTAGGGAAGGCTTCAACACAGTCCAGTGTGCAGTTCGAATATAGTGTCTATTGTCGGTTTTATGTGGTTATGAGCTCCTCCATACGTACTATCCAGCAGCCTCTATAACGCCCCCCCCCCCCCAAACCAGCGCCACATCCAACCCACCAACACCAACAGCCCCAAGCAAAAAACCAGCAAAGCACCGCAACACGTAAACAGCCAGCCAACAGCAACCCACTACACCCAGTCGCCCCCCCCCCCCCCACCCCAATTCCCTTCCTTGCCCGCTACTCCACAGCACCAGCAACATATTACCAGCCAGTGCTACCATGCATACAAAATCGTCGAAGCTGCAGCTCCCAGTGCTGTGACAGGCGCCGGACACATACATGTCCATACATGTATTGCACCCGGGACCATTCCGTCTGCCTATTTTCCTGCCTGAACTGTGAGAGGTGACTGGGAGGGGTATGATTCGAGGCGCTCTACTTTCTGGGCTTGCGTGTGGTGTTGGTTGGGGTGGAGGGAGTGGTGTGGTGTGTTGGTTGTGGGCTCTGCTGCCATGGTCGGGGTGGTGGTAGAACCCTAACCCTGACGAGTGATGCATGGTGTAGCACTCGCTTTGGGGGCTTGTACTAAAGAGCTGTGGGATTTTTGGGTGGGGTTTGGGGGGTTGAGAGAGGTTGTGGGGAAGGTGTGGTTTTGATTAGAAGGCATTTTGTGGTTATTTGAGCGGAGTTATGGGGAGTAAGGGGGTTGGAGGCGGTGAGAGCGGTGTTCTGTGATATGGGCTGTTCCTGTTATGCTATCACTAACTATAGCGCGACGGTGTTTGGGTTGAGGTTTCATAATGAAAGGTCTTTTTGCAGTGAACGGGGTTCCTGATGTTGCTGGAAGATATAAGCTGGATAGGTGGTGGAAGTCTTGAGGGGTAGGGGTTTTGACATGCTAAAAAAAGATTTGTTCCCCATATGCGTTTTTTTTTATGCGTTTGGCCTTTTGGACCCGAAGACTAAACTGGAGAATCGCCAAGACGGCCTGACAGAAGCCATATCTTCCTTTTGTACTCTCAAACCCAATCGACTCCACCCCCATCGTTATGAAAATATTTAGTCAAAAGAAACTAAGAACATAAAATCCTGTTCCACCGCTAGCTGCCAAATGCTTACAAAATGTTTCTGCGACAGTAAAAAGATAGGACTACATGTAATCCCATGGATAGAAAGCAATGATCACTAGGTCTAGGGAATATTTGGCCCGCGTTTATCTGGTATTTAACCACAGGTGCTCCTAAGATACCTCCAAGCGTAGAAACAAATTCCTTATAGACTACATTCTTTACCACTTCCGATCTAGTAAGCTTGGGAATATCCGCTGGTGCATACGGGTTGATATCAACGTATAACCCTAGACTGATGCAGCTTTTCGACTATCGCCTCGTGTCCTCCTCCAGCTGCCGCCTCTAACGCTGTGAGTCCACCACAGCAAGTGGAGGATGGTCCGTTGACATTAGACCTAGCCTGAAGAAACTTGTCTACCACCGCCGCGTGCCCTCCTCTAGCTGCCGCCTGTAATGCTGTGCGTCCATAAAAATCGGCAGGTGGTGCGTTGACATCAGCCCCAGCCTGAAGAAGTTTGTCTACTACCGCCTCGTGCCCTCCTCCAACTGCCGCCTGCAATGTTGTGCGCCCATCATTACGGGCAGGTGGTGCGTTGACATCAGCCCCAGCCTGAAGAAGCTTGCCGACCACCGCCTCGTGTCCTCCTTCAGCTGCCGCCTGTAATGCTGTGCGTCCATAAAAATCGGCAGGTGGTGCGTTGACATCAGCCCCAGCCTGAAGGAGTTTGTCTACCACCGCCGCGTGCCCTCCTCTAGCTACCGCCTGTAATGCTGTGCGCCCATCCTTATCGGCAGGTTGTGCGTTGACATCAGCCCCAGCAACGATAAGAAGGTCGAGCATTTTAGCATTTCCAATCCTTGCCACAATTTGCAGTGCTGTAAATCCACCTTCATCCCGTATATCAACACTAAAACCACGCTCCGACAGATGAACTGCCATCATCTCCATCCAGCCTTGATGACAAAATTCAAAGAGTGAAGGTAGGTGGGAGAATGGTTGTTCAATATTCGATATCAACTTTCGTTGGAGTAAATATTTCGCTATTTCGTTATACCCCATTTCATCGGCCCAGTATAGCAGCGATTGCTGACTGTTGGGTACACGGGGAACCCGCGCAGCCCGTTCACCTGAAAGACTGGACGACGCTAACTCCATGACTGAACCTCTGAACCCAATCTTCGAGGTGGCCGCAGAGAAACCCGTTTCCTTGTCCACCCGTCGCATGTCTTTGAGGAGCGACGCTACAATCTTATCATAACCTCTTTTGATGGCACAAAGAAGCACCATTGACTTTACGACGTCGCGACCGTGATCCACTCTGATGCAGTGGAGGACGTATTCGTCGGTTGCTTCCCACAATACACTCAGATATTGCGCATCTATAACTGATTGAGCATCACCGGTATTTATGAAGGGCCGGGAAAAAAGCCTCTCATCATACCTTCGTGGGTGGCAGATAAAATCTCCTGATCTCCGATTTTAATGATTTTCCCACAAGGTTCCGGGATATCACCTCCCACTGATGCCGCCCAGTAAACAAGTCTCATGTTACTGAAGATTGATCAAGAAGCATGGGCCCTACCCTGGAATTTTGCCAGAGTGGTCCAGCTCTGGTCTCTTATAATAACACTCGCTCGCTTGCTATTTTTCTTAGCAACGAACAGAATGACGGAGGACGTTGACACCGAGGCCTTGCTAGCCTGGTAGTATGCAAAACTAAAATTAGATTTAGTTACAATCTACACTCAAATATGTGCGTAAATTACCGTTGAAACAACACCTGCTCCTCTTCAGTTTCCCAACTGTGGTGTCCTTTTTCAGAAGGATTCGATTTCTCGTTCCGCTTAGAAGGTTGTAATGAAGCACCCTTCGCTTGCGTCTCCCAAATATTAAGATCACAAACTTGAATATCCTCAAATGTGGGTTTTTGAGGCTCTGAGCTATCCATATCCTCAAGTTGGTCTCTGATAGCCTAATCGAATCTTTTAGAGGAGAACTACCAGATCTATTACTTACTATGAAAGCGACTAACCTCTGCAAGCACCTCTGCATCGTATTGTATACTCGGATCGAGAAGGTTGAACTGTGGATGCTTTGCAATGACATCTATCAAAATCCACGATGCCTTAACAAGGTTTGTATAAGCTTGGTGAGAGACGTGCCCGTCGGACGAAAGGTCTGCGGCGAGGTCACTTTGAGACTGTTTAATAGTTAGTCCAGGCTTCGGACCAACCCACGGAGATACAATAATTGTGAGTTTACTTTCAGAAGCCACCACCTTCCCGCCTGAATCCATTCGTCTACCCAATAGCTGACCACCGTCGCTTTCCAACTTCAGCATTTTTCATCAGCTTCATACTGAGAAGGGTTTTCTTTAAAGCTTTATCGTTGACGGCCGATATTGACGGAGTTTCTGGGGATCCTTGAGTCTCAAATTTTTGGACAAGTTCATCAATGCGACTGAACCTTCTTTCAAGTTTCTGGGTTGATGATTCGATACTCTGCAATGAAGAACTTTTCAGGATTACTTAGCTATCATGCCTAGATACATAGGACGGGAGTCTTTACGACTTACTTTCCGCAGGAGGTTAAAAGTAAGTTTATAATACCGTTATGATAGACCAACTACAAGAAATAAGCAAGGTTACCAGGGGAATAATCTCTTGAATTACCTTGTTTCTTAATGCATCCAAATCCGAAGCATCAATAGACCATTTAAACTTTGCCCATAGCTGTTTTCAGACTTTTGAACGTGAAGACTCTCCCAACTTCTCATACTTCTTCGCATGTTTCTCAAGCTCCTTGAGTGTCACCTCCACCCGGCTCATCATTTCCTTCACCATAAGAATACGGTCTTCACCGGAGCGGGCTAGAGTCGAATTTGGATCTTGGGCTTCAAGCTCTAGGAGCTTGATCGATTGAGATAGTGTAGTAATCTCCTGAAGAAGTAACTGGAACTCCTGAGGAGCTCCCCTTGCGACGACATAGCAGTAACGATAGAGATTCCAGGCGAGCTGAGAAACGGCAAGAAAGTCGCCGACGCCGAAGCCGAAGGACATAGCTTCGATGATAAGCTTGCAAACAAGTTGTAAAGGGTAGATTTTTGTGTTGTGTTTGCTCAGAAAGGTTAGCGAAAGGCTGCGAGGCATACATAAATACTCAAGACAAGATACCTAGTAGAAGCGGGGTAGTTTTGCTGGTCCTGCATGCGACCAATAGGAAGCATGCCTTGATCAACTAATAGAAGCTGTCCGATTATCTGTGACCCGGTTAAATAATGAAGCAATACAGGATGTTTATGAAACAAAACACTTTCCCGATCTTTATAATTGATGAGAGATGCATCCATTCCCGGGTTGTTCATTCGGGTCTACGACCGAGTGACCTGCTGGTCCAGGAGGAGCTAAAGAAACGGGGAATTTTTTCAAATTAATCTTAATATAGACTGGTGAAAAAGACTGTTGCAGGGGTTTGATGCGCGCTTGAAAGACTATAAACAGCTTGTTTTGGTCTAAGGATTAGCTTTGTCTCGCTTTATGGCCCGGCGTTGGGTGCTAAACGAGTGACGACCTATGCGCCAAAACTATCGGTTCGTCCTACCACCCAGAGTGAAAACACAAATCTTGCCGGATAGAACTTTGTCGAGCAACATAGGGATGTTGCCTCAATTCTAGATGTTGGACAAAATAAAAAGTATATATCTACTATTATTCTAAGATCGGATTGGTCTGGCTCTGCATTTGGCTCGGCTCCAGATAATCGAAGGCTAATCACGAAAATAAACCCGTATTTTTGACCACCTTTAGAAGCGGCTGCGCCTTCTGTCAAGGCCCTGGAAATTTGGCAAGAACGATATGGTGCCGGTCTCGATAAACCTACAACCCGCGCCAATAGGAAAGAACCCCTAACCCTGGGTTTTAATGGTCACTTCCTCTTTCTAAATTCTCTGAATAGAGAGTTTAAGCCATCCGAGTTTTTGGCAACAACAAAAAAGATCGTCGGACAAAAAAGATCAGCGATCCAGGGTCAAAGGAGAAACTAACACAAGACTGGTAATTTTTTGCTGTTTGTATTGCTATATTAAGCAGTAGTAAGAGCCTCAAAACTACCAGTTTGGAAGTGAGCGACGAGGGTCGATCTTTTTTGCGCTGATCTTTTTTGTTCTTGCTAGAAATCTTTGGTGGCTTAAAAGTCTCTAGTGGTGGTAGTCCCAATGGTGGATGAGTGCAAAAGGCTTGAGCCTAACCCTGACTGTTACTACCCTAACCCTGATTTTAACCTCCCTAACCCCTTCTCTTGCTGTCTATGCTGGCCCCCTTATAACAGAGGAATTAGATCTGTATGAGAGATGTATTATTTGATAAGAGAGATAACGAGATCTGTTAGTAAAGCCACACCAAATTTGCTTTTTTTTGGTGGGTCAGCATTTTCGCGACAGCTTAAGGGATACAGCCTATTTCCTCAATTTTTTATTACTTGGTTGTTGGTACACTAGATAGATCTGGCGTGGGTGGCTTTTTCGTCCGCCAAAAGTGTAGGTTTATCGAGACTGGCACCATAGATACATATATTAGAATCCGAAAGTCCGGAGTCAAGAACGCAGTGTCTCGCCCCTTGAGCCTCATCTCGTGCTTATGCAAGTGGAACAGAATGTTCTCGCTTACGCAGGAACATCCCCCGCTTATCTGGGCCGAGAGCCTTGGCGATACTAGTGCGGGGTAATATGGCTTACAAGTACTGTCGTACACGGGGTATTGGCGGATACTGGGTCTTGGCGAATTGCAGGTAAAAGTTGGCTTGGCTGTTTCTTTTTTGCCCTGTCCGCCATCACCCAGTATCCGCCAATACCCCGTGAACGAGAGTACGAAAGAGGTAGGTGGGGTAGAAAGGACAACCTCATGATTGTAAGAGGGCACATCATTGCATCAGACAACACCTGACTCATGGTCATACCTACTCTCGTTTCTAGGTCGTTTATCACGTTCGGCACGCATAATGAATCCACCGTCAGAGATACCAGCTTCGATAGCCCTGAATGGCGAAGAGGGATGGAAATCTTAAATCTTAATTCTTGGAGAGTTGTTGCTCGTGCATCAGTATACTGTTGGTATGTAGGAATGTGCAGCATGATAACCGATTAACAATGTCACGACAGGTCTCACAGACATACTCAGATATATCCTCATATAGCTCGGATTCTCGAATACCAGCTCGATGGCGTGAACATCAATTTACAGGAAGAACTATTTGTACAATGAAGGGTTGAGATCTTGAGAGCTCAACGTGTTAAATTCTACAACTCGTGCGTTTAAATTCTTTGAATAAGCTGGGAGCATAAAAAGTGCTCACATAGATACATTCAAGGCCAAGAATAAACGACTTCCGAAAAAACGATGTAAGGAAAAGATAGGATGCAATCCAAGAGTTTGTAACAGTAAGAAAGACGGCGAGTGCCAGTGTTAATATTCAAGCCAAAAACCAAAGTTAGGAGGAAAACAGTGCAACGTTACTTCTACAACAATCAAGAACATGTGAAGAATAAAGACACCAAGTCATCCGTGTAAGAAACTATCTGTGAGGTTTGATTCAGCAAGTGAAGTAAAGGGCGGTGCGTCGGGTGTAACTTACAAAAACGAAACAACAGCATAGCGATCTTTTTGCTTTATCTTTTCACCAAAGTATAGTGCACTACAACCCAGATATCGCGAATACCATCACTCTTTTCAGGTTTGGTAAGGCTCAGGGTCCAGTTACCGAACGTACAATCGATCTCTCCTGAGCTGAAGCACTTCAGGCCCCTACCGGTTGGTCCTGTGAATGTAACATCTTTGTTGGTGGCTCCTGCAGTAACATTGATTTTCCACCTCGCAGCGTCGGTGATGTTTGAAGCTGTGAAAATGTGAATCTCCTTGACAGTGACTTTGTTCGAATATCTGTTTGCAAAGAACGGGAGGCTATTTTCTAGGTTTGCCATAGACATAGAAGATGTATCTAGGAAGGTCTTCCATTCAGCTGCAAAGTCCGCTCTGATATCAAAGAGAGCGAAAGCTCCTCCTTTAGTGGCCCTGATTCCCCCTAGGTACCAATCGACGTATTCACCAGCGATTTTCTTTAATGTGTTTCCTCCGTAGACAGAGGTGTAGCGAACATGTACAATCGCGTCTGGCACTTTGCGGTAGTCAAAGGCGCGGAAGTGCGGCGGGAGCTCAAGTCTCCATCTGCTAATTGCTCCAGCACCCTCAAATGGCAAGTATCGATCATCAAGAGAGGAGGCAGATTTAGCTACTCCGCCGTCGTTTAAGCCGCTACTAGTAGCGATATGGTCGATGGGGATGTCGTCGGTATAGAAGCTCTCCTTGTCTCCACCAGCAATTCCCTTCGCGTAGGAATCTCTATCTGTAGGAATCTTGGCACGATAACTATGCTTGATGAGCCGCATTGTGCAATTCACACTCAACATCGATGCCCCTGGTGGTTGCTTTGGCTGAGGATGAAATGTCAGAGAAACGGTCTTAATCCTTCGTTTGTAATGCCCAGGGAAGTCAATATCGAAGAGGGCCTCAGGAATATCGAACTCGCAGTTCCCAAGTTCTCTCAATTCAAGGAATGCTCTTGGGTAAAGTTGCTTCAAGGAGATATGCTTTGTTATTTCATAATCATAGCCACGATTCTCGTTGTAGGCCATCTCAAGTCGCTTTAAGCCTAGGTAGAGTTGTTCACCTGAGAATAGCCCGTCTTTGTTGGTATCCCACGTTCCTTGGATGAAGTTTGTAATCGAAGGACCGCGGCCGTGTTCAAAGTCAAAGGAGTTTGCAGGGCCGCGCTCGAACTGAAATAAACTTTCAGCCTTCTTGGCCAAATCGTATGTGAGGACATAGGTTTGATGGTACAGATCACGGAGTTGTTTCTCTCGCCATATGCATAGATCCTGATTCGTATACTTCGTTCTGAGAAATTGTTCCGAGCGTGCCATAAATTCAAGCTGTTTTTGCTGCATTTCAATGTCTCGATTCGTGATTTTAATGCGGATCTTCTGTTCTTCGATCTGACTGTCGATATGCTTGATTTCATAGCCCAATGAGTTTGCTTGTTGGATCCGATCTTGATATTGACGCAGTAAAGAGGATTTTCTAGCAGCGCCCATGGATTGCGATTGAACTAGTTCCATTTGTGCTGCCATCGCGCGTGCATATGCAGATGCGGCCTCGCCTAAGTTGAGAGAATCAAGTCTAACTTGTTGGCCCATTCCCTGTGGTATTTGCATAGCTGAAGTCGATATGACCGGGTGTCCAAGTAGTAGCGCAGAGGCTGTTTCGGTGATATTGCGCTTTTCGATGTACTCAGTCGCCTCTTCTGCCTTTCCCATCTCTGCTGCCTCGAAGGGGGTCAGTTTGTAAGCACTCTGTTGATTAATCCCCACGATAGGCGCAGTAAACTCCAGGAATTGCTCCTCCTCCTTCGGACAGCGTTTCTCGTTCTCTCCCAGAAGACGACAAAGATGTTCAAGCTGGGACACTGGACCTTTCCGAGCCTCTTGGAGTGAAACTGTAAGATACCTAGTCAGGTCGATTCCATCCAAAAAGGAAATATTGATAACGTACCCAAGGCCTTATTCGCCTCTTCGAGATTCAATTTCTTCATATCAAGTATCATAGCATTTATGCTGGTGGCATGCCCGGCCCTGATGAGGTTGTATGTCTCGGAGTCCTTTCTCGTCATTGCCTCGAGGAACGCGTTTCCCAGTGATTTGAGCTCTTGAACCATCTCAAAAGCCTTTTCAAGAATGTATCTGAATCGGTAATTGGGCATTGGAGTATTCAGACCTTGTAAGATGCTTTGAATACTGAGCCCTTGAGTGGTTGCTTGTAACAAAGCCAAAGTATCGACCTGTGGTTCGAGAAGATCAAACCTGCACATGGAAAGGCCTCTGATATTCTGGCAATGCCGAATCTTATATAGTCGGTCATCGATTTTGGAACGAAGGCTTCTGAGCTTGTCATTCTCTGGTACGGAAAAGTATAAAGAAACGTCGGCGTCAGGCAAAGTGGGGGCGGTAATGCTGTCGATAGTTTGAATGGTGGAGGTGTGGTGGGCGAACGGAAATGTGGTTTGGCAGTTCACGACGTCCGCATCTCTTTCTATACTTGATTTTCTGACAAGGGAGTTATATGTGCCCGGAGTCTTGCCTCTCTTTTGGGGCTTCTTTGGTTGAGGTCCAGATAGATGTGCTGCCAAAGTATAGTACTGGAAAGCCTGCGATATAGACTCGGACGTATTTTGGCGGAAGTATTGATCACCACAGTCGAGAAGAATATTGATATAGCTCATTACAAACCACTTCATATACGCCACTGGCCTGGATCGTGCGATCACATGAGGATGGAGCGGAGCATCTCTCAAGCCATTAATTTGCCCCTGCCCACCAGCTTTGCCAGGTGAGTTAGCCGTAAGACTATTTAAGAGTCTTCCGAGGACATTCTGTGCGGATATCTCTTTGAAAGGGGTCCACTTCCAGACGCAGCTTCTTTTCGGGTAATCGATCTCGGTGTGCCCCCCATCATCCTTTGTGCAATAGTCATTGCCATATTCTTCCAAATGGTGGCTCATAGGATCAAAGACATAGTGGGCAATCTTAAGCGCCTGCTCGTATTGGTGACAGCTCCTCAACTTGTCCATTAGGAGCATTGGTATGTGTAAGCCAAGCTCCCAGTTATATAGGGCATAAGGGGATTTAAGCTCGTGGTAATTAGGGTAGGTCATGCAGATGTCAAGACCGGGAGGCGTTCCAGAGTGCCCGAGTGCACTGTTCTTGAACCTAGCAACCTCCGAAGTAAAGCCACCGTAAAGATCGTCGAGCGTATTGGAAGTATTTGTATAACGGAGGATCTGACCAGAAAACTCATGGTAAAATGGTGTTTGGTAATCTGGTGCAGCTGAAAAGACGGCAGATGTGGGATTACGGCGGTCGTATTGGATGGTGGTAGGGGGCCTATCAACGAGATGAATGCAAGGTTGGGCACTCTTGGGGCATTGATGCATATTGTTAGGACATAAGTGCACATTGCTGATTGACGGATCTTCAGTGGAAACGCAGACAATGTCCTTGTCCACTATCGTACCGAACTCACGATGGATGCCGGGCTTGGAAGAGGTAAGAAGAGGCGAAGCTGTGGCAAATTCTTGCGAGAGGAGGTCTGTTGCCTCAACGGAATCGAATTGTCCTTTGCTCAAGCGGAACCAGGCAGTACGGCGCTTTTCAATCTGAGCAGTGAGATAAAGATCATCGTTGCAGAATGTGGTGATGAATACACATTCCCTCAGTGTTCCTACACCCCCGGGGCCAGATTGCGTGCGAAAGGCTTTAGAGGTTGTTTGCTTGGCTGTCCACCTGCCGTTTTGGTACTCAGTCCATCCAACCCTCAGCTCCCAGTACTCGTAATTCGTAGGTTCTTGCGAAGCATTCTCCATAGGTTGATCACCCATATACCTACCCAAGCCGGGAAGAGTCCCTCCCCCAATCTGTTTGACAAAGCGAGGAATAAATACGATCAGGCGTCCCATCCAGATGACCGGCTTAAGAAATGTTCCTCCATGATTTGCGGAGTTCATGTCGTTGTCCTCGTAATGAGGGATGTCAAGTTGCATCTTTTCCCACGGCTTCCAGATCCCCTCCATTGCGTTATAGGACCGATAATAATAGAAATAAGGTGCCCCGCGCGTTCTAGCAAAGATATGTACGATATTTGTTTCTGTATCAGAGCAAACAGACACAACGTGAAGGTTTGCCACCTCATCAAGTCTCGAAAGATATCGTTTCACTGCGTCTTGAATACTTCGTGGGTCCATATCACTTTGAATGATGTCTATCGATTTAGATACACATGATCAGCCTAGAAACTAAGCAACAACGGATAAAAGGGTGGCTCACCAGTTTCGAATTCCTGAAATATGGATGATTTATCATCCCGAAGTGAAGGTTCAATCCAGTTCTCTGGATACACGAATAGCTTCCGATTTGTCTCCCACGTATGATAAGATTTCATCCACTCCCATCTCTTTCTGTCCAACGTTCGAACCGGGACGCCAAATCCCTCCTCCTGTCCATACAAGCACCGCTGAACGAATAATTGCGCTGTGGAAATCGCTTGCTTAATCCTTGAAGTATCCAGACATGGTCCCATTTGGGGATCTATCAGAAAAAATGCGAAGAGAGAGTTGACATCGAAGATCCGCCATTTGATAATCTCCGGTTGGTTGAGGAGATATTCGATCAATGCATCCCGCTGATTAGAACGGAGCTGGTGTCGTAAGGGCTTGACTACTTCCTCCCAATCCTTCGCCGTGTAGCGCGCCTTGATGACCCATTGAACATTATGAGCGAGCTTACGAACTTGTTCGAAATCTCCTAATGGCTCGGCCCATGAAAACAGGCTATCCACATCGATTTTAACCTTCTGCGAAAGATCACAGGCTTTCTTCAACTTTATAAAACTCGACCAGCTTTTGAACGATCTCCGGTTATTCAATGAAAAATGGTCAAGGAGCTTTGTGACCGTGCTTTGTTTAACCCGCATCAGGCCTGATAATCTCTCCGTAAGTGTTCTATCTCCCGGCTGCGCTTCCTCATCATCGGGGTTCGATGCCCATCTAAAAAGGTGGATCAACTCTTGGCTAGGTGCATTAGGTAGCCCATTACGAAGTTCAAGGTAATTCGAAAGCTGCCTCCAGCTCTCGGACGTCAAACAGCCGTGCCGGAGGATAGGGGTATCGTGAGGATAATGTGCCATGAATTTGACCTCGTCCGTGGAAAGCCTGCACTTCTTGACAATCAAAGCAATCTTAGATAACTGAACGAAAATCGGAGTCAACCGCTCGTCGGCATATCGAGGGAGCAGAACGACACTCGGTAGTGGATGAAGCGGCGAGGGATCCGTCTTCCAGTGGAGTTTATAATCAGCATCATTAGTCACCCTAAGTGGATATGAGCGTCCGCCTTCAAGATATATCCGGTCAGCTAAAGGTAGTTCTGGATTGGTAAAGGATATCCTAATTTCGTCGACCTGGACAGCGCAATCCTTTTGAGCAGAGTTATCAAACGTGTACAACTCATCAGACCTTGGAACCAGATGTCCTTCGAAACCAGTTTGTTCTTGCGTCTCGCCAAATAACCGGATACTGCTGATGGCCGTGAGAGCGGAAACCTTCTCAGCACCTTCTCCATCTCCGGCGCCAGGCTCAACGCGTAAAACGTCGGTCAGCAGCATTCTCACCATTTCAGGCGGTAAATCAAGCTGTATTGAGATAGTAGAGATCACTAAACGCTCAATGAGTTTTTGCCTTAAATACGGGACGAATGATCTCAAGAAGTAGAAGTGTTTCGTCTTTAACATTGATTCTTTGGCATAGAAAGTATTTTTTTCCTCTTCATTGATAAAGCTCAGTGTGAGCCCCAACCAACTAGGCAATCTTCTCTCGACCCATTCGGCTGTTTTTCCACAAAGGAATTGATGGATTTCTTCGACTTGGGGGCTGTCGTAGAGCAGGGAGAGTTTTGCTGTGATATATTCCTTGGTAAACGAATCATGTTCTTCTTCTTTTATGTTCGGATGCATGGTTTGAATGACATCAATTCCTTCGAGAAGTAACTTTATTGCCCCTAGTATCTTCGGCTTTGACAGTCCAACTGGATCGATTGGGTCTTGGATATCTTTGATCACATAGATGAGATGCTCGAAAGAGATTCCCACACTGGCCATTCGTTTCCATTGTACTAAGAAGTGTAAAGTCTCGGAAGGGCTGTTAAGGAAGAATTTGTTCCCAAAGAGAGAAGATGTCTGCGCTTGCCATAAAGTATCTTGGTTAACGTGTAGGATCTGGGCCATCAGCTTCCAGCGGTAGAGATAACAAAAACTGTTAATCGAGACGATATCCTCCTGAGCGAATGTGGCTCCGGTGGGGAGCGTTTGGGAAATCAAGGAATCAAAATCGTCCTTCGAAAAACCCATTGACGACATGATGGTGGCTGCATGCGCCGAGAACTTTTCTGGCTTTGTAAAATAATTTCCTTGCTCATCGGGTTTGAACACTGGGTCGGTAAAGATAAAATTATGTGTGAGGAACAATTGAGTGTACAGGCTGGTCTCTCCCCTTGTTATTATGCAACCCCAGAAGAGTAGAAGCTTCGGGAGATCCAGCCCCGTCATAACAATGAGTTTTGAAACACAGACCAATTGATCTAACAGGTTTGTGGTAATCATCGGACTATTTATGGAGCCATCAGACTGCAGGTTTTGATTCCCACGTTCCTGCCGCGATAGCACAGAAATTGCCATATCTAGCTCCTCAATTTTCCACCCAAGCTTTGTTCGCAGCCGCACAAATTGTTGAATTCGCATAAGCTCCGTTGGATTCAATCGATCCCCGTTGAGGTGAGTGAGACGGGCGTGGCCTACATGCCACCCATCTGACATATGTGGATTGTCGAGTACAATAATCTTGTCGAATGCAGTATGGTTGGCTTTGACCCAGTCCTCGATTTGCGTCCGACTAAACTCGCCAGGTCTGCTAATCGAAGTAGATATAATCTGTTGAGTGACCATAAAGTTGATAAGAGATTTATATCGTACGATAGGGTCTTCGATATTAGCTCCCTTGTATTTGAGGAGGTCGCCGAGGGACAAAAATCCGAACCGGTTACTCTCTAGAATAGGAATCCCGCTCGATGGTACATGCGGGTTTACAAATTCGGTCTTCAAAAGATCGACCATATCCGAAGACTTTAGTCCGGCCCTTCTAAGAAACTCGGTGTTTATAACCTCAGGCCCTGTTTCTACCTGGAAAGCTTTGCTTTTTTTCTTGTAACCCCAGAGTTGCCACCACGCCTGTAGCCGGACGGGCGCCCCCGACTCCTCATTTGAATCAGATCCGTCATCCTCGATAGGATTGTACTTGTTGGATAGGTAATCCTCGCCCGTCAAGCAAATGTATTCTGATTCGGTAAGGCTCAGATATTCAGCGGTGACTGCTCGGCCTTGTGCAGCGGTATGTAACTCCTTTGTGCTTGCAATCTCCTTGTCCTTCTCCACAATTGTCCCGGCATGAAAAGCTCTCCGGAAGATGTCAAGGAGCTCATAGCGCGAGGTACCAACATGTTTGAGAAAAGTTCGGGTCTCATCCAGCGGCTGGTGATAGGGGAGTTTATTGAAAGGGCACATGGCCTCAGAAAGAATGGAATACGCGTGATCATTAATCTCCTATATATAGACTCATTATATTAGCTTGAGAATTATGTTATGCTAATAAAGATCAAAAGGTTAAGATGAAATCTAGAGAATGGATATTATATTGAGACATAGGATGGGCTTACCTGAAGTGGCACTGAAATTTCTCCACAAACTTTGCTCGGATTACGATAAGGGGGGACCGTGCCTTCCTTCGAGGTCAAGTTGAACTTGGGGTGCGAGTGATCCCATAGGTATACCACGAACGATTCCATGATCTCATTGACGAGATCTAGATAAGGGATGACTGTTTTGGTGTTTGTGCAGGTCAATTCGAGTTTCTTGAGATCAGGGCGGCGGGCAAGAAGGCATTGAAGGGCGGTGCCGTAAATATTCTCCTGCCCGGAGTATTTGAGCTCATTATCGAGATTATTACTTCGAAGAAATTGCAAAATCTCGACAAAATATGCCGCCGGAGATGTGAATGAGCCGCAGTCGTCGCATACATCGCGATCCATATCCTCAAATAAACGCTCTATGCCGAAGTCGGCCAATGTCTCTCCTGTCTCTTTCACCATTTGAACTCTCTCCCTAGTCGAGATAGATCCCTCAATCGCAGCCAGACCAGTTCCATGAACGGCTTCATACGATGTGATGACTCTGGTCTCGTAGGTACTAGTCGCATGGTCGTAGATCGCCATGGCATCCTTCTCGGGAATTCCATGCTGGACACGAACAACAAAGGTTGTGAGCGGTAAAGCGGTAATTGCTGCTGCAGAGGTAAAGCCATATTTCATCAAAATTGCCCCGTAGCTCGGGTGATATCCTCGTGCAAGTTCACTTGAGTTATCCGTACACTTCGATAGTCTGACAAGACGTCGAAATTTCTCGTACTGTTTCCTAGACGCACTATTCCACATGATTGTAGACAAGTGGATGTATAGCTGGCCGGTGGTTGGACTAGAGAGTTTTCATTATTGTCAGATCCCGCAATTTAAGACAGAATATAAATAAATACAAGAGAACCTACATATACAAGCAATAACTCTAAAAGACGCCCTCTAGATAGACAATTGAGGGGGTTAAAGTGGGTACGGTATATGGCTCGCGCGAGCAGAAATGTGTAGTACTATAGCTAGGAACAGGTCAGGGGTGTAATAGCTGGAATGCGCAGACCTTTTGGCCTAGTATCAGACGATGGTGAAGATCGGGGTTTATAAATTTATCAGCTCTCGAATGGACTTTGGGAATTGGAAAGGTTGTAAGTCAAGAGAGGCAATGAATTGTAAGTTCCAAACCACGCAGCTGATGCTTTAATGCGAAAGGTAGGAGACAACGCTTTTTATATCCAGAGATATTCTAGCTCTCGCGCGCACACAGTGAATTAAAGCTATTTTCTCGTGATAAACAATCAGATCGTGTGTAACCAACCCACAAAATGTACGAATTGAGGTAAATTAAAGGGCGCTTCCCGATGTATCATTCATCAACTCTACGGATCCTCTTCTTCTTGGAGCTATATCCGCCCATTCAAATCAATACTCATATTTGACGCTAGATCTATGACATTTGTAATAGCAGATACTATAGCTAACGAACTTTATCATCAGAATGATATTTCTTTCACTCCACGTCAAAATGAAATATTTAACTACTATTATATTGAAAGAAAGGCAGGACTCTCTTTCATCTTGAGTACTTACACCCTGTAACACATACTATACAAACAGAGAAATCGAGTGCAATAAGGTATTAAACTAATTGGGATGTTCATAATATCAATTCATGACTACCTGTAGACTCCCGACGTTTGCAGTGAACATGATCAGGACTGCATAGAAGCCAATTCTTGCGTGAGGCGCGCCCTTAATCTTGGTGATGTGTAGAACTGTCATGTTCCGAAGCATAACTACATGTAATTGATCAGAAGAATAGTGGATCGAAATAGGAATTTGACTATAATCATCTGATGCTTATACGAATTGTTGATATATCATACGTACCCTATGCATGCATCATGAGAAAACGTATTTCCTAACATATCAAATGCTACATATATGCACGCGCACGCCTACATGAATTGAAGTGGAAACATGTGAAGGATATCGATCTCGATATCGATACGCTACAGCATGTACTATACTTTGCGGAATTCCGTTTATCACTCTACGCAGTAGAGTATCATGGGACGTGCTCGAAGGGCGCGCAGAAATATTGTCTCATAGGTGACTTCTGGAACTGAATATTATGTACCAATTGCAATGCACTCGATCTAGGTTAGACCGACATCTCGATTCATTATGTTTCCCGATAGACAGCTTGGGCAGCTACTCGAGTATCTCCTTGTCAACCTGGATATACCATACTCCTCGCTAGTGCGCAGAGTAAGACATCGATCGTTAATTTGATTGCCCAATTAAGACACATATAGTAGCTTAGCTATAGACACTAGTGACATGTAGATCTGATCAGTCTAGCAACATATATCTATATCACGCGCACGGGATGTACATAATACATGCACTAGCGCTAGAGCGAAAAAATAGGTCTCCAATAAGGTGTAGAGTAGTTGACACGGGTTCTTACCTTAATATATTCATCGCCTTGCAATTGCAAATTTGACAATTTAATTTGTATCTACTCAAATAGAATCAGAGGGAGCTTGGGTTTCTCTATCTGTGACCATTAGGACTAAAGTATCACGGGCAATGTGACATGCCCTGAAAAAGATGTGGGGTAATATAATATCCATAAATTCGTGCATACATACATGTATGCATCATGTTAGCAAAACATTCGGTAGAGTACTAGGTAGTGCGCGCGCATGTACCAGCGCATGCGCAGCAGGTAACAGGGATTGCGTGTATACACTGGGGGGGGGGGGGGGGTACATGTAGGTACATTCAGAATACTCATGGTCACCGAAGTACATATTTATATGTTTAACCCTAAACATATAAACTGTTTAACACCTTAAACATATAAACTGTTTAAAAAGTGTTTGGAGAGTGTTTAAAAAGTGTTTACTTATATGTAAATACGTGCCTGTTTAAACTGTTTAACTTACACATAGAAGCTGTTTGAGATAAAGTGTTTAAAAAGTGTTTCGTGAATTAAAGTGTTTAATTTAAACATAAGAACTGTTTAAGTTAAAGTGTTTAGAATGTACGACTGTTGTGTCGGTAAAGTGTTTAACTTAAACATTCTTTATGTTTAGAATTGGATCACGTGAAATGTTTAAAATTTGTTTAATTATTGTTTAGCTACTAGTATTCTTCCTGTTCGCTTGTATTTGCGATACACTTCTAATCCCCCAATCCTTCCAAACCTGTTCGATAGCACACAAATATCGTGATATTTGGTTTTATAGGGCGAGGCCTTGGCAAAATATCGAATCTTTTGGTTTATAGTAAGTTTCATTTGTCCTGATCATGAGTGTCGAGGCGGGCTTTATATCTTACCTTTCTTGATTTCCGATCTTGCCATTCAATTCATTACATCGGGTACTTATGTAGATTAACACGTAGACTATTTGGTATATTAAACACGTATCCCAGGCCATGTATACGATATAAACACCATGTATAGCCCCACTTACCTATTCATATGCAGTGCCCCCTCCCCATTAGTGGCCATGATCGATGTCATGTATGCCGGTGGATTTGCCCGTTCAAACTCAATCCATTCGTTCTTCCAATCCTTCTTTGCAGATTTCAACTGGTTAGCCTCTCCAACGATCTTCTGGGTTTCTTCTGTATACAATATCCGCATACTTTTAGTAATTTTGCGCCCAGATCTGCGCTGGGAATTGTTAGGTATTTGACTATCTGTTATGCTGGCTTCTTCCGAGTTAACACTAGCACTGTCAATAGATTTTTCCTTCTCGTTTGGATCTATGTTGTTAACGTTATCCGGTGAAGCTGGCACTTCGACATGGCTAAGTGTTGATTTAGCAATAGTTGGGCTCTGGCTCCCGGATAGTTGAGAGTTTTTAAATTTGTCTGTTGTCATATTGGAGTTAGCGTTTTTCCTCGGACGACCCCTTCCTTTTTTTGCAACTGGCTGGTTATCGGCGATATCATCTGTCTCCTTTCTTTTCTTTGCGTTCTTCTCTTCCGCCACTCTCTTCTTATCCTCTGCAGCCTTTTTTTTCTTTTCTTCTGCAACTTTTTTCTTTTCTTCCGCAATCTTTTTTTTTCCAGCAGCTAGTTCTGCAGCTGTGTTCTTCTCCGTCTCCTTTGTCATGGTAGTTGTTAAATCCAGAACGTTGACTTTAACCTGAATACCTCGTGTGGTCAGTGCATGAAAGCGGGTATTTGTGTAGGAAAGTCACCTGTGATCCGTTTATATTCATCATTGCCATTGATCCATCTAGGCACGGCTGAATTTGCCCTCCGTCACGGTCCTTCTCCGCGGGTACCTTTTTCTGTCCTCCATTCACTAGGTCAGGTTTACTATACTATTAACCGCGCATGAATGTTAGTATATTGCATGAACTCTTTCCATCTTACCGTAATCTGGGATTTTAATGCCAGACCAGTTCAGAGTCATCATCTTCTTCTTCTATGAAAACACGCTAGGTATCCCACATATATAGATTAGCTATTTTCACCATGTAAGGGGTGCCCTATTGGTTTACATACCGACTCCTTAACGCATACTTCAGCCCCACAATGTGCAAACCGCCGAATCATATTTTCCATCTCTACCGCGTATGACAAAGGTTTCCATTCCTTGTCTCGACCCGTCCCCCCTCGCGCACGATAGAACAAAGCCTCTCCAGCCTCCAATGTAACCCGGCTATGTATTTCATGCTCGAATTCTTCCCAATCAATATCGTTCGCAAAGCGAAAGATTTTCTTACCCATAAAAACCTTGAAAATATCTTTTTCACCTGAAGACTCTCCCGCTGAAGTCTCTAAGGACGTTCTCTGGCTAATACCTGGTGGGAAGTTAGGCAGTAATGGCTTTCCCTTCTTGTATTTGAGTATGGGACTGATTAGGATGGGAGGGCTTGATAGATCTGCTAGTGGCTCTGTTGAGACTGCCGTATCGTGAGGTGAGTGTAATATAGTGGCCTTCTGTCGAGTTGACCTTATCACAGGAATACTCTTACCATTGCTCTTGCCCTTCGTGTTGAGTCTTTCGCCGTCATCCAAGTCATTTGAGATTGCAGTTGACAAACCAATATCCGGATCCCTGGACTCCATTCTCTGATCTCTTGCGGAGGGACGACTTGGTGCTCTTTTCTGGGGGGTGTCTGGTTCTATTGGGAGTTCCGGCTCTGATGGATAAGATGCATCGGGTGATGGGACTTCAATTCTCGCAGGTACTGTAGATTGATGACTTTTCACCCGAGCACCAGTAGCCGATTTTCCTGCAGTTGTGTTATCATCTCCGGACATTGGCGTTCTTTTCTTCCCGCGTAGTGTTCGACGATCAACTGGGCGGTTTGGGTCCGCCGGTGGGATAGACTCTGGATTTAAGGCACGATCGCGAGCACGGAAATTGCGTACCCGGTCCCAACACATTATACGGATTATATCTCTTACCACCTCCCGATTCCATCCCCATTCCTTGGGTGAAATTGCGTGGATCGTCTTGATAGAAGGGTACATCTTGGTCTCATATGGATATGACTTAAATGTGCAGTCCAGCCGCATCCCACGACCTAAGCACTCCTCCAACACCCATTGCCGGCGAGCTCTCAAAAGCTTGGAATCAGTCTTATTGGTTACTGGATCGACGACACCCATTTTGACGTAGAGTTGGTGTCGAAATTGGACGGTGTTGATTTTAGCATTCTCCGCTGCCGTCGGTTCTTCTGCGTCTGCTGACCCCCGATTGTCTTGCCTTGGTCTCCTGGATGTGGTCTGAGAGGAGGAGGGTTGCGCTGATGGGGGGGTTGATTGTGAAGCTGGATCATCCGCCTCGACGTTATCATTCCGTCTAGGGTGTCTTAATACCTTGTTGGCAGCGGAATGTTTGCTTTGTTGTTTTTTTGATATTTCCGAGTCGGGTGGAGAGGCTGGCGAACTTCTTTCATTTTTGGAGTGCTCAAAACGAACGGTTTGTATTGCTTTCTTCTTTTTCGCATTCCTCCTCTTATCTGAAATAACCAGGGCTCGAGAGCTTGGACTTGACTCGCTCCCATCCTGTTCACTCTCGGACTCATCGTTCCCGGCAGTGGTTCGCCTGCTGGATGAGGGTGTCCGAGTCTTTCCGTCATCTGAAGAGTTTCGACGGCGCCGCATGAGTGGCTCGCTATCTATAGGCTTAGATGTCATCGAAGCCACTGGATCGAGGGTTTCATTCATATCAGCCACAGCCACAGCCAACCACAAGCCAGATTAAGAGATTTAAAATGATCCTCGCGTACGTACCTGGCCTAACCCTCTCCGGACTACGGACACCTTCGCCCCGTGCTACTGAATCATCCCTTACACTTTCTCGATATCTCTGCGACATTGATTCGACCTCGCGGGCTAATCGTTCATCCACCGCACGTATCATTCTCGCCATATGCTCACGCTCGGCCTTGAGGGCTTCCACTCTTTTATCATCTCTGGCCGAAGACATGCTTTGAGGGTTTATCAGAGAAATACTAGGATATAAATAGATATGTAGATAGATGGTTAGATGAATCCGGAATGTATGATGAAATAGATGATAATGGGGTGTTGGTGTCGATGTTTTGCTAGAGCAGGGAGCGATGTAATGGGATCTGACGACGTTCGTGAAGGACTTCTCAGGAGGTGAGGTTAGAAGATATGCAGCCAAGGAAAAAAAAAGTGCGCTAATCCAAAAAAATGCACAGCCAGTGCTGACTCACGTGATCGAGGTAGCGAGAACTTGCTCGCCTACCGGCATATTCGCTTAAATTACCCGTGTATTTAATTTATTATCAACACCAAAGATTTACTCCCCCACCAAAAACATCAAACAATGTCGGCTTTTTATCGCATGTGTCACTGCTCCCTACTCGAAGTTCGACCTCATCCAGTCACAAAACTGTCAGAATGGAACATGCATTTGCAAGTTCTCGAGCAGGATAGGCTTGACCAGCTGTTCCAGTCGGAAGTGCACGCGCAAGCAGCTGAACGCGCTGACGAACAAAGCCCAGACGAGAGATTGGAAGAGCAGGAAGCGCCAGATCTGCCCGCTAGGAGGCCTCGTTCGCAGCGAAACCGAGATGCAGGGCGGGTTAATGGGCGCGGCCAGCTACACAACATAGACGTCGCAAATCATGAAACTAGTTCGGAGGCAGATACCCCAAATGACGTGCCGGATATTATGGAGGACTCGGATAGATCAGAAATTCTACCAGCTAGAAGACCTCGTGCAAGAAGACCACAGGCCAATCCTAGGAGACATCGCTCCAATATGGCCAACGTTAACAATCGACCCAACCCCGCTGGTGCATCCACGCAAGAGGCAGCGAGCGACTTTGATGCACCTGAGACTGTATCTAGCAGTGATCCAGACGAACCAACTCTCCCTGCTAGAAGGCCACGAACCCATCGCAGATTGGCGGAACCCGAATTACTACCTGAACACCATACTAGCTCAGATGATCCTTCAAACCCACATTTGCCGGCATACTACCCTCATAGACAACCAGCACAGAGCCGAATCAACAATCCCCAACATCCTTTAGAAATAGACCCAGAGGATAATAATAGCGACTCGGTGCCGATAATCATGGGTCCGGAATCCGATATTGAAATGGGCACAGCATCAGATTCCGAGGTCGACCCCGCTCGTAATAGTGGGATGAATTCAACAAGCTCGGAAGCTAGTAATAATTTCTCAGGGGGTGGTAGTATTGGCGTTGGGCAGTTGAGTTCTGATATAGAGCTCTTTGGAAGTACAAACAGCGAGGACCTAGAAGGAACCGATGAGGAAAGACTGGGATCAGGAATGATGCGGAGAGGGTTTGTCGCCGAACCACCTATATCAAATGCCGAAGCTGTCGATAGCTACGACGACATTACAGAATCTTCAGCGGATGATTCATCAGATGATCCTTCATCAAGTGACAGCGATAATATGGATATGGATCATGATCACGAGTCAGGTTCGTCAGGTTCCAGTGAATCGAACGATGAAGGTTTTCCTTATGGGGAGAGAAAAACCGCTATGACGAAAATCGAATTGCTTTCAGTGGCCATACACGATATAAAGCTTACACACACATTATCCAGGGCATCCGCCACCGATATCACCTCTTTAATCAACGATATAAGTTCTTCTGCTGATACGGACGGCAAGACACGTGCAACCTGGGATTATCGAACTACCAAGAAATGGATCCAAACAAAGACTGGAGTAGAATCTATCAGTATAGACTGTTGTAAATCTTCATGTATGTCATTTGCATTATATCCTGAAAAGTGTGAATTGGAGTGTGGGAGAATAGACGACTTGAGGAGGGTTTGAACACGTGACCTTTGTGAGGAATATGTTTATAGTGCAAAGAAGATACTATTGCGCCGCTGAGTTCCAGCGACAACTATGGGAGTTTCTTACTCCTTATATACAGATAGTTCTTAGTACCACGTGATCCCCTGATTACATAATCCTAGCGCTAAGCCTCCTTGTTCCAACTATGAGTCATCCCTTATACATGAGTAATTACCATACATAACCGATGTCGCAATGCCATATTTTTACACTTCCCCTCACTTGCCACATCGTATCAATTCTGACAATTTTTGGTGAGCTGGTTTTGGTAGTCCTTTGGTCATTATGTCCGCGACATTGTCTTCGGTAGGGACGTAGAGGATTTCGAAGGTTCCGGCTTCGAGTTGTTCACGTGTGTAGTGGTAGTGAACGTCGATGTGCTTGGACCGGTCGTGGATGCGTGGGTTCCGACAGAGTTCAATAGAACCTGTGTTGTCGGCGTGGATGAAGTACTGGTATTGTTGTTGGAGTTCGAGCAAGGCATTACGAATCCATACTAGTTGTCGAGCTGCGAGAGACAGGGCCATGTATTCGGCTTCTGTTGTTGAGACTGCGACTGATTTCTGCTTCCGGCTTCTCCAGCTGATGGCTGACTTCCCTAGTCTGAACACGTATCCTGAGAACGATTTTCTGTCATCTAGGTCTGAAGCGTAGGAACTGTCTGAGAATCCGTCGAGTGTTCTAGTATTCCCCTTCGGGTAGAACAGGTTCCAGTCTTTGGTTCCGTTGAGGTATCGGAGAGTTCGCTTGGCTGCTCGTAGGTGGTCCTCGGTTGGACATGAGGAGTACTGGGAGAGAGCGGTAACGGCATGGGTGATATCAGGTCTGGTAGCTATACTCGCGTACATCAGTGATCCTATTATGGATTGGTACTCAGTTGGTTTCTCGATTTGGTCTTCCGGTTCGCCTTTGTGAAGGTTAAGGTTCGGTTCGAGTGGTGTACCAACTGGTTTGCAGTTACTCATTCCAAATTTATCCAGGATCTTATTGATGTATGCGCGTTGTGATAGTGTGATACCGTTGTTGGTTACCGTTATTTCTATTCCCAATATGAACTTCGAGTTACCGAGATCCGTACATTCGAAATCTGCCTTGAGTAGTTGTCTGATTTCTTTTCTGAATGGGGAGTCGGGTCCGAATATCATGATGTCATCTACATACACCGATATGTATAGATGGTGGTTCTTATGTATGAAGACACATGGGTCGAATTTGGCTGGGACGAATCCTTTCCGTTGAAGGGAGTCTGCTAGGCAAGCATACCATTCACGGGGTGATTGCTTTAGTCCGTATATGCATTTTCGAAGTTTACAAACCTTGTTGTCCTGCCTGTAGCCTTCAGGCAGTTCCATGTAGATTTCCTCCTTGAGTACACCATACAGGAAGGCTGACTTGACGTCCATTTGTTGTGGTATCCAACCGTTGTGTGCAGCTAGTGCCAGTAGGAGCCGTAGAGAATCATATCGTGCAACGGGGGCGAAGGTCTCATCGTAGTCTTGGTACTGTACTTGGGTGAAGCCTTTAGCAACGTACCTTGCTTTGTACCGCTCGATTGTTCCGTCCGCGTTGTGTTTCACTTTGAATACCCATTTTCCTTTGACTACTGCTCGGTTGGATGGTCTGTTGACAATATCCCAGGTATGGGCTTTGTCAAGGGCGTCTTTCTCAGTCTGTATCGCCTTTTTCCATAGGTGTTGATCGTCGCTCTGCATAGCTTGATTGAAGGTAGAAGGTTCTGTTACGAGGTGTATATGGTAGTTCGGGGGGAGTTTGGATACGTCTTGATATTCCGTGTCTAACTCAGCCCTATAACGTCTGAAGTCTTCTTTGTATTGATCGATTAATTCTTGTTCAGTGGCTTTGTTTCCTGGGCCATTTTCTTTCACATCTTCGATATAACTTGTAAGTAACTTCTGTTGTTCTACTACCTTCTCGTCATACTCCTTCCTTCGTACTTCTATTTCAATTTCTCTATTTTTTCGCTGGCGTATTCGATCTGATCGTTTTGGAGGTTGTGGTGGTGTACCTTTGGGTGTCGTTGACACAAGTGGTTTTCCTTTGAAGCCTTTGAATGGTACGACTGGTGCTGGAATTTTCTCCCAGTTGTCTCTTGGGTCTCGCGGTTGTCCCATAGGTACGGCAGGTTGTTTTCCCTTGTCTGGTGTAGCCGGTGGTGGTTTTCTAACCAGTTCCGGTGATTCCGGGAACAATCCTGGCATTTCTGTACGGTCCTCTTCGATTGCATTTGACTCGGGTTCTGGATCAGACCTGTCTTCTGATTCGTATCCGTCGTCTGATGGTGCATTTGCCGTTTCTGGTTTCAGGCTGGGGATGAAGTCGAGTTCCACTGAGACTTCCCCTGATTCAGGAGGGGGGAATGTGACGTCCCGACTTTCAATTACCCTATGTTGTGTTCCTATCCAGATACGGTATATTTTATCACTATCTGAGTATCCAACTATGATTCCTTCATACGCTCGGGGTGCTAGTTTGCTTCCTGCTGGCCTAGAGTTTTCTGGGATGTGGACGTAGCATTTTTTGCCGAATGGTTGAAGGTGTTGTATACTTGGCTTGGTTCCTTTCAGGGCTTCAAAGGGGGTCTTTCCCTTAAGCGTACTGTGAGGTAGCCTGTTTTTGAGGTAGACAGCTGTTGCGTATGCTTCTCCCCATAACGACTTAGGATGGTCCATGATCATGCACCTGACCATTGTGGTTACTGTCCTGTTAAATCGTTCTGCAACTCCATTAGATTCAGGAGTGTATGGGGGAGTCTGTTCATGAACTATTCCTTGTGAATCGAAGTAGTTCGTTATGTCCTTGTTGATGTATTCACCACCACCATCCGTTCTGAATCTTAGTATTGTTGTGCTATACTGTTTTTCGATCCTTGTAACGTAGTCCTTGATGGCCTTTTTTGCGTCTTCTTTCTGTTTCAGGAGATATATCCATGCGAAGCGGGTGTAATCATCGATGAAGGACATATAGTACTGAGCTTTCCCTTGTGACTGTATACTGAACTTTCCAGATAGATCTGAGTGGATTAGTTCGAATGGTCGTTTGGATCTAGTACTAATTGGTGCAGGTTTCTTATGTACGCTTTTTGATAGTGCACATTGACTGCAGTGGAAACTTTCTGGTTTGGGAGGCAGCCTTTGAATGTCGTGATACAAGTTTTCTAGTGTCGCAGGGTGGCCTAACGCTTGATGCCATTCATCGTAAGAGGTCAAACGAACTGTATTGCTAACTACTTGTACATTCCAAAGTCCCTTTTCCAATTTTGCCCAAATTATTCCTTTCTTTTCTTTTGTAACCAACTTGCTTCCTCCTCCTGACTCCGTTCTAAATCCCTTTTTGTCGAGCACGGTTTCGGAGACCAATCCCACATTTCCCAAGGTTGGGACCAACAGCACATCGGTGAGGATAATGGAAGATCTACTTCCATCGGGAAGGTGGCAGCTGAAACTAGCGCTTCCCATTCCGGTGACAGCGTGGTTGGTTCCATCAGCTGTTCGGACGTTGCCGGTGTGAGGTTGGATGTTGATGAGTTGGTCTTGGAAGGGTGTGACGTGAGAGGTCGCTCCAGAATCAAGGATCCAAGTAAGGGGTTGGGAGTTGTTGTGGCGTACCATACAGATAGTGGTTGTAGTGTCATTTACTACAACCGATGCCGAGTTGTCCTTTCTCCTTCCCTTTCTGTTCTTGTTCTGTTCTTTGAGCTTTCTGCATTCCGTGTACTCGTGGCCTTTGTAAGGCTGTCCCCTTTTCTTGCACCAGGTGCATTCCTTGTCGCTTGTGGTACTCCTGGTATGGAGTACCTTGTTCCCTGTTTGAGGGGCTACCTCATCCAGGTTCTGTAGTCGTTGGCGTACGTCTTCGTAGGTAACATCCTGTTTGGTTTGGATGTTGTCGACGACGTTGCTCATCGATTTGGGTAGCGAACTTAGGAGGAATGCCGCCATGGCTTCGTTGGATTTGGTGAGGGGTAGGAGAGCCTGAGCGAGTTTGTGGTCTGCGCTTTGGCATCTGGACTTGAGAGTATTCCAGTTCGCATCGAAGGTCGCGAGATGCTCGGTCAGTGATCCGCCTTCTTGCATCTTCGTGTCTAGGACGCGGCTGAGGAGGGTGATCGTGGTGTTGGGTGAGACACGATCGTAGAGGTCTTTGAGCGCCTTCCATGCGTAGAATGCATTTTCGGCGGAGACGACTGTTGGTTGTATTTCTTCGCATACAGCAGAGATGAGAAGGCTGTGCATTTGTTTACGAGCCTTCTTTATCTCGGTTTTGCTGAGTTCGGTGTCATTCTCGTCGGGGTTCTCGATGCTCAACGCTTCCCACCAGTCTACAGCGTCGAACGTTATCCTCCAGGCACTCGCCCAAGTTTGGTAGTTGGATTGCCCTTGTAGCTTAGGGAGTCCATCAAACTTGAGACGAATGTTACTGGTGGCTGTGGTCTCTGAGGGTTTAGTCTCAGCAGCACTGGATGACGATTCTCCACCTGAAGGCATGATGTTGTATGAAGTGTTGTTGAGTTAAGCGAGGTGGCGATGGTGTAGTGCGGATTCTATTTGGCAGAACCCGGGCTCATAACCTGTGAATTGGAGTGTGGGAGAATAGACGACTTGAGGAGGGTTTGAACACGTGACCTTTGTGAGGAATATGTTTATAGTGCAAAGAAGATACTATTGCGCCGCTGAGTTCCAGCGACAACTATGGGAGTTTCTTACTCCTTATATACAGATAGTTCTTAGTACCACGTGATCCCCTGATTACATAATCCTAGCGCTAAGCCTCCTTGTTCCAACTATGAGTCATCCCTTATACATGAGTAATTACCATACATAACCGATGTCGCAATGCCATATTTTTACAAAAAGAGGCAGTGCGACTATTGTCAACACCCCAGATGGAAAGACCCTGCCGGCCGAAAAAATCCATTCGCGACGTACGAATATATTCCAATAGAACACCGCCTCCGGTTATGGTACGCTGATCCAGAACGTGCAAAATGGTTGATAGCTTACCGCCACCAATGCGAAATGCAGGCCGAAGATGTTATGTCGGACTTTTGGACTAGTCAGCTTTATCGGGACATGAAGGAGAAGGGACTATTTCAGTCAAACACAGATCTAGGTTTTGTGTTGACAACAGATGGTGTCCAAGTATTTCAATCGAGAGCGAAGTTTTCAATTTGGCCAATAGCTCTTTTATGCCTCAACCTCCCCCCTACAATACGAGCAAAACGCCAAAATATGCTGTCTGTTGGGTTTGTTCCAGGTCCAAAAACACCAAAAGACATAGACTCTTTCTTATACCTGTTAGTTAAAGAGTTCGAAGCGCTACAAAGAGGGATACCCGGAGTTCTAAATGCAGCAATACCTAACTGGATGCCTGTGTATGAAAGAAAAATGACTCTCCACGGGCATATATGCCTAATTGCCGCTGATATGGTTGCACGCGAGAAGCTAATGAAAGTGACGGGAAATCGCTCTTATTGCTATTGTGAATACTGCATGGTGCGTGGGGTGTGGAACGGGTCTCTCTACTGCCCAATGACGCCGCCGACTGATGCACCAGAATCAGCTCGAACACGAAGAGGATCTGGTTACCCTTGGATGCTTTGGGAAAGAGAAATTGATTTGCTACCAATGCGGACTGACGAAGAATTTCGTATGGTTGCCGGAAGAATTGCTGGACGGGGTGCAACAGCAAAGCAAAAAGCAAAATATGGAATTAAAGGACTATCAATATTAAGCAGACTGTCGTCGATCGATTTCCCAAGGAGCTTTCCACCTGACGCTATGCACCTGTGGTTTGAAAACATAGTGCCAGATCTTGTTAAGCATTGGAGGGGAAAGTTTGTGTGCGATCTACCTAGTGCACCGAGGTGCAGACAACAACACCGGGCACCGACGGGAATGCCAGATGATAGAGGTTCCGATGAAGAAGACGAAGAAGACGAAGAAGAGGAAGAAGAGGAAGAAGACGAAGAAGACGAAGAAGATGAAGAAGAGGAAGAAGAGGAAAAAGACGAAGAAGAGGAAGAGCTGGCAGACGATGAGAATAGCGACGAGGAAAGACCAAGAAGATCTAGAGGCAGTTTTTCCCGGACCCCCGCAGCCAGGCGAGCTCCTCGACGAAGATTTCATAGCGTCTCTTCTGCTAGTAATGCCGCACCTGTTATACCTCCAAATGGCAGCCGTATTGATGGTCATATCAGACTTACAGTAGGCCAGGCAATGGCAAAGGCTATCCAGAATGACGATCCTTACAATATACCACTAAAGGAATGGGAGAAAATGAGCGCGGATATTGCTTCCAGCGCATCAAATTTCCCACAGCTCTTCGGTCCCATATTACGGAATTTCATTGAATATATAAACATGATGACTGCAGCGGAGTGGCAATTATTTGCTTTTCTTATTGGGCCAGTTTACCTCAAAGGGCTCCTCCCAGAAGAGGATTATATTGAGTTTATCAGCTTGATAGAGACGATTCAAATAACATGCGACCATTCAATCAGCACAGAAGATCTCGAGGAATCACAGCGTAATATTCAAAGGTTCAGCGAGTATTATGAGAGGCGCTATTACCGCATGCAATGGACACGACTAAAAACCTGTTTGCCGGTATTCCACCAAATTATCCACGTTCCGCAGGCATTAAAATGGGCTGGACCGATGTTTTCATATTCTCAATGGGCAATGGAGCGTTTCTGTGGGACACTAGCTAAAACAGCGAAGTCTAGGGTCTCAACAAATCAGAATATTGCTAATACTATTACGATGTTGGAGCAGAAGAACGCTTTAGTATATGTTATTGACCACGAAAACATCGCTATGCAATCAAGCGACGAAGACTCTGACGGCAATATACGATTGTCAAAGTTCCTATCCCGTCGGATAAAGGCTTCTCGACCACCGGATGCACAATCACAGACAGGCCAATTGCAAGTTGAAAATAATTATAAAATTACGTTCTGTGGTCCTTCAAAGATCAAACCACTGACCCCCTATCAAAGGATGATCCTGAAGAACTTTCTGGCGCATGAAAATAATATGCAGGAAAGCAATGTAGCCTTGCTAGGTATGAAAAATAAACGAAATTAAATGATATACAAGTTTTAATTTTCTATATAGACATTGAGGATATCCATCTCGACGAGCAGGCCGACGGCTTTGATATCCCAACACATTGCCGTGTATTCCGGGCAGCGCACTTTGAGACAAAACACCGAGATCCATATCCGTTCAAAGCAACTTCTTCAACCATGAAGAGATCGAACCTGACACGTTCTACTTCCAACGTATTATTTAGAGTTGCTCCGAGACTAAACGTCAACCAATACGGAGAGGTTTTATTCTTTTTTTCAGTGGAAATTCCAGAAAATAACGACAACAATTTCTTTCAACATTATCTGCAAAGAGCTAGACAGATATTACTCCACAACCTCACAGTTACAGGTGTGGAAGCTGTTGATGAACTGGTACAGTTGAAAGAAGGGGGAGTAATAAGAAAGAAAAAAGAAAGGGAACTCTTATTGGCATGTATCAGGCATTTCCTGGCATGCAATGATGGCAGATTAAGATACCGTGGAGGGAAAGGAATCATCCGAATTATACCAGCTAACGACATCCACGAACTCATCGGTCTGTTGAATAAAGAAGGGAGACAGTATATCATTAGGAGATATACTGCGCTATTCGATTAGAAACCTCAGGTCATTAATAAAGAAATCACACATGATGTACTTAGATAATATTAATCATAATACCATGGGCGGGATTCTATACTCTCGAGCTTCACATATGCATGAGTGTATATATATGCGAAGCTGCAGTAATTATAGACAGACAATATTAACTTCCAGAGCTAAACATATCTAAACAGTTTTTAAACATAATGACATTACAAATGAGATATGTTTAAATTAAACAGTTTTTGCGCTGCAGTTAAACAGTTTAAATGTTTAAGTTATACATATTTCGCATATAAGCCGGTTAAACAGTTTTTATGATTAACTCAAACATAGATACTGTTTAAATTAAACAGTTAGTATATGTTTAACTTAAACATATAGAGTATGTAGGTCCGTGAATATAAAAATGTTTAAGTTAAACATATACTAACTGTTTAATTTAAACATTTTTTACAGGCTCACAAAGAGTGTTTAAGTTAAACAAAGAAACTGTTTACCTAATTTGTTTAGATACAACTAGGCTATTTGAGATGTTTAGTTTAAACACTTTCTATGTTTAACACGAAATGTTAAACACTTTTTCCAGAGGTTAAACATAAAAACTGTTTGAGTTAAACACTACCCACCGGTTGCATGTACTCCAGTGGGTATGGTTGGGGAGTGGCTGGTTTCGAGGATCAACTTCCACCACTAACATTGACTTTCCTTAACCAAACCCGGGGTTGTTTTATCTCTATTTTGTCATAGTTCCGCTTCTCGTATACAGCGTAACAGAGCCAGAATAATTTTATCTTTCGTTGTGGCTTCTAAAAGTTGGGTTTTTTTTGGTGGGTGATCCAACGAATGACACACTCATAATTCCCTATTTGGGATCCAGCATTACTATATGGGGACACTAGCACCAAGATCCTACATGTACATGTAGTCTTAATAAGCCTGCTCTAAAAAGATTAATTTATTACCTGATTAGGAAGTTGATATTCATAAACCAATGTCGCAAGACTCCGGTTATGTACATAGTATCTCCAACCGCACAATAGGCGTGTATTCTGTACCTACATGTAGCTATAGTACATGCATGTATACATGTATACATCTTACATCTCGACAGACCTCACAGTGGGCTATATGTAGTCTTTACAGACATTTTAGCTATAGTACGTATATACTCTATATATATTGATCAAGTACATTAATGGTGGGTTGGATTGGCATAGGGCTATATGTAGGTTTATTCCCATACGTTTCCGGAAAATGCAATGTAGCCTACGTCATGTACGTAGGACGTTGGAGACGAGAGGTAATTGATAGCCCCGCCTTCAATGTATCTCTCTTCCTTGAAGCTGCCTTGCCCAGCATTCTTGTGGCATAACTCTTGGCGCCAAGCGACAATTGGGTTGGGACTCTGGATCAATAAACCCTTCTCCATTAATTTAATATCGATATTTCGAACCCAAATTAAACACCAATGGTTAGGTTATCGCGCTATAGATCTATCCAGGCGCGATTGAAATTCAATCTCCGAATAGCAGAGCCCTTATAACAGTACCAACGTTATAACGTCGCAGGCCTCGAGCCTATATATAGCTAGCTCGCCTTTAATTACGGACTCATGATAAGTAATATCGTGGAATCCAAAGCTGCGTACACATCAAGACTCGGGTTAAATGCGCAGCTAGGGATGCGGGTTGAGTGGGAAAGTTTGTTTCAAATGACCAGCTATATATGCGTACGGGCATCGACCGATTGTTAGGATCGATGGCGATACTCGTTTGAGGTGCTTTGCAGTCTATAGATCTAGCTATACCCAGCTCTTCGGTATGTATACGTAATATGTACAGGTAAAAACATTATACAATCATTCATCATCACTTGATAATACCGCCAGTTGACGAACACGAATAGGGCAGGTTGATCATGAGCCAATGGGAATCGAAGAAACCTCGATATCTTGTAGCTTAGATGCTTCCTGCCATCAACTTAAAGCATTCGTTGAGTGACGGTGAACGACTGTAGGTACATACTTGTATGCTTGAGTGAGCCGCCGCGCGGGAGTGATAGGACCGATGAATACACCGCTGCGTCTATAGATCACGAGGTTAGATGAAGTTCTTGAAATCAGATGGAATTTGAATTAGATCTCGAGATCTCCTTGGCATTTTAATTCACGAAAGATATGATGTTCTCATCTTATACGATGGTCATACGAATACGTGCTTTCTAGCGGTATGCACTTAGTGAGTAATTCCATATGTTCTATAGTCTAGGATGTCGTAGGCTAGGAAGATTTTGCCTCCGAAGCTGGTGTCTATCTGATATGTAGATACATTAATTATCTCGTTCTATCATAGCTCCAATGACTAGCTCAGGAGCTAGGGGTGCCCTACTGTATGATGTACGTACATGCTGCATGATACATGCATGAGGATTAAGAAAGAATTTGCTTCTCGGGTTCATGTACTTCAATGACCCACGGTTATGGTACATACATATGTACTTATGTAGTAGTTAACTGCCATTAATTCATGGTGAGCCAGTTAGCAGCAGAGACTTTTAGCCAGTATGTACCTTAAAGCAACGAACAAAAAAATTATTTATTCCCAAGACTTCCAAGACACGCAAGTTGGATGCGATATAATATTTTCGACTGCAAGACTTAAGGATACGCCTAGAGATATTTTCAATCCCAATGCCTAAGATTCCCCTCTCGGAGTAATTTTGAGACTATGCGGGCCAAGGAACTAAGCATGCAGAAGGGAATTAATAATTTTTTGTTTGTGGATTTTTTTGTTGCTGGTGGCTAAAGGTCTCTAGTCAAGGGCGGGTGAGTACATGTGGTTACATGTAATTGGTGGGGGGCTGATCAGTGTTACAGCACCGTACGCGTGCTAGGCTTCACCCGGCGCGGCGATCATATCAGAAATACCCACTATCAAATTAAATCCTGACATCCGAATGGTCTTGCTGGTAGTAGAGAAAGATTCCCCTTTTACACCTGGCTAAAGCCAACACGTTTCAGCGGAATTATACAACTCTAAATATACAAAGCTCTAGATCTCTTGTCAAGCCTTTCCACTATCACCTCTTCGCGGTCTTCTGATTTTGCAACTCAATACTCAACAATACACTTGCAAGTTTTTCATCAACCAGTCAGGAAATAATTCCAGGAAATAATTCTAGGAAACAAGTCGCACTCTTTTCTTCCTTTCGTTCTCTCAGCTATGGAAAATTCTGCAAATCAAAGAGTCAGAAGGACCTTTGACATACGAATACAGCCCGCAAGTGACTCAACGAAGAAAACGGTCCTGGTATGTAAACTCGGTACTGATCTGGCGGCTGCACAGATCATGTACTCACTCCATTCTACAGCCAAAAAGAAAGTACTCAAGAGTAAATACACCGGAGTGGCGAAAGGATCAGGCAAAGATCAAAGTGAACCCTCTAGTAAGCGAGGTGACTCAATTTTTAGATAAGGTACTCACTCGTATTTAATCACGGTTCTGATCACTTACCTTAGCTAACATGAGTAAATCACAGAAAGCAGTTCACTGTACTCTTGCAGTCCAAACAGACGTAATAAACTCAATCTACATTGATTTTATTCTTAAGCATTCCGAGACTTAGACATAGCAGCCAGCAGGTAAACAGAGTCAGCGCTACTTTGGGTTATGCAATGACCCTTCGCCGGATGATGATGATTCCGATAAGGATGACCGATACGACGACAGCGACGATGAGGATGATGAGTACCGTCCCAAGCCAGAAAATACGGGTATGAGGATGAAGTCGAGTAAAGAAGGTAGCCCGGCGGTTGTAGAACCTAAATATGAGCAGACAGGGGGTGTCTTATGGTACCTCCTGGACAAGCTTGGATCAACTACAAAGTTCACGAATAGCGAAATTAGACACGAAGGTACAAAATGTTTCGCAACATTCTATTCAACATATGTAACTAACTCGTGGGTTAGCGCAGCGTGCTTGGCGCCGATATAAAGGATGCAGGCTCAACAGTAGCCAGAAGCTTTGTGTCTTATTAGCCGTCAACATCCGGTGCAGGCAAGCTACATTCATGGAAATCCTGAATGGCAAGGGGCAGGGAAAGATATCTGATCGCAAATTAGCCCTAAAGTAGAGACGCACGCGCCACACACACACGCTGTGATGTATCTTGGTAGCTGTACGTAGGAGAAACAAATTCAAGCCATTGATTCAATTAACCTTGACCACAGATAGGGACCTCTCAATACATTTTAACCTGATTTGTTCCAACCTAGCTACACACTCACAAAAAAAAGGGGGAAAAATACCACTGGAGATATGGCGAGGCCTAGGTGCCTTCGTTCCCTATAGCGTATAAAAAGAGAGCTCTTGTAAATGGTAGAAGAAATTCGCAATGGGCCGGCGGCTCATGTACTACATACTAGCTAGGATAAGGAAGCCAATTCTAAGTTGACGTGACTCGGATGTAGAGGGGTATGCAGATGCTAAGTAGAGGCTTATCGTGGGTGAAGAGTCCGGGGTAGTGTCCAGTAAACGAACTTCCATCGCATTATGCATGCATGGGAAACTAGGCTCCAGGGTCGTCAGATTTAGCGGGGATAGTTATAAGGCAAAGTGTGGGAGGGGGGGGGGCATCTGGCATATTAGGATAACTCAAATGATCTGGACCGAGATTTAGAACCTCTGGAAGAGTTCGTAAATTCTGTAGAGACGACGTTGTGGGATCAATTCGGGACAAAGGTTTCGCTCTCTAGCTGCAGTTTGAATTACCAGGCGGGGAAACCCATTAATTTTCCAAGATACGTTCGTACAGTTTCCTCGAATGAGTAGACTTAGATGTTAAATCTCTCTGTTTAAAGATGTCCTAGATTCTAATTGGCGCTGCTCCTGTCATCGTGATCTCGTGAATCGGCCATGACCTGTGTTCATTCCACCAGGGCGCCCATGTTGGGGGGCGAAGCTGAGGATGTGCGGAATTAACTCTGTATCCCAACTTCTAGCTAGCGTTAAAAAGAGTGTTTCATTCTCCAATGTCAAATATTCTGGAATAATATTTCCAAGGGTCAACTTGCAATTTCTTTCCACCTATTGAGAAGCAATTGATTGTCACTTCCATAATTCCACCTGTGTTATGGTAGAGTACTTGATCCTTTTGATAGGCCCCTTCTTAGCCTTCTCCGATTCATTCTTTTCATAGCAGGCGTTGTAGCCTTCCCTCTTTGTGCTAGTATAAAGGGAGATATGCTGTACTTGAAGGCTAATCCAGTTGATGGTTGGTTCAAGCTGGTGTCGATGGCCGGCCGTTAGCGCGTTAAACTGATCAAAGCATGCGATGCACTACCGGCCCCGCTCATTTTTAGTTGGTCGAAGGACTCTCAGGAGGCCTTTATAGACTGCTACGTGTCCGATAGATGACGTCCATGGCATCAATATCTATTATGCGAAACACTGGAACGAACGGTCACGCGCGGTGAAGACCTCTTCCTATATTATATCCTGCGCGCGGGCAGTGTTGCACTACATGTAGCTACATATAAGCACTTACTCTACATGCACTTGTATTAATAATATATATGCTACATATCAGTTAAATGGAAGGTATGTGTATGTAGTAACATCTGAGAGGGTTCATTCAATTACCCCGCCTAATAATGCTCCGGCCATGCATGCAAGATTTGGGTTATGCAGGCTCGTCTCTTTTGAGAATTCGAAAGATAAGTTTAATCTTCAGAACCCATCTTATCCGGCAGGATATCTTTGTGTAAATACATGTAACTAGTAGTGGCCCACCTCGCGATCCGCGAGTTGCACCTTGGATTATGGGTATCAAGTGTTCAATACATATTAGATTAGTGGCAGCTGGTTACATGTATGGCGCACAGCTTGATTCTGAAATGGCCTGGACCGGTCTTCAGCATACGTAACCTCGATTTGATGGCGTGGCCTGGCTTATCGGCCAAATTAATACGTGATACGCATTACATAGAGTAGAGCTCAAGTATGTACCTTGTTCCGTTGGTACATACATACATGTATCTAGGTAGAACACCATCAGTCTGTGTAACATTGCATAGAGCTATGTCAAGTAGAGTAGAGTAACCTTCTGTGACCAAGCTTTGAAAATCTTCATGCATAGCCTGATTGCGTGAATGGGGAGCTAAGGCAGCCACTGCGCGTGCTGATCATCAACTCCATCATCCTGTTCGTCCTTTGATAGCTGAAATATATCCAACTCCAGCGTCTTTCATATCTAGCATAGTTTTACTCTCTTGAATTACAAGGCACTCAGACGCCAGGTAGCTTCAATCTCCTTTCACGCCTTCAGCTTAATTGCGCAAGATCCACAAAGGAAGCTTCTAGCTACGATGACCGCAAGATGTCCCCTAACATACCTCGTGAACGATGTTCCACGCGGCGTATCCCCGATGGGTCTCAATCTCTTTCTCGCCGCTCTCGTAAGCGGCTCATCAATGACCGACTTCGAGGCTGGCCACTATATTGGGAAGAAACCCGAAGGCTCTCGCTTTGGAGATCTCGCTAGCTTCCTAGCATTCGTGGAGAGCACTGCCGTTACAGAATCCCAACTTGACGACGAGCTCAGTGTCGCAACCATCACATTTAAAGAACCCCCGAAATGGTTCAAGAGCCGCGATTCCGACCCCTATGGCTTCCCGAAAAAGACGAAGCTGGGCACTATCTGGAAGGGGGTTGATATGACTGCGAAAGATGACGATGGGAGAACTGCGTTCATCAGAGCGGTGATAGATGGCAATCTCAAGCTCGCTGAGACCCTAGCGGAGTACAGAGAGACCGACATCAATGCCAAGGACAATCAAGGCATGACTGCTCTGCATTGGGCTTGCAAGAACGGACTGGCGGACCTTACGGCATTCTGTCTCTCACTGCCGGGATTGGATGTCAGCGTCAAGTCTACCGCTGGTCTGACCGCGTTCGATGTAGCGTACCGTGAAGCCCTTTGGGATGACAATGATGCCATCCCGACTCTTTTCTACAAGAACATGTTCGAGATGGACGAGTACGACCCCGATAATGCACTCTTACGACTTCTCACGCTTACAGCGGACCCCCGAGGGAAAACCACGTTTCCCCAAGAAGCCCTATTTAGTCCATCGCGGAATGGCAATCTACCTCTTGTGCAGGCTCTACTCCAAAACATGAGCTTCAACAAGCCAATCGTGTCCAACAAATACAAAGAAACGGCGCTGCATATGGCAGCTGGAGGTGGTCATACAGCAATAGTGGTTCTGCTCCTAGGTCAGGAAGGTTATGAGATCAATGCTGTTACTAAGGATGGGTGTACGGCATTGCACTACGCCGCCCGAGAAGGCTACATCCAGACTGTCAAGGAACTTGTAGACCGCGGAGCAAGCCTGAACATGGAGGATATCGGCGGAAATACAGCACTAGATCTTGCGACGAAACATGAACATCAGTCAACTGTCCGGTTTTTGATGGAAAAGGGTGCACCCGTGTCGAATGCGAGGGACGGGATCAAGGACCAAGGAAAGGATAAACCTACACTCAACGGAGCCAATGGCCAGACAAATGATAAGATTGATCAAGCTAGCGCTGAAGCGGGCGGTCAAACGAACAGTAATTCAAATATCGTGGCTTCTCTCCAAGCGAATTTACTGGCACATCTTGCCCAAGCGGGCGGTCACGAGGAGCCGCACAAGAGCGAGCAGACGTCTCTCCAAGTGGGTAGCCAGAGGTTGCCCCCCTTATTAATGATCAAACGTCCCTAACAATGAGCGAGCAGTCGTCTACCCCAATTAACAACCAGAAGCCATCCCAATCAAACAAGCAGGTGTCCGCCCAAGTGAACGGCCAGAATTCCGACCAAAAGAATGATCAAATTGTCCAAATAGAGGTGGAACTAAGGGTGGAAGAGCTACTGCGCGATCATGGAAATGATATCAATCGCAGAGACGACCAAGGAATGACGCCGTTACATGTGGCTATCTTCAGCCATGATACAGATGCTGTGAGGATGTTGATTGACCAAGGTGCCAGCATCGAAGAGAGGTTCTTCACCTGGAAAACACCACTCGAGATTGCCGAAGATATGAAAGAGAAAGCAATCATGGCACTCCTGGAGAAGAGTGGTGCCAAGTCCAGCGAGCAGAACGCGCGGGAGCGAGAGCCAAAGTTGAAAGTACGGCAAATTACTGTTGAGAGGAAGACTGAACAGCTCGTCTTAAAACCGTTGCTCCAGATTCAGAGCGTTGCACATTTAGCGGGGGTTTCCAGGGCAGATTCTAGGCCGGATTTCATCGATGACGACGTAACGGATATGGAGATACCGTTGGATCAGGAGCTTGCCTCATCACCCACCAGTGAAACCTCCAATGTGACTCCTCCGGGTAATGAAGGCCGCGAGGTATCAATCCCGTTTTCCTTTCGCTCTTCGTTGAACCATAATTTTGATACTTATCCGGCAATGATATATATATATATAGGAGACTCAAAGCCCGGAGCCACCTCACCAGGAGCTTGCGGTCCACCAGCCATTGTTCATAGACATATCACGTAGTCAGACGCCGGAAATTGGGTATAACGACGTATGTCACTTTACACTTTACGCCACCTGATTATTCTTGGTTAGCTAACGCCAGTGGTGGCGCTCCAAAGAACATCGAGACTTTGCATGAAGTAGAATACGAAGGACATCACGAGGAAGACTATGGATGGACAAGCCCAGCACGGAGCATGTCGCCTGAGCCCGATGTATTCCCACACACATCCCCCCCCCCTCTTTATTGGAATCAATTCTAACGCTTTTCGTTCGACCAAAACAGTTCTCGGGGGGTTACGATGATGATGATGGATATGGCGGAGGAGGAGGGGATGACGGCTATGGGGACTGGTAGGGCGGCGGTGTAAATTGATAGGGTTTGTCCTTCTGCCACCGTAGGATCCTCGGGATTATAGCCGGTAAAGCTTTGTTTCTTTTGAAAACACCCACTGACCGACCTCGAGCAGTCTTTTTTTTTTCTTCCAATTAGATTATTCTCTCTTATCATCGTTAGGAACCCCTCGATATACGATTGAGGCGACAACACTCGGTAATTCTACACGGATCGCGATTCATGTATGTATGCAGGGCCCGCCCGCGCAAGACCTGCTTTTTCGTTTATTTGCGATGTTTGTATCACATTTGGCTCTGTACTCGACAGAGCGCCGGTTTCTTTATTTTTTTTTTCCTTCATCTGTTTCTATATATATCTCCCGCATTTGTGTACATACCATGCACCCCATTTCGTCTCCTATGTCCCAGATATTCTTGATCAGCCAGGTTGAAGCTCTGTCCTCCGTGTCCTGTCCAGAAGCCATGCGATACCCGAACCATCCGCCTCCAGGTGAGCCGCATACCAACTTGGCGGGTTTTACATTCTGCCCGATTCCTGGTCATTGGGGGGTTTGGACAAAAGGCTGCCTCGCACCTGTCTTGCCTGTTGGTTTTTCTCGATATAGTCGCCCACTGTCCAAATCCAAGTTAATACACAAAATAAAAAGTCTAGCAAGTGCACCACTAGCTACTCGCCCTCTGCCCGCTCCCCTTCCTACACACATACATATCATCGAAATACCCCGTTTAAACCGCCGGACAACTGTTCTGGAATATATAGCCATCTGATGACATCTCCAGCTTGCGCATATCCACCTAGTTATAGCTGAGCATGAGACGGAGCGGGCCATGTGGTGAGAGAGCCTGTATGTAGTATGTAGCAAAGCCGGCTTTAGCATATGTAGGCCATATAAGCCAACATATACCCCAACTGTTGAAGCCCCACACGCGCATGGGAGTTGCATCGTGTCTGTTAGATTCGGTGTCCTTGGCGGTGTTGTATGCGGGGGCCGTGAGTGCGGCCCGGAGTGTAGCTTTCTATGGTTTGGGGGGGGGGTGTTTGTATACAGGGGATGCGTGGCTATATGAGGTTATGGGCATGCACAGGGGCGTAACCTTTGGGTGGTCGTGCGGCGACTTGTAGTACGACACGAGCTTGTATCTTTGCAACACATGAGTCGAGGTACGCTCTACAGACCGATCCTACGGAAAGGAGAGGCGATCATCAAGCCGGGTATACACACGCACGTATAGACAGTACTCGTATTTTCCTGACGTTTGTAAAAGGAACCGCTATTGCATACCATACTAAATTGTGGACTTGGCGCGTATTTGTATGGTATGCAATAGTGGTTCCTTTTACAAACGTCAGGAAGATACGAGTACATACATGTATCCACCACCACAAGTGCAGTAACGTCGACCGCGGTCCGTCCGCAGCGGGGGGGAAACCAGGAAGGAGAAGGCACATGTGCTGTAGTAAGTACAGATTGTGTCCAAATAGCGGCAAAAGAGACAGTACGCCCAGTGGGGTTGTTGGATGCACCATGCAAGTCCCCCTGTCTGTGCGCACTCTTCTGTGCGTGCAAGCACTGTGCTGTATGTGTTGGTTGTATGTCTCGACGTCGCGATCGTTCCCCCGCCTGCAGGGTCCCATCCCACCATGCACGGACACGCACCCCGGCACGGCACGGCACGTCATCTGCAGGTACCCGTGCGCAGCATCCCGGTGGGCGGGGTGCTGGGAGCGGTAAGATGAGGGTGACAGGATAGCGATAGCGATAGCGATAACAGCGCCACTCATCACCGCGGCTGGTTGTGGGAAGTACAAGGCTGGTGGGGTTGTGTGCTGTGGCGGCGGTATGGACGTGGAGTGCATGTGCTCAGGGTGTGACGGGGGAGGGAGGGAGAAGCAGCTAGCTGGAAGTGGGTGTGTTTGGTCTACAGCGAGGAGCAGTGAGGGGCGCATGGTTGAAGCCGGGTTTCCATACCTGGCCTCGGACTGCTGGGCTTGGGATTCGGTGAGTCGGTGCTTGTCTCCACGATTCATAAAAAGGGCGCCGTTCCGCCCGTCAGCGGACAGCAGCATTCAGATGGATCTTAAGCAGTCCATCTATATATGTATCCGTCACTGATGCAGTCCGTTGGTTTAATTTAATTGTTTACTAGTGCGGAGCGCAGCGGTTGGAACCCTAACCCTGGGATGCGAGTGAGAGTCTGTGACTAAATAGATGCTCAGGATTTTACAAAGATAACAGGACGGTGGGTAGTATCGATTTATAGAGGTGGGGGGTATTTCTGTGTGCAAACAGCCTTGAGTGCTTGTTTGAGTAATGGAAAGTCTACTCTACAGGCGTGGGTTAAGATGGCTGGGTGGTGATTGATCACAGGGGCGTGTGATGGATGAGAGTACGCATTTAGTTTGGCTAGGGTCTGTTGTTGCCTTCGATAGTTGTGATATACAACCAGTCTGGAGATTGGATTGAAGTATGTCATTTATCCAGCAACCTTTCCTTCTTTCTGCATTGATACATGTCTTAATTCATAACTCAACCTAACTAAACTAACCAGCCAACGCAACTCCACATTCGCACACCGACTTCCAAAGCGGGGATATCGTCAAGAGGACAATAGAGGCAGACAGATGGGTAGCTGTCCAGCACATATCAAAGTTTCCCAAAACACAGGCCACCTACGCCCAGTCGTCCTCTCATGACCAGGCTTATGAAGACAATCCTCTCTAACTCGTGTAAGATGAGTAAATAGCTGTGTGTGGAGTGGAAGGGTGGTAAAGCTCCAGAGCTTAAAGAAGCGGGCCGGGGTGAACACAGTCATATCAATTAAAAGCGCCAGAACTTGTAAAAGGCTAGTCCAGTCTCGTCCTTACCTCATCCATACAGGGCCCTAAGCATACACAACCTCGCACCAGCTCGCGGCATGTGAGATATCCCTATTAATCATCGCTGATCAGGAGTTGGTTGGGATTGCCAGTGGGTTCTAGAGAAATAACTTCTTTCGTTTCCCCAAGGTAGTCATCGCTGATCAGGAATTGGTTGGGATTGCCAGTGGGTTCTAGAGATATAACTTCTTTCGTTTCCCCCAAGGTAGTCAGCAGAAACCCCGGTATGCTAATGCACAGCAGATGATCCTGTGGCGCGGTAAAGTAATATATGTCAGTGTCCCCTATACTCCAGGTCCTGTCCTTCTTGTAGTCAGAATTCCGGGGAAGGGGCGCGTAGAATTGAGAATATTCCAGGAATCCCCTGGTCTTCTCTGTGAGTACGAGAAGTAGCGTATTCATGCCCTCGCACCGTTACGTAGTCCTACAAGCCTTTCGGGCCATGTCTGTCGTTCTACTGCGGATAATGTCGGTGCTGTGAGTATGTGAACTGCATTGCGCCGGAGGAGGTACAGTGGTAGGACCCTGAAGTCGGGCGCTGTGTGGAGGAGCTCGAGGATGACCTTTTCGGAGGAGGACTTGACTTCTCCTTTGATGGCGCAGTAGCGAAGTGATACGGGCTCAGGGGCCTAGAGATGGTAAGGTATTGTAGCCGATCTTGGGGTGTACGGAGGTGTAGGATGGTCAAGATGAGGAATCGGCTGTTTGGGGGAATACTGGATGTCGTGTCGGTGCGGCGCTGAGGCGTGTACGCGCGATGTTTGTATTCCCGAGTCATCAGTGGAACTCTGTGTAGACCAAGAACCCTCTGGGCTTTGCCGAAGACTCATTGTATCGCGCTTGCGATGCTGGGTTAGATTTCCCTAGGAGCAAAAAATTACTGTCGGCACCAAAGATGCTCATCTCCGGCCGAATTAAAGAATCGCTGGAGATTATCAGCGTCGGCATCAGCTGTATACCAGCTAGGATACCCGCGCTCGTCCTGATGTAACTGGAATTGGGTTTCAGTTCTCCACCGAGATGCAGACTGAATTAATGAGGTTGGTGATGCTCCTGTTAATTCTGGCTCTTGGTCTCGTTGTAGTTGTTGCTGTATACATGTATCACTCAAGTATAAAGGTTTATCATACGCTAGATCTGTGCAGGCTGTATCACGGCTACATGTATGTACCTTACTCTTCGTCCAGCTTCTAGGTCCTGGGCCGGTGGGTCCGGCGCCCGAGTGAAGAAGTCAAAGTCACAGGACACGGTCACAGTCCTCCCCATGCGCGGGTGCATGCCCTCAGGTCTGTGGAAGCAGGTCAATTGGCCAGACCATTAATCTGGGCGTATCTGATGATTGGAAAGTTTTAAAGCGACAGAAACGTATCTCCTTTGCTTATTGCAATTGAGCTGAACTTTGAGCTTTCTTCTTCTAGGCGACAAACCACAAAGACGAAAGTGCACTTTATTTTTGTTTTCCTCAGCTCTCCGCTCCTCACACAGCTACATTGCTAGGGGAATGAGCTGGCTCCCCCGATGCATGCTCAGCGAGCTAGGCTGCGCAGGAACTGGGGTCAGGGTATGTGAAGCGATTGGCGAGCACCGGGGTGCTCTCTGTCTCGCTATGTCTCTCCCGACTCTTGCTCAGGATAGGTATGATCCAGTAGGTATGTATGTATCGATGGGTATTATATTGCGCATGTCTGAAAGCACATAGCGCGAAAAAAATAAACAACTGCAGATCTACACGACCGGCCGGTCCGCATGGATACTTCCCCGCAGCGCCCGTGTGCGCATTGTGCGAGGGGGATGTGCTTCCAGGGTGAGACAGTTGGGGGAGATTAAGGGAATAGGTACATATGCACCTATCGATACGGTACATACTCGTACACACATGCATGTTGTGGCGTCAAGCTCGACGACCATCGATATCAAATATTCGGCAACACCCGGTATTTCTTCACGCAGGTTGGTAGAGTATTGGCCCTCCCGCCCGACGCGACGGGAAAGCCATCGGGAAAAGATTCAATAATTCACGGCCATTGTTTGTCGCAAAAGCCTGGTGGTGGACGTAGCTAGCTGTGAGTGAGGTCGGTTGTGACCTAAGGGACTTGGAATAACCCTAACCCTGTTGATATGCTTGAACGATAAACTCCCAAACTGGACACTTACGGTGATTACACATTATATTGTTTCTTTCCGTGGATTAGTGAGTAATTCATTGCCTAGGCTCGCTTCGGGTGCGCAGTAGATAAACGTGAGCGGTGGAACTCGCGAAACATCAGCTAGAGGCCGGTACCTCATTATCACGTTAAGGAATACATACATATAGCTGGTAATCTCAATACCCATAAATTGAGGTTTAACAAAAGCCATATACAAGGCTAGAGAAGCTGTAACAGAGTGACATGTAGCTAATGTAGACGCTGCCTTGAGTAAATCATATAAATCGAACTATGGAGTTGAGGTAAAAACGAGTGATATATGGTGATTAACGAGTGGCTTTTGCTAAGTTTCTACACTTCTCTTACCTCAACGCCCCTTAACAGGACGACATCGCCAGAAATGGATTATGGTGTAGATTAGAGATAGTAAATCTCTTCTCTTGGTGGCCCTCTACTCATCTACTGTCTCTCATTGAAAGTATTTTGCGCGTAGCTATTGAGAAGATGGATTGGGTATATATTATCTGCTTCTGTTATTACCAACACTGTTCCCGTGTCGCTCAAAATATTCCCTCGAAACCACGCTCAATGTCGATCTCAAACATCCGTTGCGTCTGAGATATCCCACCATCATAGACTCTGGTATAGTATCCCTCTCTTCAAACAAAGCCTCCGAGCCTCAGTACCGTTTCACTCCAGTCTCTTGAACCCAACAAACTTATCCCGTCTCTCAAACGACGGCGATTCCCAGCAAAAGTTCACAACCCTACCACACACCAAGATCAGCATTTGCGCGTCTCCCGTAAGTTTTGGAAACGGGTAGACTATTATACATACCCCCCATCACTCTGCAGATCGAAATCCCCGGCTTTGAAAACCCACACGTGGTACGACCACCATATCGGCAGCCAGCCCCATCGCCAAGATATAACCTCCGTCGGGCCCTCACCACCGCCGACGACATCCTCGAACTTGGTGGTGTATTTGCTGCCTGTGTAGACGAGGAGTACGTGGTGCTGATCCGTCGCCGTGCTGTATGTGACGGAGAGGCGACCGGCCTGCTCCTGGAGCGGGACGAAGTGAGATCAGTATATATAAGTTCATTACCCCAGGAGAGTAGTAGGGGAATGGCGTACTTGCACCCACGCCCCGCGCTCACGATGGGTGGGGTCTTTCATCCGCAGCATAAGACTGATTGTTGTCCCCCAGCCTGTGCGCTGTGGGCGTGGGCGAGCGGAGGAGCATTCGACGCGTGTAGCTTGCTGCTCTGCACTTGGGTTGCTGGGGCTTTCTCGAGGTTCGGACATGTTGAGGTTGGTGGGATCCGTTTCGGTTCTGAAAGCACGATGTTTGTAGATCTAGATTGAAGGAGGACTCGACAGAGGATAGGGCGGAGTGCCTTTATCTTAAGCTTTATTATAACAGATCCTAGCTAGCTAGCTGGGATGTTGGCGGGGCGGGCCGCTCGGATAGCTGACATGGAGTATATGCCGATCCCCTTTATATATGTAGGGACATGCATGAAGATTCCGGATTGCTGGGTGTACTACTATTATTGGCCATACAAAAATACGCCAAGCTCATGATTTTGGGTGTATGCAATAATGGCCCAGTTCAAAAACGTCAGGAAGATACTAGTACATGTACGCACTTGATTGCGAGCCAAAACGCATCGTGAAGAACGTGGGAATTGCAGGAATTCACTGTGAAGCAGCAAGATGTAAAACAGCTTGGCAGACCGCGATGTTGCTATATGAAGAATTATCCTCATAACGCGATATCAGATGGGAATTAAGCCTCGATGAACCAGCTCGTTGTTTGCTAATATTTACGTCTAGGAGCCATTTAAATGCGTTCAAGTCATAAATGTAATGGACGGGACCATCTTTAGTTACTTCCGGGGGCGTTGGAGGTCGTGGGCGCCAGCTGCAGCGGCGCGGGCCAGTATACGTATATGTAGAGCTTGGTCTATGTACATGTGGTGCTCGCCATCCAGATTCTTTATTTCATTATTTCAGCATATACTCACCCATATTACATCCCCTCGCAACCCGGAGGTTATCGAGAGCGAATGACATGTGCAATGTAATGATTGTGTGTTGTGCGATAAAGATGTAATCTCACACTGAAACTACATACGTACATCTAAATTTTGTCTATAGGATCAACATGATGAAGCGCAGTTGCCGTTTCTCATTCCACCGCTAGAAGACAAACTCTATTCCACCGCTTTCGGTAACATACTTCTCAGTAACCTTGTTACTTTTAACACCCACTGGACGGACACCTTTTTTTTCTTCATCGATGTCTTCCTCGTCTTCCCCATCATCCTCATCCTCATCCTCATCCTCATCATCTTCATCCTCATCCTCATCCTCGCCCTTATCCTCGCCCTCATCCTCATCCTCGTCCTCGTCCTCGTCCTCCCCTCCCTCGTTAATTTCAACCTCCACCACATCATCTACCCCTGTTGAAACTTCTCCCCTAACACCCAGACAGGGCTTCCATCGATTGTTCGGCTCAAGGAAGGCTGTCTCGACTTTACGGCTTGAATACCAGTTAAACTTGACTTTCCTGTATTGTACGGCATATATCTGTTCACCTGGCGTAGCGAACATGCGTTGAAACCTGTGGCCTTGTCCGCTTCCAGCACCTACCTCAGCGGTAAGCTCGAACCCGCCAACCCCGGGTATGCCACCACCAGTGATTTTAACACCCGTACTCAAGTCTCCGCTCTCGGAGATGCGGCCTCGTTCGGTGACACGGGCATCGACAAGAGTGTGGAATCCAACAACTAAATAAACATTGGCATCATCCTCTATCGCGTGATTAAGCCATGTGCGTGACTCGGGGTTCCCGCACGCCCGGGCAAACCACGCTTTCGAGTTGTCCAACAGGAATGTGAAGGACTTTGCCGCAGAGAAATCGACGAGATAGTCGTCCCGGTTTTCAAACGTCATGGAGAGAAGGCTGGCAAGCCGAGTTCGAAGGCCCGACGCTCGCACTGAAGACCTGATCTCTTCAAAGTCATGGAGGGGGCTTTTGGTGAATTTTGGTGACTCGGTGGAGGGGTCGATGTAATCTTGCTGGGGATAGCGGGTGTTGAGGACTAAGCGGCCGAGCTTGATTGCCTCAAGTGAGAGGGGGCTGCTTGGGAAGATGCTTTTCGGCGCCATGAAGAGCGGCGTTCTTGTATGTCCCGATTGATTTCTCACATGCACAACGAGAAGTCTTGCCGGTGGAGGGAGATAGATACGAGGATGCAAGGACTTGGGGAGCGGGGTTTGCGCGTGCTGATGAGAAGTGGGAACCTCTTCATCAAAGCAGTCTCGGAAACCTCTCACTCGTGGTGGAATAATTATAGGATATTTAATCGCGATCGTTAAGGATAGAGATCGAAACAACCAACATCTTCCCCACTGTCTGTGGGCTCGTCAAACGTGCAGATTCCTACAGCCGTGGTCGCACAAATCGGAATCAATGACCAATGGAATATCCTCATACCGATCTGTTTCTATATCTCGATTCCCATACACCGTTAAAACTAGATTGTACTTCTGAGGATGATCAACCAATAGTTAAGGAGATAATCCCTGGCCCGAGATGGATAGTTTGGCCTTGGCGCTATAAACCAACTCTGTCAGCTATCAGACTAGACAGAATCCGTATTCACACTGTGTAGATAGGCAGGTATGGCCGTAGAGTAGTGATAGCCTGATAAGGTTTTACTGAAAAGATCTTGGCGGCTGGGGTTTCGTCAAAGGAAGCGTTGCTAGCTAAGTTCGCTATCATGATGCTCTTCAGCGCTGTAGCTATCATAGCTACATACATAGTATTATAGATTAGTGCGGCTAGAAACGGCATCTAAGATACTTATTAAGTGGGCTGTTTTCCTTTTTCCTTGTTAGGGAAAAGCACCCCTGGTTTGATCAACGGACTTCGCCAACTCCTCTATTTAATATTTGAACAATTCCCCAGGTCTAGGTCGCGGCGTTTGCTCAGTCCTGGCGTTTGCTCAGTCCTTCTGTTCGCATTGAAATCTCTTCATACCCGGATAATCAGCTGAGGTAGGGTCATATCTAGCGAATAAGCCCTCAGATTTAGATACATTACTAATGGAGATAATGGTACAGGAAGTTTCGAAATCTAGAGATTTTCAAACACTACCCCGCCCCGCATCAAGACACCTCCGACTTTTGAAGAGAACGGCGGTTGGGTCATGATACATATTACCTGCATAAACCACATATATCTATATCGAGAGTATATCAAACGGGAAGAAGCAAGTGACTTTACAAATTTGAAATATTTGATATTACACGTTGCACCAAAATCCGACTGAACATCCCAAAGGATGGAAAGTATTTTTACGATGCCACGGTTTCTAGCTGGGGAGAGGTTCGGTGCCTGGTTTAATCGTTTTCTGGGAGCCAAGCCTCCAGCTAAGGATCCCAATACTACGGCAGCTGAAACTATCCTGGATGATATTCAGCGTATCGAAGCCAGCTTAGCTATTACTCCACTGCATAGGCCACACCGTGCACACCTTTTGATGCAATTGAGTAGCTGCCTAGCCAAAAGATATCACCAAGATGGAGACTTAGAGCACCTGGAAAAAGCCATCGAGCACCTCCACCTTGCGCAAGACATGAAGGTATTGGATAGCTCCACGCGTGCACATATATGCGCGGATCTCGGTTCCTGCCTGTTGCAGCGGTTTCGCCATTTCGGAGAAACCACCGATCTCCTCAAAGTTATAGATTTTATAACTTTCTCTTTATCGGAAGTGAGCGAGGACCTTGCAATGCGTGTGGAACTCTTGAACCGACTCAGTACGGCTTTACGCCTTCGGTATGACGCTGTGGAGGAATTGGACGACTTGAACGGAGCGATACGGCATCTACAGGAGGCTGTGGAGACAGTGACAGCACAGATGAATGTCCCAAATCATCAAATAATGCTTAGAAATCTCTCATCACTCTTCCATATACGATATGAACGTCTCGGGGACTTGGCTGATCTTGACTCCGCGATAAAGTTCATGGAGGCTACTATCTCAGCGACACCGGTGGACGATCCTTTGACTCGGGGGCACTTGCTTTATTACCTGAGCACTTCTGTGCTGCAGAGGTATGAGAAGCTACACAATCTACATGATCTCGAAGCGGTCATGGAACAGACGCTTGCAGCGCTTCAGGTGTTACCGGCGGGGCATACACTCGTAGTGATGCTTTTTGAAAACATGAGCAACGCACACGAAGCGCGCTACAACCTACAAGAAGATCCTAATGACATAGATACAGCCATCTTATACATGAAAAAGGCAATAGAAAAAACAGAGGCTAAAGACGTTTACCAACGTGCTGTTCGATTAACCAATTTGTCCAACATGTTCTTGTCTAGGCACGAGGAACGCCCTTCCGACTCTGACCTTAATGAGGCGATTGAATGCGCAAGTAAGGCTGTCCACTATGTTCGCCGATCTGACGATACTGCTCCTCTATCGAATATGTTGACAAATCTGGGGATATGTTACAATACGCGATTCCGATATACGGGTTTCCAAGACGCGGGGGATCTGGAAAGGGCCACCGATGCCGCCAGATCTGCTATCGAAGTGCTTGGAGTAACAAACCTTGACCATCCGGATCGGCCAGGTCTTCTCTGTAATCTAGCAGCCGGTCTCAGCAATCGCTATTTATTGTCCAATGACTTGAATGATCTGGAGGTTGCAATAGGGAACCTGAATGAGGCGATAGCTAGAATGCATGAAGCGGATCCTGATCGCGCCAACATGCTGATCAACATGGCCTCGCTCCTCGACCTCCGTTACAAACGTCTACGAGCGGTCAGTGACCTAAACGATGGGATCAAGTACGCCGAAAAAGCATTAGAAGTAATTTGTAACCAGAAGAGGGAGACTGGCCGAGCACTTCGCACCCAGGTTGAATATACACGCACACTCTGTCACCTGCTCAATATCCGCAGCCAAAGATTGAACTGCCCACAAGATCTTGATTCCGCAATACTACATGCAGGATCTATGCTGGGCGTACTGCCGGACAGTCATCCAGACCGCTCAAAGGTTCTGAAAGATTTGAGTGTTTACCTGATCATTCGGTATAATAGACAGCAGGCACTGAGTGACCTGGATGAAGCTACGGTCCACATGAAGTCCTGTATAGAAGAGACTGCCAAAGATGATCCCGATCGAGTGAGTAGATTGAATCAACTTGCGGTTATCCTTATTTCTCGCTATAGTCGGCTCAGAGAACCGGCCGACCTCAAGGAGGGCATTGAACATGTCGAAGAAGTATTGGAAATGACACCTGAGAACGATCCGAAGCGTGCAGAGAGCCTGACCTATCTTAGTAATCTGCTCCGATGGCAGCACCGGCGACTTGATGCCGCAGGTTCTCTCCAGGCCGCCGTGGCGTGTGCAGAGGCAGCTGTGAGAGCAACCCCGGCCCTCCATCCAGACTATAAGTGCAGGCTGGGAGACCTGAGCGCTGCCCTCCACGCCCGTTATGATAGGTTTGGTAATATAGAGGATCTAGAACTGGCAATTCGCCATACTGAAACCTGTCTCAAAGATACCGCGGTGGGGAGCCCGGGGCGCACTCGTAGCCTGATCGACCTGGGTGGGATGCTTAGGTGCAAATACCGTCGATTCGGAGCACTTTCAGACCTAGAGGCTGGATTCGAATACATCAAGGCTGCCGTGGCAGAGACACCGCTCGACCACCCAGACAGAGAGAGGATAGTGAACACCCTTGGCCCTTTTCTTGGTTCTCGTTATGCGCGGTTAGGCGCCTCTGCCGACCTCGAAGCCGCAATTCAGCGTAGTAAGGCTGCTCTTGAGGCCACAAAACCAGATGACCCTTCCTTCGCTGATAGGCTTGAATCTGTGGGGGGCTATCTGACAACTTTGTATATGGCATACCGTACCCCCTGTGACCTGGATGAGGCAATCCAGCATATTGAAAAGGCTCTGGAAATCACTCCGGAGGATGATCCCGAGCGTCCTGGTAGGCTGTCGAGTTTGGGCAAATGTTACCACGTCCGGTTTGAGCACTCGGCTTTTAATGATAGAAATATGAACGACCTTGATGCAGCCATCGAATATGAAAATCAAGCTGTGCTGGCTACACCTCTTGACGTACCTTCCCGTGCACACAGGCTCACTTGCCTTGGGACAAATCTGAGATTAAGGCACAAGTTAAAGTTGCAAAAGGGACTCTATGCAGATGATGATCGGACAAGAGCATTCAATGCTTTTATCGACGCCTGGAAATGCCAGACGGCACCCCCGAATACCCGTGTGCAGGCAGTTTGGCGCGCCGTCAAATTCTTCCAGTCATACGAACTAATATCGCCGTTAGAGTCTAGTATCCTACTAGAGGAGGCCGTCGAATTGTTACCTAAGATCAGTCTACGGTCGCTGGAGCAAGATGACCAGCAACAGCTACTGTCAAGCTTGTATGGGCTCTCGTCACTAGCGGCCTCGTCTGCACTAGAGGCAGGACGTGGAGCATACATCGCCTTGAAACTGCTTGAGCTTGGGCGAGGAATCATCACTGGCTTTGCAATCGACAATCGGAGTGAAATGTCAGATTTACAGACGTCACATCCAACCTTGTTCGATTCACTCATCAATCTTCGAACAGAGGCCAACTCGCCATTGCCAGAGAAGGGTACAGGGAATCCGACGGATTATCTAAATTCCTCAGCATCGAAGCGGAGGATTGCTCTGGAGCAAATGGATGCTCTCTTGGAAAGGATCCGTGAGATACCCGAGTACAAAGGCTTTCTCCTACCGCCCAGCCCGGAATCCTTGATGAAAATGGCAGAGCACGGCTCAATCGCTATCATGTGCGCCACCCCTCTCCGGAGCGATGCCATTATCATCACAAAGTCTGCAATAGAATCGATCGAGCTTAAAAAGTTACTTTACAAGGATGCCAAAACCAAAATGCGAGACATGGCGATGAATTTAGTTAGGGGTGGATTCGGGACCTGGGGCAAGAGAAACAAGGAGATGGTCAAACTTCTGGCTTGGCTTTGGGAGACGGCTGTAAAGCCCGTGTTGGATAAGGTAAATCCAGAGTCGAAGAACTCAAGGATCTGGTGGATTGGGATCGGGGAATTGAGTAGGGCACCTTTCCACGCCGCCGGATATCATAAGAAAGGGTGCTCGAAATACGCCATGAATAAAGTCATCTCCTCCTACATCCCAACAGTAAAGTCTCTACTGTACGCTCGTCAGCGGGACTTGAGATTAAACATGACCTCCACGCTTGATTCTCAACTTCTCCTGGTCACCATGCCCTCAACCCCCGGGCATCCAGACTTGCCTAGTGTTCAAGGGGAGGTCGCAGCCCTTGTTGAAATCGTTGAAAATAAAGAGCCCTTTGATAAGATAGTACCTTGGAAGACAAAGATCTTACAAGAGCCCTGTGCCAAGGGCGTGATGGAACAGCTTCCTGAGTTTGATGCGGTTCATTTTGCTTGCCATGGTGTTTCAGATAGTAACAACCCATCGAACAGCAGTCTACTCCTTTTGAATAAGGCTGTTGAAGGAGATAGCATTGATAGGTTGACGGTACGAGATATATCCAGAGCAACCTCCTCAAAAGCCCAGCTTGCATATCTCTCAGCCTGCAGCACTGCCGATAATGCTGCAATTGAGTTGGGAGACGAGACCATTCATCTCGCAGGCGCCTTTCAGCTTGCGGGCTTCAACCATGTTGTTGCCACTATGTGGCAATCGAGAGACACAGCGTGTAAAACTGTGGCAGAAGGTTTCTACACTAGGTTATATCGTGGTGATGGTGGTGGTGGTGGTGGAAATAGCGGGGCGGGAGGTAATTCGGGAGATACGCATCTGGCGGTCAGCATGGCTCTTCACGAGGCGGTGAAGAAAGCAAGGGCTGAATGTAGAGATAGGCCACTTACCTGGGCTCCGTTCATTCACACGGGGGCATGAAACGTATCTGTCACAGGAATATATATATATTTTTTTTGGCGCTGCTGCCGTGGAATCTGTAACTAGCCCAACGCGATAAATATGAGATACCAAGGCTTTTCCGTGGGACTTTGAGGTGAATGATAGTACCAATAGAACTATCAGTCGGGGAGTGATCTTGAAGATATAAGTATCCATATGCGCCTAGTGAGCCCCAGATCGACGGCCATACGAGTCGAATTCACTTTGTGAAAATAACATGACTTGATGATCAAAACCCGATAGTTGATAGGCTGTACATGTGTACTTCGGGAACAGCCAGCTAATTAGAGGCCGGGATGTAGTATAGGACGGAACTACAACGACGCAACGTCGAAAAGAAGCCTAACTCAATGAAGCCCAACGCAATGAATTCGATTAATTGTGCTTGATAATTAATTATTGTTACCAATATACGGGTATTTCCCTCCAGCAAAACGCATGGGTATGATACTTTCTCCGCGTCGAGGTGTTATATCAGGTGCGGGGCACATCGCGCGTTGAGGTTGAGGTTACGAGTCTAACGGTTGCCACTCACCTACCCTTCCTTGTGAATACTTGCGTAGGTTAAAAAATAAATATATCTCCTTGCCATCTAGATTGCCAGAGGGACTGCGGTTTAATCCAGTTTCAAAACCCTACTTCCTTCAAATAAACCTTTATATCAATAGTCTTGGATCGCGTTTTGTAGAAAACTATGTGCGGAAATAGTACTGAATATTTCCGACATGAGGGTAAATAGTAGGAGTATATATACTAAAAACAGGTGGCAATAGTAGGTTCTAGAAACCCTTAATAAGATATTCTTAGCCCTACTAGATAACCCCGGAAAATGACTCTTGGCAATGATCTCAAAAACATGTCACATATAAATCCATACAAAAATAACTCTACCCGGGGATTTACCTCCCAGGGCGAAAGTACAAAATCAACACGTTTTGGCTTAGTGTTATTGAGTGATGATTTATGATCATTGGCGCTGTGGTGCGGGTTACGCGTATACGTTGGTCCGACTCAACTGTGACGTGGCTGAACCCGGTCAAGCATTCTCAAACTGTAGGTATTTACATAAAACTACAGGCTTGGATATATGCGGCACCGTATCATCACTCCTCCATACTCGCATCTGAGCATAACCTATAATACCGGGATCATGATCACGAACAGCCTGAAAACGTCACGGCCGGAGGTTTAGTTAAAGGGTAATATAAGCCTACGAACTTCATTAAATGACCTTTCATGGACCCAAGGTTACAGACTGAGATCAAGAGGTTTGTTTTGGGATTTATTGGAACCAACCAACCACGAAAAGGTGTGAGCATGTCTCGACGGATTGTTGGATACACACATGTACTACACAGTGATGCCCTTAAACTCGCTGGCTAGTTGAGCCTGGTAGTACTCAGGGCAGGCAATAAGAACCTGAAAATGCAAGCTGCAAGCAGAGGCTCAATCTGGTGTAGCTTTTCGCCAGCCGCGAATCAGAGGTCGTTACCATAAAAAGTCATTTTCAGGTTCTTCTTACCTGCCCCGAGTAGTTATCATTATGTGAACTGAGAGTGCAGGCCAAGGACTGGTGGGTCACCGTTTCTCGACCCAGACCCTATGTGAGCATTGACTTGACGTTGTGACTTGGTCGTTACTGGTTTACGCGTTCTGGTAGAATTAATGCGAAAGTGGGTTTACCGTGACCCGATAGTCTCATTGGCCCTTAAAGGTGTTTTTGCAGTAAGCACGGGCCAATAAACCCACTCCTTTAGCTCTGACCTTCGCAATAATTCTACCGGAATCTGTACATATGTACATGTATCTTTTCTAATAGTTGGCCCTAACTATAACTCGGCTCAACTGGATGGGAGTTCTTGGGTGGGGCTCAAAGGTTCAATTGAGATCAGATAGGCATTCTAATTGGCCAAATAAATTACCCTCAAAGCTTGGTCAAAAACCTGAGGTATCCGACTGATCCAACTTTGAGTACCCTAATTATGTCTACATGTAACGGTTTAGGCGCAAAGAGTATAGTTCGCCATATAATGCCCGATAGCGGTTCAGAACCCAGGTGGCACCTCGTTTTTGGCCATCATGCGGTCCCTCCAGCGGCCATAAGCGGTTCTCATTTTTGACAAGGCTGGGCTGGAATCAATTAAAATGAAAGCTGAATTGGACAAATAAAAACCGGTTCAAACTGAAGAGTCCTTCTCACTTCTAGGCACGGACCAAACACAAATTCTAGAGCAAATGTGTACAGAGTTTGGGGATTCACTAGCACAGGGTGTTCGCTACTGATATGGAAAATTCTACGTGCATAGGAAACTAGTTTATCTCAACCGCCAAACTGAACTCACTGAACAATTAGGAATTTGGTCCTATTAAAGTAGGTATTTGAGAAAACACTGCAGCCATAGATGACGCACGAGCCATTCTACTAAATCTTTCCAATTCCTAATTGGTTCGAACTGTGCTTGATGAAACTCTATAGACATCATAATGTTAAACATGACTAGTGGCTCTATATATATATAGTGGGCAGCTTATTTGATCCTCAGTTTATGTCACTGCTACTTGTTAGGTATTCGGCAAGTATAGCTCAGTCAGTAGATATAGAAGACAGATAAAATCAGTCCCAATTCGTTTCAAGTTTGCCAGTATCTAGTTACATCGTCGCAGTACATTTGTGATATATATCGTTACCCGTACATTCAAGACATCGTTACCTCACTTGAACCTCCGAAACCTCGGCGTCTCCCAGCTTGATACCATAATATTCCCCGTCCGCTGCACGATCAACACGTACACCACATTCATATCTGGTCTTATCTCTCCCCCCAACATGTGCGTACCCCAATCTCCCCAGCTCTGTAGCAGTGCTCTCTCCTAGCAACAGATACTCGGGGACAGATCCCCAGGCTATTATCACATCACCCCCCCGGGAAAGCTGCCAGATTGAACCGCAGCAAGCGACAACCATATATACCATCAATACAGCTATTGCAAGTATTCCTGTTACACCCACCACCATGTACCCATAAAGAAAGTGCTGGACCAAAACTGGTGTATAGACAAAAGAACGATAGTCATCAATCTTCTCAATAAGTGAGCCAGGAGCGAACAGTTCTTTGGGTACCGAGCTCCCCGTGTCACGATAGGAGTAATCAGAATGCGTCAACGCATACTGGCTTAGGCTGCGATCCAGTAACGACAGTATGGTGATCCAGGGCCCACCCACTACCACCTCTACCGTTGACGCTTCAATAAGGTCGGTCAATATTGCCATATCATTTCCCGCGAGTTGATCGTTCTTCCTTTTCAGTTCCTCGGTACTCAGTCCGGCGGCCAGCGGTTGCCATATCGGCAAGCCTCTGTGGTTCGTCGAATTCACCAGTTTTTCCGCCCATAGCCGCAAATCCTCACTTTTGGTTGCTCCACGGTCGGAACGAGTCATGTTCGCTTTCGAGACGGAGGCATTGCTAGACACCTCATATACATCTCCAAGCGCGTGTTCATAATCCAACCAGCCTTTGCGAAAGATGAAGTTTGGTGATTTTCTCTCGAAAGTAGACTTGTCGGCGTACTCATACACTAAATTGGGATGATACTCGGCTTGGTAGACATCGTAAAGCTGACCGGCTAGGGTTGCCGTTGCAGATGTCAACGACGCCGTATTCGTACAGACAATGAGGTCTTCGGCAAATTCAAATACGAATAGAATAGAGTCGGTAAAATCACTACGCGATGGTAGACCGGGACCCTCAGTGATGTGAAACCTTGGGTGCCAGGTATCTAAAAGCTGATTTTTTTCATCCATTGCTCTCTGGCCGGAAGAGTTTTGGGGATAATCGACAAGAAGTAGAAGATCTTTATTTCTGAATAATTTATTGCCGACGCCCTCCGTTGTGGGAGCTTGAAAACACCACTCAGTGGCCGTGGTGGGATTGGTTATTGCTGTTGACTGGCCGTCGCAAGATAACCTCTGTACTCGTCTACACACCGCCGTTGATGTTACAGCCGTGATTGTCGTTACGAAATGTGTTGGTGATGCGTTATTTTTACGGGTAGGCTTGTACGTGATGTTCGCTTGGCCTGCGTATTCAACATCATCATACATCAGTGTTTCAAACCTCGTCCCTCCGTTCCACTTGGAATCTACCTTCAATGGACGACCCAAGGTTGCAGTTGTACTGCTGTTCACCGATAATCGGTGTGAGAAAACGTCAAATGTATGCGTTACCTGAGGAAGGTCCTGGACGTATAGCTCGGAAGGATCACTCCCAGACGTCGACCCGGTTCCGGATGCTTGCCAATGAGTGCCTGTATAGTTCCAGTACATGGGGGTTCCATAGATCGAAGAACCGTTTACATCGAGCGGGCTAATGAATATGTAAGGATGACCTGGTCGATTTGTGCCCTCGTCGAAAGGATAAATTGAAGACTTGTTCCAGTCATCGATGATTGTGTCCTGGGTCAATGTTTCCTGCAAGAACCAGTGTTGAGCTGGTATCATGAGCACCGCGCTCGAAGGGCCGACTGTTGCGCAAAGAACGGCCGCAATGAGGAGGAATCCTGTTATAGTCAAAACTGCCCTTCTCCTACTCCTAACGGTTTTACTCTCGTTTCGACTCGAGCCACTGAAATAACGTAAGCCATACTTGAGCGCCGATCTGTAGCCATTCGAGATGAGTACGCTTGGTGTTGCGGTCACTTGCTCGGCCCCGACAAGCGCAAGTATCGTCCCTTTCTTACTGATGAGTGAGCTCTGAATTAACTGGCGCGCTAGATTGGCGAGGCTAAGCACAATGGCTATCTCATGGGCCTTTGCAACGAATAGAAGGATGTTGAGTACGGCCTTAGTCTCGACTTTCGTCCGACCAAGTTCTGGGCCGATTACGTGCCCGATGAAGTTGAGGTAAATAAGAATGACTGCTGTGGCGACCGAAAGAACAGTCCAAAGATGCCACATAACATTGTGATGGAACGTTCTGAAGACAGGAAGCTGTGCTTGTACCCCGACTGGCGCTTGTGCAGTGGAGTTGCCCGCGGGGACAGGATCTGGAGAGGGAACAGGATCTGGAGAGGGAACAGGATCTGGAGAGGGGGCCGAACCGGGAGGACTCTGCCTAGGTAATTGAAGCATTATAAGAACTTAACTGGATGGGAAAAATTAGTTTGACGGCATTGTCAATTTTGAAACATGGATATCCTTCCAAAATCTTACATTATTTCGTTCTGCTTCCGCGGCCGGTGGAAGTGGCCACTTCAGTGCAAGTGGGAAGACTACTAGTATCTTCTGTGATGTTTTGTATCGGATGGTATATAGGTTTGTAGTACTGGTGAACTCTAAACTGTTGAGGGTTTATTTGATCCGGGTGTTCATGGGTGAAGAGAAGATGTCATTCTTAGTGCTAGGGAGTGAAAGGAGGATATAAGTAAATGTGCGTGCAGCGTGCTCTACTCAGAAGTATGTATACATATATCAAAAAAAACAAATCAATCATATATGTAGATCTGCAGAGTCAAAGGATGCGTTGTGCAGAATCGACACAGAGTTACACAGAGAGAGAGCGAATGACCTTGGACGAGGCTGCGATAGGTATTCCATCAAAAAATACTCTATCGAATGTCAAGGCCGGGCATGATAAGGGTAAAGTTATCCTCCAGACCAGATCAGCGGTCCCAAAAGAACATAATAAATCTTAGAGAACCTATGCTAAGATGCGTACCAAAGTCATAGGCTTTCGAAACCAGGACAGGTTATTTTAACTATGTACAATAGAGGATTACAGCGTGAGGTAAAATTACTGTAGAAATATGAGAAGAGTCCTATTGACAGAGTCAGCCACTTAAACCCCACCCTCAGACCCCGGTTTCTACAACAATTCGGTCGCATTAACTTCATTTTCTTACGTAAAGTGGGCTCATCACTCACCTATCACGATCAATTTGCAGAGAAAGAGCCTCAATTATGTTTCGAATAACCCCGATGGGTTGGTTGCGTTTATAGGCTGCCGTAGCAGAGGGGAATAGATATGGTGCGAGAGACCTTGGAGTGCGACCTTGTACCTTGTAATCCCTGTTCACACCAGTTCAGTATTGTAGCCCTTACAGCCATAAAGTTGAGTTATAGGTGAGGCTCGTTAATGTTAGCTTCGGGAGCCAATGAAAGAATTGACTGAAGTGGTGTGTTACGCAGGGTTGCTCTCTACTCTCTCTTGCACCATAGGTAGAGTACAACAACTTAACGTCACCTCGCGGCCGGAGGATGTGCGTTGGATTATATTATCAAGCATCAAGTGTGGAAGACTTTCAATGGGGGTATTCGGCACCCACTCCACTTCACTTTCTATCTCCTGCTGTGTCCAATTCAGTTCTCCCTCTACAGTTATGGGGGGCCGAAGGCCCACGTCCTCCTCCCATTCGGTCAGTTAGAATTCAGTATTTTGGAACGATCGATCTGGTTCCGTACGGAGCAACTATTTCTTCTGGGTCGCTGGCCCCCGCCCGCGTTTGAATTATTCCTGGGGACCACCACTAGTCGTGCAGAGATAGGTGAGGTGGGCGGAGACAGGCCTTCTATACACATGAATGGTTATATTATCTCATAGGTGCTTAAGCGAATGCTGTAGATCTTTCAGGACCGAGCTCGCAAATCACACGGTGTTGTTGAGAGACCTGGAAACTACTGGTTTATCGATATGCATGAGTCTAACCCTCAGACATGTTGGTTATCCCATGGTATGTAGCCTAATGTAGGTAGGATGAAATTTGTCCTTTCGCTAGCCTAGTATGGTAATTGTTAGAAATTCTCTAAGTACTGGTGCACGGTCCAGGTCGCAAGTTTGACAACTTTTCATCCTACCATGGGATACTAGAGTAATTCAATTTGTATGAGAGATCTGTTATTTTATAAGAGAGATAACGAGATCTGTTAGCAAAGCCACGCCAAATTTCCTTTTTTCTTGGGTGGCAGCGTGTTTTCTTGACAGATGAAGAGATAATTCTATCCCTATAACCCATTTTCTTCCATCTAAACTGATGTGGCGCACGTGGTCTCTACAGCAGAAATATGGCAGAATTATAGGGACGAAAATACTCTATTCAATTTGATGGGGTCATTTGCGTGAATCTGTCTAGTGTCAGAGTGAGGTACCGGTTGCTCAGTCCCTTCTTCCTCGAGGTTGTCAACTGGAACTTAAGTTCTCTCCCCGGAAATCGCGCCAACCCGGTACTCTAGAGTGGAGCACATGATAGATAGAAAGGCTGGCGGGAATCTTATCCGTGGTGTGGCATATACCGCCAAAAGAAACAGAAGATTATGCAGTTGATTAGGGGCAGACTGGGCAGGGCCATTCCTGTTCCCCCCACTTAAATGCTCTAGTTTTATTCGGGCATCTTTTACAAGTTGAGGCCTTTTCCACTTTTAAAGTGAGGGAAACTTCTGCAGCGAAGAGTCTCAAACAGAGCATCCTGCAAGCACAGACCGAGAAACACTCGAGGATCCGGACGGAATATGAGTATTTATCAGAAGGTGACATGGTAACGTTTAGTAGATTAATTTTCCAGTGGGAAAAATAGTATTCCAAGAGCTAGAGGGCATCCGAGTTCCACCATAGCGAGGTGCAACCGTAGGAATCCCACATGAAGCCAAAGGTGGACACTTACACGTGTGTGAGGGTAGGTGTTTGGCGTGAATATTACTTTCGTTGGTCCACCTCGCAATACAGAGAAAATCCCTGATCCTGTGCGACAGGAGTAAAAATTGCACTTTGACCTAGCTCTTCCCATTCGCGCATGGGACCATTCTGTCGATTGAAATCGATCTTCTTAATCATCTCAGGCCATGCAAGTATACCCACTCCTAGATCCTCGAGTGATCCTATCTTCAATGAGAAAGACCCTATAGCTACTGTACTCGTAATTTCATAGCGTTTCCAAACACGACCAATATTGCATGACATACAAAAAGGTGGATTTGGCGCTTTTTTGTATGGTATGCAATAGTAGTCGTGTTTGGAAACGTCATGAATTTACGAGTATGGTGTTATGCCAAATACTACATGACTGGAAGACAGTTGCATGTAAAGCACTATTTAAATATTTTATTTCAGTCATGATCTGTGACCTCACCCAGAGTGTCAACAATACGATTGAAAATAGGTTTATCACGGTGATCTTGATGAGGTTATAATTAGGTACATACATTAGAAATTGAGATGGCCCCAAGCATACCGACATACAGCTTGTACAATTGTGGTAGAAATATGGGAGTAGTCCTATTGGCTTAACCAGCCATACAAACCCTGTTTTTAGACCCCTGTTTCTACATTAATTCTCTCGCTCATGTATCGATATGTAATAGAGCGTTTTAGCTGCGCCAGTTGAACAGAAAGTCGAGCACTTGGACAGAAAGTCCTGCACCTCTTATTGGCTGAATCCTTGCAAGTCTTTGCCTAAAATAGTTAGAATTTCTGTCCAACCTGTCCGACTTTCTGTTCAACTGGCACAGCTAAAACGCTCTAATCTGGTGACAACAATGTAACTGACCTTGGACATGCATGGCAAGAGCCCAAGCGCCATGCACTATCTACATGTACTTACACAATTAATGGTCTCATCTCGTACTACGTTGCATATCAATACTTTATAGCCGTTAAGAATAAAAGAATAGAAATGCCCTTCTTGATTGACCAGCTTCTTATCTACAATATAGAAGATATCTAGTACTCACCCGTTAATTAAAAGGTCGGGAGTCGTTGCAACCAAATCCCCACACAAAATTCCAACCTTGTAATTAACGCGCGAGTAATTACTTGTATCCTTTTATACACAAAGATTTGCATGAATGAGACTCAGAATATATGAGACTGGATTTTAACACATATGCCAACCTCAAACAGATAGGACCATCCCGTCACAAGTAGGGCATTGCTCCCAGAGCCTAGGCTCGCTCCCAACAATTGTTAATAAAAGCTGAGATTTAATGAATTAAACAAAAGAAAAAAAAATAAAATAAAAGCTGAGATGATATGATAGAGTGATATTGGGTGACTACAGTGACGGCCCTTATCCAGGGACGTCTCTAGCTGGTATGTACAAGTGTTTGACGTCCCCAGGTAGAATAGAGAAAGCTCACGTCCAGGTATTGTACGAGTTAAGTATACTAGGTAGGGACTTCAACATGCTTGGTACAAAGAAATCAGGTAGAGCTAATGGAAAAGTTCGGGTGTATAGACAATCGGGTATTTCTATATACCTTTCTACAGGAGTTTTAAATATATGCAAAACTACAAGCCGTGACCTCCGGCCGACTACTGATATTATAACCCAACAGGTGTTAAAAACATTTCTATCCAAAACAATAAAAAATCTCAAGCGTTATTGGAGTGACCTGGATTCGTACGTGTTAATGTTGCTTCGAGACAGCACGGTGTGGATAGAAGCTACCACAATAGGAAATATTGTCTGTATAATACCGGCCTAGGGAGGTCATTGAATTTAGCGTATACCACCCAGAAAATCATACCATAGACTCACGACTGGTATCATCAAGCCATGGATTACCTTGACTAGTACATACCCAGCAGGGACGTCTCTGGATAACGGCCGACCTTGAATGGGTCAGAGCAACTGCTCTACATCACGGGAAAGGGTATTAATTCACCATGTAAAAAGTAATAATTTAAAAGATGCTGTTATATGATAGTCAGCGTGCGATATACTGGCTAAACCTATCATTGATGGATGGGTATTCAAAATATATAGTAATAAAAGCTTTAAATTCAACAACGTCGTTGAATGTTGTGCGCGGAGAACAGAAATTGCTTGGTTTATTACACTTCATCAGGGATTTAGACGGGTAGGTCTTGAAGACTACAATTGTTTTTCTAGGCTTGATGAAATGGTCTCACCCTTGGCAGCGGCCGCGCGGGCTGGGAGAATGATACATACCTCAAGTCGTGGCATTGAGAACATTTCCCTCCATAATCGAATCTAGGAGAAAAGACTAAACATCCTCATGTATCGTTTCATATCATGTGCATCACGAGATCGGATTGTGGAGAAAACCGTGAATGGGCTGAGTTTGAGCTGTAATAGTTGGGATATTAATATCAATAGGAATATATCTCTTAGGAAGCTTATATTATGAAGAAGATCATATTTCTGGGTTGGCCGGTGTCACGAGAGTATCTAAATCAATGAGTGAACATGGGATATCACCCGATCATATGCTATCACTCGTCGGGAGGGTTACTGACACGCGTTCATTGGAATTCCAACAGTGGAGTATATTCGTACAATTATTTATTTTTATATGAGAAGGTGGTTATCATTGAATGTTCTGGGTAATGTGGTGCTGTGTGGGAAGCTATTCGTGGTGGTACGTGGGAGATCCATATTCCAGACATTATCGCAACAAATGAAAGACACTCTTAGTTTCTCGTCTATTATTGAATATTTCTCTAACGAGAAAGGTTCTTACAGGTATTAAGTGCTGTGTATATGCGCACAGTATCAAGTATGAAGTTTAAGATGCTTTTCATTCGTACTATCGATATCGTACAGACTATTTGAAGGTGCCCGCCGGGCATAGGTGACTATCATGCGCACCTTGGGACAACTGTCCGCCAGCACACACAGGTAGTCCCAACTCTACCAAGGCGGGTACTTAACGAGATACTGTCTATTACTACGAGCGTCATAGGTGCCTATATCATTAAGTTCACTGACTTCATCGTGGTTTAAACTATTGTACTCATTGATTGACTCTCTCGAGTAAATCTTTCTTCTTTCCAGTCTCATCCTTGGAAACAGAGTTGACATTCGCAAGCGAAGGAGGCGCCCGTTGCAATCAGTTGTTTTATATAAAACCTATATAAGATTCGCACTACTCCGAAAATTCTAACATAACATTTCTATACTCAATCTACACTATATACATTACCGCCTGAATGGGTAAGAAAATAAGCTTTATTTTGAGCTCTAAGACGTAGAAAAGCCTTAAATAAGGCATATGTCTCAAAAAAGCAAAAAATAAGCCTGTTTTGGGCGAAAGTATGACATTTTGCTCAGCATTATCTCTAAATCAAGCTCTTCTAAGCCCTCTTCTGGTATTAGATGTATCGAATAAATAAGAATTAGTAAAATTCGCCAGGATTATAGGCATTTACAGGTGCTAAGGCTGGGTTAGGGTTAGGCACTTGGCAAATATTAAACTGTGTTCTTCTATCTGTTCTTTAATACCCTCCCCTCTACCTCTCTATTACCTCCGTCTATTATGTAGACCATTGGATGTAGACGAAGGTATAAACTATGGTTGGCAAGGAACACAACTGAGGAAGAGGATGTGGACTTAAACTATGAACTATAGAAATACTCAGTTGGGTTATCTAAATTCCAAGATTCGGGTAACCTGACTCAGTGCAATGTAGGACAAAGATAGTATTGTAAGCTAATAATACAGAGAGAATAAAGAAGGTTTTGTAAAGAGAAAAGAGAGAAACAGAATACCAATGAAAGACAGAAGACTTTTATGTATCCAATAACCCCAATCTGAGTATGATTTATACACTTGTATAATGGAAACCCATAGAACCCAAAGGAAATCTATATTACTAATCGTAACCTTGTCGCCAATTACTTTCTCGTTACGTTCTAACACAATATCCCACCGTGATGCCAAAATGCCGTTACAGATCAGGTCCCCCTCCGAGGCCTAACTCATTATAGGCTTTGATTTGTTTGGACAGCGCTCGTAGAACTCTTTGACTAGGTTTGGCAAATACTCAAGCTCTTCCAAAGGTTGCCACAATGGTTCATCATACCCAGTATATCGTACAGGGTATTCAAATCTGTTGCATCTTTTCCTTGAATCCAACACTGTTTCGACTTCACATTCTTCTTGAGATTCGATTTCAACCGGTGGTGGTGTAAGTTGTTGTTGTCCGGGGACAGGATCATTTGATATGGGTGACAATAAGGAGACATAGAATACTGGATGGATTCTCATCAAACGTGATAAGTCTAGCTTGTAGACATAGGGATTTACAGCCATGTTAAACAAGTTGTGATAGCAACCACCAACGAACGGGTTTCGAAGATAACTTCGAAATGAAATAGCTCAATAACCACTTCAGTAATAACTATGAAATTAAAAAGGAAGCAACTTATGATAGCTAGGTACATTTATTTGTAATTTAATATTTTGTAGTAGCACTATTTGCATCAATAACAGCCATAATCCTCCTGTTCATACGATCTACTAGTGAATTGAGTTTGTCCTGTGATATCTTTTTCCACTCTTCCTGGTCTGCTTCAAAAAGTTCAATAGGAGAATGAGGTCACTTCTCAACCAAACTAAACCTCTTTCTAAGTGCAAATTTCAAAACGTGTCAAACATTTTCTATACAGTTCAAATCTTGTAAACATGCGGGCTAGGGCATCCTATTAATCCCTAACAAATCTCTAGTTCCTCTCGCTGCCTCTAAGTCATGAAGCCTAGTATTGTCCTCAACAGTTTTTGAGCCTTCTCTACCCATTATAGTAATATAAGAGAATAGAGAATCCTGTATGATCTCATCAGCATACCGCTTCCCATTCATCCCCCCTGCATCTCTCTTCTCAAGTCTTTGACTAGATGGGCATCGCTTAATCCAGATAAGAGGACCTTTAGATCCGTACTGGAAACAGCCCCAGAGGTGTATCTTTGTTTTTCCACTAGAGAAAGAAGGTTCAAAATACCTTTCCTCCATGCCTTTCTCGGGTAGATAACGCACTTTTTGGCTTCGTGGGTTAGGATTGTATTCTAGGTGCATTTCATCTGTCCATACCATGCGACGCCAATAGTTCTGGTTGTATCTTTGACGGCGATGACATCAATCTAGTCTGGCTAATTTATGATGCTGTTTGAGGTAGGGTTTCTTGTGTTTGATATGCAAAGTGTATCCGGCCTCTTTGAGTGCCTTATCAACCATAGAATGAGAAAGATTTAGGCCTGAGGCCTTAGTTATCTCTCATAAAGCATAGGTAGGGTGCCCCTTTACCACATCTGAGAGTATCTGCTTGTCTGCTTTTGAAAGAGGCGGCAGGTGGCCGGAGCGGAGAAGGTCATGGACATGGCCTTCTTTTTTGTATTTAGCCACCGCTCATTACACAGTGTTTTCTGAGGCCCCAGTTTCATTCACAATTTCTTTGATGGGCAAACCATGATTGGAGAGGGAAATAATGTCCCTCCTCGTATCATATCCACTTTTTCCAACAGTTTTTGTGGGCATAGTGATGAGTTGCGGGAGAGGGTGCGGGGTCGCGCAATGGTGGGCAAGTCCGTTGCGACTGTCACAACTTGTGTAAAACAGCTGTACAGTTCTTTTGATAGTATATACATCAGCAAAAAATAACATCTCGTCTTGTGACGCCTGGACGCCCCAGACGCCCCAGACGCTCCAGACAACACAAAGCGATTTCTTATCTGTATACTGACACCTGGATGGTCCGTGACGAGAGCCCTGCATCTCTTGGTCAACCGACGACATCGTGAAGGTTAAAGATGAAAACCTTCTCCCATCCCTCAAAGACGTCATCCCGACGTCTAAAGACGAGCTTGTCTTCTGGACATAGGAGGTAGCTCCTCTACCATTATGCTCGCATCTTGGTCTATGAAAGTCATCCTACGCCCTCATCACCTCGCATTTAGTCTAATTACCTAAATCATATTGGACGATTTATGTCCTCAAACTGTCTATCTCGACCATTATATATCGTATTTCCGCTCGCACTTTCTGTCTTTTGACAGTTTATATCGTCCTTTTTCACTGATTTGCACCCTCCGACAACTATCCCGTTTTTTGGTTAACACCCCGCACCCCCCCACTTGCACATCTCATCTTATGGCAACTATATCTCGTCCTTTGGCCTAAACTCTTCGTCTTTCACTCCCTTGATTCTAAGTTTGAATTTTCTTTGGGTGATACTGTCTATTGATTTATTGTCTTTTTACACCCCTCGCTCTATCTAATTCGTCTATTTAGGTGAGAGCTATCTGACCCTTTGTACTTTGCTCCTACGTGGTCTCCCTCTCCGTCTTCCGACCAGTTCTGCTGAGCACTCTTCTCTGCTCTGCGTTATACTGACATCTCTCTCTACGTCGTTTTCAATATTTACATTAATCCCTGTAATTGTTCTAATAGTCCCATCTATCTGGCTTCCTGCATCGACTACGTAGTCCCCGACTGTAAGTGGAGTGACATTGCCCTCCTCCCCATCGTCATCGTCAAATGGCGGGTCACCTGCCTAGTCGGACCCTATATCCTCGTTGTCAGTTTCTGTACTGAGCTTGGATCGGAGACCCTCCAAAAAGTTGCCTACTCCAGGGTCAATAATTGCCTCCCTGCTCTCTGTGGCGGTAATCGTGCAGCAGTTTGTCCTCTTAATCCGTTTCAATATCTCGTGTCGAATCCCTTTCAGTACTAGATTTGAGGTCTCATCGTCGGGGAAGGATCTCTTCCATGTGTGCATGTGCCTCTCAAAAATTACTAGCACCACCGTCAATAACGATACCTGTCGATAACCTGACCAGATGAAAGACGGGGTGCTCACCGCCGTAACAGTCCTTATTGAAGACACCATTCTTCCAGTTGCTGCCTCCAATTACATGGACTCTCAGCGCATGGTAAAGTACAGTAGAAACCAGGCAGATAAAAGACGGGTTGATACAACTCTCAAATTCCGGATGGTTGACATCAATCCCACGATTGATCTTATAGTAGGCGTAGATGATAAAATGCGGTATTTGAGGTGCGGCGAAGTGTCATTGTACGGGCTAAAGATGTTAGTACCAAATCTGTGCCTCTGGAAGAACAGTGGATATACCTCGCAATGAGTGGTATCATAATTGAAACGGTCATCTGTCAGGAGGTAATCGACACGGTCTTTTGCTTGCTCGCCGGTCATGCCTGCTAGGCCGTAATATAATCCGATTACTGCCTTTGCCTTCTCCATCATGTGTGAACGAGTCCATTAATAACAAAACCTCACCTGTCCAAACACTCCAGTCGACAACTCCGCTGGAAAGTCGTCGCCCGCCCTGGCAAAATTCCATGAATTTCTGACCATAGACATCAATTCCAATACCGAGGACATCGGGTTTTTGAATAGTGTCTGTTTGGTGGGGTACCACCCAGCTTTTTCGATTAGAGTCCTCAGCTCAATGTCGAATTGCCATAAGCTATGATTGCGGAGAGCTCTGGTTTTGTTGAGATCGGTAGGGTCTACCGGCGCTAGGAGATTTTGTGACGACGACTCTCCAGAATACCCACCGCTACTGCCACTAGCATAATCTGTACTCCTGATGACTTCGGAAGGGGCTCTTATCGACGCCGGTCTAGAAAGGTCAGAAAGTTGACGACGGGCTTCGGGGCGGATCCCCCCCGACGATGTTCTAATAGACTCAGAATCTTAATGACCGGAGTGAGTATGTGTCTGGCTAGCTAGGGCGTTTTGACGGGTAGGAGACCTATCACCATGCCCGGGGGAGGCATAAAAAATGTCATGCAGCTGGTTCGCATCAGATTCTCTATTTGGTGCGGCCAACGGTAACGTATCCCTCGACGAGGATTGCTGAAATTGAGAATCCTGGGGTGGTAGGCTTGAGGGTGACGGGCTCGTAGGTTGTCGGACATTGACTCTCCTGTCTTTTGTCAAATACATCTCATCACGAAGCTGTAAATCAAGCTGTGAAGCTCTTTGTGATGGGTCCCGGTATTCGAAGACATCATCTTCAGACTCCGTTTCTCATCCGCACGCCTGTGATGATCTCGTAGGCAATCGTGTGGCTGAGTCATGTGAAAAGGTGCTTGAAATCTCCTGTCAAGATCGTACAAGTCTTTGAGTGGTCGGTTGTCTGTCCCTGCTAAACGACCTGGTGTTCCGATGGGAGGAAGTTTCTCTGTAGGTGTTTTGCGAGGGACGAGAGGAGTTAGACAAACAAAACTGACTCTCTCACTGAGGCATGGTGAAAGATGTCTTTGTCAGTAGGATGGGCAGTGCAACGTCCCAACTTTATAAGGTAGTTTTGGGAAGGGGGAGTGGGGAGATGACTCGGAGGGAAACTTCCGACATGATGTCATTGATCCGTACACAGACCAATAGCTAGAGGCAAACGACGCTGGGAGATATGTCCTGCAATTTGTTCCAAACTTCTAGAATCCAAGGGTTAGCCTAAATAAGTCCATCATAATACAGATTCATGCCGTTCCACTAAATGGTATGCGGATAGTCGAGGGCGGTCAAGTCAAAACCCTCTCAAGTCCGAGTTGGTGTCCCAGCAAGCTCACGTTCCCGGAGGGTGGGCAATGGTAGAGGATGAAAAAGGCTACGATGCCGCACTCTGCCTGTCCAGGCTTTACTGCTATTTGTGTTCTGTCGATCCAGTCCGTTTACTAGAGTCATCATAGGCCAAGCGAGCAACAGAGATTGTATACTCGCCTTCAGATTGAATAGAGGAGAGAAGATGAGGTCGGACGCGACTTGGATTGTCAGATGATTAAGTACTTGCTTGGCGTCGGCTACGTCTTTTTGCTCAACATACTCATGACTGTATTGTATTCGGTCGAGTGACGCTCCTAATAACAGAATACTACTAATGATCAAATGAATCCAAAACGACCCCAACCCTAACTAACCCTAACTCACTTCACGTCCTGCGCCAGAATACTTTAACAGATATCACTAATCCTAAACCACAAGGACCCCCATCAAATAACCCAAAAGAAATAAGACTAACCCCCAAAAGACCCAATAAAGATAAGACTAAACCCAAAAGACACAAAATAGATAAGGCTAATCCCAAAAGATGACCAGGAGAACTGTCAAACCACCCAAAACAGAGAGACCAAACATATCGCAACAACCACCAAAGAAGTTAAAAAATAGCGCCATAAAAGATAGGCCGACAAAATGACGAGAGCCACCACCGTCAAATGCTAGAGCTTGAGACTAGGGTCAGAAAACTCACAAGCAGGTGACTGGAGCGTGCAACCTACTATCAACCAGTGCTACTCGAAACGAAGTTTCTTTCGAGTCGCAGGACGAGAAACGGAAGTCCAGCGCTTCGCAGAGAGCTCGGGGAGGTTGATGTTAGTGGGAGCAGGGGAGGTTTGGGGGTGGGGGAACTGGGGAAGATGGGGATTTGTTTGGAGTTTGGCCACTTCAATCGAACTGGCCGATACATCACTAAGGTAACCCATCTCCATATCGATTGACTCGTCCCCGCGCCCGCCGGGAGGAATACCCCCATTAGGGCCACCATTAACGTAACTACTTTCCCTGGCAGGCTCTTCACCTGACATCTCTTCTCGCGTAGTTCTTTCAGACTCCGGAGCACTGTCAGCTTGTGAACCAGTAGCCCAGCTTTCGCACTCTGTTATTAAGTCCCCTTGCTCTTCCTCCGGCTCACTCATATCGCGGGCTCTCAGAAGGCTCATCGAACAGATGTTGTCTAATGTATTGACCGCATTAGCTGCATTAGGAGAAACTATACTACTAATACGGAATTTAGTCCAGCTTTCACTCTCGACCTTTTCCCTCCTCGCTGGGCAGCAGTAGTGTGAGCAGGTGTTTTGGCTGGGGTCTTCGGGCCGGGTATCTTTAATGGTGGCATCTTGGCCGGCATTTTGGACATGGGTGTCTTCGATGGCGGTGTCTTGGCCGGCGTCTTGGGCCCGGATGTCCTTGTTCTCTTTCTCCTTGTGGCCTCCTCCTACTCCTCTTCCTCTTCTTCTTCCTCGTCGTCAACGTCACCACCCTCCTCAGCCTCTTTATTGTCGTCCTCGCCATGATCGTCGTCTTTCTGGGCCGCCTTGCTCGAGTTACCCCCTGCCTTACCTTTCGGGCCCGCCTTGCTCGAGCTGCCCCCTGCCTTACCTTTTGAGCCCGCCTTGCTCGAGATGCCCTCTCCGGCATTCTCTCCTCTAGGCCTTTTACTGGAACTCGAACCTCCACCTTCACCCTCGCCTTCGACATCATCGTCGGTGTCGTCATCGGCATCTTCGTCACCATCGTCATCAGAGTCATCGTCGGCGTCGTCACTCACCTCTACAATCTCACTTGTCTTCCTCTTCGTCGGTTTCTCCCAATGAGTTCCTGTCTCTCCGACCTTGATGCCTGATACTCTCTGGTCAATCCACAACTGATTGTCAATCAGCACCTCCCAGTTACTATGAAAGTAGGGGAATAACATTGGCAATGGAGTCTGCCTGCCGTTTTTATGGCGCTCATTAGAAACCACGAATAGTTTCAATCACGGTGTAACTCTACAAGGATTGAGCCATACTCTGACATCTTTGTCCGACTGTAGGAAGGTGACCTGTTCAGGCACCAGCCAGTAAACACGATATTGACCCGACACGGTCTTAGAAAACTCCTAGTCGATGACAAAAGACCCGACCAAATGGCGTATCGCGGGGTGTGGCAAGTCAGAAGCACCGCCGCAGGTTTCAGTGTCTAGTTGCACCCCCCTGACTATCCTCACGACCTCCGATAGATACGGACCGGGAAGTGAACTAAAGGTCAGGTAGGGATGCCCACCAAATGTTCTTGGAGTCCAATTAGGCAGTTCCCAAGGCTTCCGATGTAGTCCCAACTTCGCTCCTCCGAGTCGCTCAAAGCGGTATTTGGTGGGAAAACCATACGAAATGCCGATAGGCTGATCAGTAAAATATGGTGCCCTTTCGACCTTCCAGGTCTTCGCCGGGAATGGCTCATCGGCTTCCTCAGATGTCTTTTCATCGTCCGTCTCATCTCCGATGTCTGTCTTGTCCCTCGGCTTCTCCGCTTCGTCTTCCGATGAGGTAAATTCCTCAATGTCAAGGTAGACCTCATCCTCATCGTCGGGCAGAGGCACCTGGGCCTGCTTACTCCTCTTTGTCGAACTGCGAGTTGGTGCCAACTTGCACTGCTTGCCCTTGCCTTTTGTGTCGGTCACATTCCCCTTGGTCTCCTTCTTCTTCACTGCTTTTGTCTTCGTTGAATTCGCCGTATGCTCCTTCTCTTTGAGTGCCTCAGAGAACTTTTCTCAATCCTCAGCAGACTTACGTTTGGCAATATCTTGGAGTGTGCTGCTCACGCAGACTTTGATCAAGGCCCCTTATCAGGTGCAATCTTCCTCCGGCTGTTGAAGTAGGCGTCTGAATTTATTCCAGGGTGGATAACTGAGTAGGAGTCTCACGGCCTCGTCCCATTGCTCATCTGTTGCCATTGTTCTGCTGGCAATCGCATTCTCGACAAAGTAGTCGTGCACAGCTTCAAACATGTTTCTCCATTAGGCCGGCATAATGCCGAGCAAGGACTTAACTTCGGCGCCAATAAATTTGCTCTTTTTCGCATACCCCTGGTAGGTGTCAGAGGGTGAGAAATATAGGACTTGATAGAAATCTTACCTCTGCTATACATGATGCTCTGCTAATCGACAAAACCCAGGGGCTATCCTTATCGGCCCATTCCATTTTTTTCTTCGGAGGTGACCTTCCTGCTTGGGCTAATGCCGACTTGTTCTTACCCAACCGAGTTCCCACCATTGTAGTCAGTTGCGATGGGAAGGTGGTTAAAAGACGGTTGACTGTTGATGGATGCCTTCAGGAGGATAGACTCCAGGGAAACAACGGGGTATTTAGACCCTTATATAGAACAAAGACTGTGCGAATTACCATCGTGAGGGTATGCTGGAATCGGCAACTCGTAATGCCTAACCATATACACATGGCAGGAGACGACAAACAAAGGCTCATCGTCATTGGATTAGGTTAATGAATGAATCAACATGAGTGTTTTGATAGAGGTTTGCAACTGTTGGCAGTGAGGTTTGACGATTTTGTGATGAATGATGTCAGGTCGCATATGCTTGGCAAAGCTTGGGTCACGGCTGATGACCCCGAGGAAACAATTGTCGGTCTGTACTACAGTGGTTATTTTGCTCAATCAGAATTCCAGCAGTATAAACCCACTCGATATCAGTGCCAGTGAATGCGAGAATGAGGCATACGACGAAGCAAAAGATATACACGACAAGCCAAAAGACCATCATGACTGATCAAGAAAGCGGATGACATCCATACCTTGCCCCCTGTACCCAAGGTATTACCATCGCACGGGACATCTTGCAAAACATATTTACCGGCATCATGACGGTATCGATTCGCCTGAGGACGAGCGTTTAGAAGATGAAACTACGCTGCCAGACGCCAGGCCTGATATCCTTACTCTGGTAATTGATGGCTCGGACGATTTTACAGACTCAGAAGCCCACTCTGAGGCGGAATCTGACTTTGACCCTGACTCCGACGATGATGGCCCTGCAGCGATCGCCCCCCCGATCTCAGAGTAAGCTGATGATAATTAAACGGCCACAGCATACCTATACAATAGTGGACAAAGACTAGAGTGGGTCCATAGCTCTCAAGGGGGTGAGTAGCGAGTATTCCGCAGGGTACGAAGAGTGTAATAGGGGACGGTATGGGAGTTCCGCAATGGGGGTACTACGGGGCTCTAGCGTCGGTAAGATTCGAAGGGACGAGGAGAAAGCGAGGCGGTGGTCTTCTTAAGGAAAGAAGAGAACGATAATAGTATAGGGCAATAGACAGCGTAGATACAGAAGACGTTGCGTAAAGAAAGAAGAAGAAGAGAAAAACACAAAATACAAACAAAACCCCCCTTAATATACTCGAGGAAATCTCAACGATGACAAATCCAACATGACTCATACATTAATGATCAACAGAACCCAGTAGAACCCAATAGAATCTTTCTGACTAATCCGACTCTTCACAACCCCGTACCTCCACTAATCGATCCATGAAAGTAGCCCCTCCCTTCAAGCGCGAGCTCCTGCGAGCCTTATCCTTAATCTTTCCTTCCAATGGTCCAGGTTTGTCGGGGTAGCGTATGTGGAAGATATCAATGGCGGCAGTATTATCGTTGTATGCGGCGGGTTCCCAGGTAGGGTCGGTATAGCCTGTCCACTTAACAAAGTATTGCAGGCCAGTGTTCCGTAACCCTCGCGAGTCCAAGATTTCCTCAACTGCATACTCCTCCTCTTGTTCGACGATAATGGGCGGGGGTGGTGGTTGAATTTGCCCTGGGACAGGATCATTCGCAGCGGGGTCCAGCAATGATACATGGAAGACGGGGTGCATCTTCATACTTCTAGGCAGGTCGACCCGAGACGCATATGGCGATATAATTTCGTTGACAGGGAACGGCCCCAGTTTCTTCTAGTCCAGCTTCCGGGAGTTACGTGTGGTTCGGATATTTTTTGCTGAAACAAACACCATGTCACCGACATCGTACCGTGGGGCCGGCGTTCGTTTGGTATTGACGGCCTGTTCTTGTTGATCCTGCGCTGTGCGGATATTGGAACGTAGGTGCTCATGGAGTTCTCTCATCTTCGAGGCGAAGTCTTTAGCATTGAGACTCGGTGGGGTCCTGTCGAGCGATTTGATCGTCACTGTAAACCGGGGGTGGAACCCATAGTTCGCGAAGAATGGAGTAGCTTTGGTGGATGCGGAGACCTGATTGTTGGCGGAGAATTCTGCAATAGGAGGCCATTTTACCCAATCGTCCTGTTGATAAGAGACATACCCACATAGATATTGCTCCATTACGGCATTCAGCCTTTCGGTTTGGCCGTCGGTCTCCGGGTGGAAGGCGGTGGACATCCTTGCTTCGATGTTGAGGTGTTTGCAAAGAGCCTTCCAAAACTTAGCTGTAAATTGCGTACCGCGGTCGGAGGTGACGTGTGTGGGTAGCCCATGGAGCTTCCATATGTTTCGCAGGTATAGTCGGGCGACGTCTTCGGAGTTGACCGTAGTATTGCAGGGCAGGAGATGTCGCATCTTTGTTAGCCGGTCAACCACTACCATAATTGCATCGTACCCTTCACTTTCCGGTAGCCCAGTAACGAAGTCCATCGATACCTCCTGCCATGGTTGTTCGGGAATCGGTAAAGGTCAAAGTACGCCAAGTTTTCCATGGGTGTTGTAATCAGGGACATATATGCTGCCTCGGTAAAGCAATCGGCCTTCAACCTCGGTGCATTCGGCGAGTGATATGTCCTTTGATTGTCGATCGCCTTTATTCCGCATATTCAGTATCTTTTGGGGAAACGGGTCAGCGCTATATCCTTCATCGAATAATTCCTGCAGTGAGGCATTCTTTTCAGCGGGCTCATTTGAGAAAGAACCCGCCAACAAACTTAGCTTTGCATCAAGATTCTCCTTCTTCAACACAACTTGGCTCTGATGCAATTGTCTTTCATCCCCCTCTCCAGGGAGATCTCCTGATCTTCTTGTCAACGCGTCCGGTTTCCCTCCCTGTTTCCCTGGTCGGTATTTGAAAACAAAATTAAACCGTGACAGGTATTCTGCCCACTGTGCTTGTCTCCGGTTGAGTTGTTTGGTACTCATAAAATATTCGAGATTCTTATGATCGGATATGACGGCGATTGGGTGTGCAGCCCCTTCAAGTTCCGGTCGCCACTCCTCAAAAGACCGAATGATTGCCAGTAATTCCTTGTCATAAATCTCGTAGTTGCATTCGGCGGGGGAGTGTTTTTTCGAGAAGTATGCAACAGGCCGGAGGATACCATTGTCATCGTATTGGGAGAGTACACCAGCGGAGACATAGTCGGATGCGTCGGTTTCCACAGTAATTTCCTTCTCCGGGTCGAAGTGAGAAAGAATGGGCGCCGTGGTAAAGGCTTCTTTCAGGGCGTTAAAGGCGGTTTGGGCTTCGGATGTCCATCCAAATGATATGTCCTTACGGGTCAGTCTGGTAAGAGGAGAAGCCAGTTCCGAGAATCCGCGTATGAATCGGCGGTAAAAGGTAGCAAAACCTAGGAATGCTTGTACATCCTTAACTGTTTTGGGGACGGTCCAATTCTTCACTGTCTCCACTTTCCTTGGGTCCATTTTAATACCATTGGGTTCGATAATAAGGCCGAGATAGGTGGTGCTTTGTGTATGAAATTCGCATTTCTCCGGTTTCAGCAGTACTCCATTTCTTTGTAGAGCTTCCAGGACCTTTTCGACGTGTACTTGATGTTCCTCGAAGGTGTCGCTGTAAATAAGGATGTCGTCGAGGTAGGCTGTACAGAACATATCAAGGTAGTCACGGACGCAATCATTAATGAAATGTTGGAAGGTGGCTGGTGCATTGGTAAGGCCGAAGGGCATTACGGTGTATTCGAAATGTCCGTAACGCGTTCGGAAGGCCGTTTTCCATTCTTCACCCTCAGCCATTCGGATCTGGTTGTACCCTTGGCGAAGGTCAAGTTTGGTGTACCACTTGGCTTTGGAAAGGCGGTCGAGAGTTTCCCGGATGAGTGGCAGCGGGTAGCGGTTTTTGACAGTAAGTTCATTGAGGCCACGATAGTCGACACAGAGGCGGAGTGTTCCATCGGCCTTTTTAACAAATAGGACAGGGGCACCGGCAGGCGAGGAGCTGGCCTGGATGAACCCCTTTTGAAGGTTGTCCTGTATGTATTGTTTCAGCACAATGAGTTCCTCGTGGGACATACCATAAAGTGGCCCAAAAGGGGGCTCTTTCCCTTCCTTGAGCGGTATCTTATGATCATAGGGGCGGCGAGGCGGCATCTCGTTAGCGAATTCTTCGTCTATCATTTTATAAAATCTCTTATACCGGGTTGGGACCCGGTTCCTCCAGTCTTGCTTAGGGGCCTCGCCCGTTGCTTGATCTATTTCCTCAATAGTTGTACTAAAGATTTGGAGTTTATCTCTTCGGGCGAAGCGACAAAGAGCAGCTGAACTGATGAGGTGGAAACGGGGCGGTGGTGCAACCCCTCTAATGGGAACGGGTATCGGGGAAGAGTTGCACTTGCGTTTGCAGTATTCGGAGTCGAACAGTATGCTATTGTCCTTAAACCGTAATGTTGCGTCGTGCAATTAAAGCCAGGGGATTCCGAGGACGAGTGGGTACGAGCCGAGTTTGGTAACGAAGAAGGGGGTAGTTTCATGGTGGGAGTCAATGGATAGCGGCAGATAGCAGAGGTGGGTAATTTGTCCGGAAGATATGGGCCGACCGTCGATGACTTCAAGAGTGCGGGGTGATTTGAGGGGGAGAAATGGGAAGTTGTTATGGCGCACGAATGTTTCATCAATGAATGCGAATCCGAAGCAACCGGTATCGATCAGTGCGTGAGTTTAAATGGATGTTTTATTGTTTATAATTTTACAAGAAGCAACAAAATGATCGCCATCCAATTTATCCTCCACAGACGATACCGAGAAGCCAGAGATAGAAAACGCAGACAAAGGAGAAACATTGGAAGGTCCCGGGCAGGGGCCATTAATCACGCCCGGGACTACTGAAAACCCGACTCAGAGGAGGCGGGACTAGCGACCGGGGGAGCAGCGGGGTCGACGGCCGTATGGCTAGGTGCGAGGAGGGCGCCTCTCATAACCGGTTGGTTACCGCGCGGGCGGTTGGCAGAGGGGCAGTTGGCAAAGACATGACCGGGGTTGGCACAGTACATACAGAGATTGTTGTCCCTTCGCCATTGTTTTTCAGCGGCGGAGGTTTTACGTTGTCCATTGACAAAAGTGGATCGTTGTTCCATGGCAGGACGTTGAGTGGGGCGGCTTTGGAGATCGGAGAGGTCCATGGGGGCGAGGCCTCCGGCGGTATGAGATGGGTGTGCGACGGCGGTGGGGGCAGTAAATTGTCCCATTGTATTCCGAATGGCCCGTTGTTCAGCTTTGCGGCCCCGAACCTGGTTATCGATTGTCATCAACATGGTGGCATAGGCTTCGACGGTGTTAGGCCTGTCTGTCCGGTATGTCATAGCGTTCTTCATGTCTTCCGATACTCCTTCGGCCAAGGCATCGATCTTGGCTCCCTCATTGTAATCCAGGTATGCCACGATGTGGAGGAACTGCGAATAATAGGTAGCGAAGTCCCCTTTGCCTTGCTTCAGGGCAACGAGTTGGCGACGGGCGGTACCCCGGGGATCTGGGTCTCCAAACGAGGCTTCCAAATGGGCGACGAAGGCAGTGACGGAGGAGAAGGGGGCGGCAGGGTTAGCGTTAACGAGCGGAACGACCTGGTCAAGGGCCCTTCCTTCCAAGTGGCTGACGGCATAGATAACCTTTGCTGCCTCGTTCCGGAACCGATCGTAGTTAACTTCAAGCTTCATTCTGAGTTGGGTAGTGAATCCGGGGAGCTTGGTATGGGTGCCATCGAATTTCTCAGGGTCTGGAAACCTTTCGGACCTGAAGGCGGGGGCAGGAGCAGGTGGAGGAGCAGTGGCAACGGGGACAGCGACGGTAGGGGCGGGGGCAGCGCGGGCGACATTGAGGTCGAGGTTGAGCCGGTTTATCTGTTCCTCGAGGTTGTCAATGGTTTCGTTGGCGGCGGTGAGTTGTGTATGAAGGGTGTCCCTTTGGAGGCGGACGCGTTGGACGAGGGTGGCGATGTTGTTGAATAATTCAGTAGAGTCGTCCTCATACATCCGCCTGAATCCTTCTACATCGTTGGGTGCCGCCCATACAGGTGGATCGGGGGTAGACATATCGTACGGTGCGGATGACGACGCAACGTAATCTCAAGGGGGTGAGTAGCGAGTATTCCGCAGGGTACGAAGAGTGTGATAGGGGACGGTATGGGAGTTCTGCAATGGGGGTACTACGGGGCTCTAGCGTCGGTAAGATTCGAAGGGACGAGGAGAAAGCGAGGCGGTGGTCTTCTTAAGGAAAGAAGAGAACGATAATAGTATAGGGCAATAGACAGAGTAGATACAGAAGACGTTGCGTAAAGAAAGAAGAAGAAGAGAAAAACACAAAATACAAACAAAACCCCCCTTAATATACTCGAGGAAATCTCAACGATGACAAATCCAACATGACTCATACATTAACGATCAACAGAACCCAGTAGAACCCAATAGAACCTTTCTGACTAATCCGACTCTTCACAACCCCGTACCTCCACTAATCGATCCATGAAAATAGCTATCGGGACTATACGGAAGAGAATTAGAAGCCCTGGGCACTGTTCAAAGACACGGCGAAATAGAGATTGGTTCATTTCTTTATCGAGCACAAGTTGACCTCTACATCAATTGGCGCCTACATCAATGAGGAGTTGCACAAGACGACAAAGAATGAGCGTTCCTTTCAGTCCGCTTATACTTTCCAGAACCAGCTCGACAAAATGACGGGCTCCCCAGCTTACTTTCAATACGGGACCGTCGAGAACGGCTTTGGAAGAACGACCGACTTATATTACAGGAATCCGGTGGCATGTGCGAGGTGTCTCTTGGGTCAATGTTGCTACAAGTCGAGCATGGTTTATCGGCCAGAGAGAGTTTGTGATGCGGACGGATATCAACTCTATTCCGAGATGCATACAGCGGACTGTTGGTGGAATATGCAGGAAAGACTCCCTACCAGGGCCACGATTGTCCCGATTATCTGCTGCTCCGACGTCATGCATCTAACAAAGTTCTCCGGAGACAAGAAGACCTGGCCGATACATATGACGATAGGCAATATACTGGGAAAAGTACGATCCAAGCCGTTGACCAAGGCGCATTTGCTACTCGCACTATTGCCAATACCTTCTAAAATAATTGGCGATTCGACGTTAAAGGGGAGACTCCGGTCCTAGCTAGCGGAGATGCTGAGAAGAGTCATGTCAGTTATACTGGAGCCTCTGCTGTACTTTGACCAAAGGCTCGGCATCTTAATGGGCTGCTCAGACGGGTACGAGAGACCTTGTTGGCCGATTCTGATTGCATGGCTTTCGAACCACATGGAGAGTTGCAATATTCTGAATACCAAGTTCAACTTGTACTCCAACTGCGAGATACCCATCAATAGACTGGGGAAATACGAAGCCGAACCGCTCAAGACGTACTCTCGTGATCAGGACGAATACAAGAGAATGTATCGTCAGTACAGGGTGCTGAAGGTACTTGAGAATCCGACGAGAGACGAAAGGGGGGAGCTGAAGACGCTGACCAAGTGGTTCGATTCTTGTGGTTTATGACCTCTGTACAACCCTTTCTGGAATCTCCCCTTCGTCCAAGCCTACAACCTCCATAAGCCAGACAAGCTGCACGTGGTATACTTGGGAATCCTGAAACATTTATGTAGTGGCTGGAAGACTTCCTGAAGGAACATGGTCATTTGGATGAATTCAACGCCAGATCGATGCGCATGCTACCTTACCTTGGATTTACCCCACCAATGAAGCCTTATCAAGCGGTCAGTCAATAGCAAAGGAAGGAGATGCGTAATTTTGAAATAATCTTACCAGCCCTGGCGTCTGCCCTCAGGAATCCGTCATCTCCCCAGGCAAAGCCTCTCAAGAAAGCCTTTAGTGCGTCTGGGCATTGATCTACTGGGCACTAGTCGACCAGTATCGTTCTCATAACGAGCTGATGATATACATGTTGGATAGTTACCTAAAGACTTTCCATAGGACGAAGGATGTCTTCAGGAAATATCGCGTGACTAGAGAGACTGACAGACTTGTGTCGGAACAAGGGAGGGAATTGCGCGAGGAATACGACGTCGAGTTAGAATGCCTAAATGATTCTTTAGGCCAAAGACGAAGGGTTATCACAGACCAAAGGCTAAATCTCCAGGCGGAAACCGACGAGATCTTGCGAGCAGAATCTGACTTCAACTTCCCCAAAATACACATCATGGGCCATTTCGCAGAGCACATTTGTCAATACGCCAATATTTCGGACTATTCGATGGAGTCTTGCGAGTCAGCCAACAGGGATCAGATCAAAATACCGTATCGTAAGAGCAATCGCATCGATCCCGCAATGCAGATACTTCAGATGTTTAACCATGATTATACGTTTTCCATTTGCGAATTAAATCTCCTATAAATTGCCCGGGACAGTTTTTCGACCACTGAGCTTGTCGGCAATCTCGACGGCTTATAGTCACATCTGAGGAGGAGGATGCAAGTTGCAAGACGGGATCTTAGAGACCCTCAGGACAACCCGGCATTTCAAGCGCAGGATACCGCGCTATTGATCTATTTACCAAGTGATACCATGGTGGAGAAGAGATGGGTCAAATGCCTGGGCAAATTAACAAATGTCGGTAGTGTAGATATCGCAGGTGCTACAAAGAGACTGGAGTATAACATCCGGCGGTCTTTCAGGAGGGAGCTATGTCTTCGACATGAAGATATGCCCCAAGATATCGATAGCTGGTGGGTAAATACATTCAAACAGCTCAACGTACCCATCATTTTGCACGGCGAGGGCGATGAGAGGACAATTCACACACTTTGTACGACAGGAACATCGGGTTACAGACGGGGAAATGCGCGCAATGCCTGTGTCTGGTTTCGTCAAAAGCCGGCTGACCTGGAGGCTTTGCAGGGTTTATGCCCAGGAAGGCTGCTTGCAGCCTTTAATATCAGGGACCCAAGACGATGGAGGGCCAGTTTCTTGGATCGACTAGTGGATGTACGGGGTTACGAAGAGTGGGATTAGTCAGAAAGGTTCTATTGGGTTCTACCAGGTTCTATTGATCGTTAATGTATGTGTCATGTTGGATTTGTCATCGCTGGGATTTCCTTGAGTATATTAAGGGGGGTTTGTTTGTATTTCTCGTTCTTTTTCTTCTTCTTTCTTTACGCAACATCTTCTGTATCTACGCTGTCTATTGCTATACAATATTATCGTCCTCTTCTTTATTTCAGAAGACCACCGCCTCGCTTTCTCCTTGTCCCATTGACCTTTACCAACGCTAGAGTCCTTTAGGACCCCTATTGCGAGTTCCCATACCGTCCCCTATTGCACTCTTCGTACCCTGCCGAATACCCGCTACTCACCCCCTTAAGAGCCAGACTTCTGACTGCGATACAATCATTGAAGCCGGACTTCAATGGAAACCCCAACATCGACCACGGGCTAATAACGGTATCACGTTGCTCCAGCTCTCCTGACGATATATGGGTAGTAAACATAAAAAGCATTTTGGGCACCGCTCATTTGATACCTGAGACGACGCCGTCTACGAAAAATAGATGATTTATCAATAGTACGATCGATCTATGGACATACGGATCAATTTACTGAAGTAAGACGGGACGTTGGACTGAGTTTTTTATAATGATACTGACGACAAGAACACCAGACAAGAGACTTTAGATAGGTGGACTTCTGACGATAGGTTTTGGGCAGGGGGGTATTTTTGAATTGTTTTATAAACTTGGGATATCGCCTGTACATATCAGTAAAGAATATACAGCCTCCTTAGAGTCTCTTATCTTTTGCGACTCAAACCTCTCTATACTGCTGGAGCTTGTTCCACTACTCGATTTCACATATCCTGTATGACCTTAGTGACAATCGCGAAATGGTATTTTCGGGACTAACATGTTCTGTTCATTAAAGGCCTAGGATACATAACCCCTGCCCTGCACAAGTCTGCCCGTTCCGCGCAATGGAACCCATTTCCTTTACCATCGGCACGGCTATCGGCCTAGCTGGCCTATACAGCGTGTGCCTGCAAGCGATGGAGCAAGTCAGCGACGGGAAGAACTTCGCCGAGGATTCACAAATGCTATACGCCCTCCCTGAAACTGAGAGATACCTTTTCCAGGTATGGGGCAAGAGAGTCGGTATTGAGAAACAGTCGGACTTTCATCGATGTCTAGACCCAAAATCGCCCAAATACCCGAGGGTTCGGGGTATCCTTAAAAGTCTTGAGACAATCCTGAGTAATGGGGACGGTCTTTTTAAGAAGTATGGACTGGTCAGCAAGGAGCATATATCGATCGGGCGGAAGTATGTGTGGGCGGTAAGTGATAAAAAGAAGTTCGATCACTTGGTGAAGGACATTGGTGCACTGGTCGAAAAGCTATCCACTGTAGCCTCCCTTGAGGACGACCCCCAATTTAATCCGGCTGAGATAAATCAGAGCCTTGCTAATTTGACAGCCGCTCTCAGCGGTATTTACCATTATCCCACTAGCTCGAAGTCTGGCTAATTTGGTGTAGAAGCGGATCGTGAAAGGGCGGAAGAAACGATCGAGCAGCAGAAACACCGCTTGAAGGTGGAGAACTTATTGAAAGTAAGACTCAATACACGCGGGACATTGTATGAGTATTCCAGGACTAATTCTCTCCAGATCAGAAGAATGATAAGGCCTTGAAGTGGATTGGCGCAATCTCGACGGAAAAAGAGTACGATGAAGCGAAGCGGGAGAGGTCGCCTGGGACCTGCGACTGGATCTTCTCGAACACAAAATTCACGAGTTGGCTGTGTCCTGAAAGCGGCATCAACACATCAAATATCTTATGGATACACGGTGGGGCCGGGATGGGCAAGACATTTATATCCGCAAGGATCACCGAGTATTTACAACATGAGTTTTCCCGCCCAACGGCCTTCTTTTTTTGCACTCATTCAAATGCCGAGAAGAACCAGACAATATCAATAATTCGGTCCTGGATTTTCCAGTTAGCCAAGCAAAGTCCTCAAGCCCTTGAAATCGTCCGCAAGGTCGAATCCTTCCACACTGAGGCGGTTACCACTGTCCTATGGGAAACCTTTGAGGCAGTATTAAAGAATATAAACTCTTATCTTGTTTTGGATGGGCTTGATGAATGTCTTGACTTCGACCCTACCTCAAGGAGTCGAAGGAGTGGTGAGATGAAGATCTTTATCGAAAGATTGACTAATTCAATACCCTCAACTGGTGTGAAGCTTCTCATAATGAGCCGTGACGTGGTTGCCATAAGGTCAATGCTCGAACCGTTGCGGAGTTTAAACCCTCGCGTTGCCACCACGGCGGCATTTGAAGAATATCAAATCAATAGCGAAGATAACGAGGCTGATATTAAATCTTTTGCGGGTAATCTCTCTGAGACTCTTGGGTTCCGCGACAAGGATAAAGAGGCAATATGTGACAAACTATCCGAGCGCTGTGGGGGAATGTTTCTATGGGCCCGACTTGGCGGCGAAAGGTTGCAGGCGGGGATGGGGTCCAAGAGGTTGGAGACGGTACTCACTGAGATGCCTCCGGGATTGGATCATGCCTACGAGCGGAACCTCCAGACGATTCTGAAAAAGGAAAAATAGTACCAAGACCAGGCGATTGCAATCTTTCGTCTGGTGCTATTCTCGCTGCAGCCTCTTTCTGTCGAGGAATTGCTTCATGCCCTTGAAATCAACGATCACCAACAGGATGTGGATGGGAAAACAAGAGGCTTTCAGGAGGAGGCCATTCCTGCCATCGGCACGCATGTAGCCGTGAAGTTGGTCGCACTTCTGGAGAACTGCGGTTCACTTCTCGAAATTCGAAAAACCGAATCCCTTTCTCAAGGCGATTGGAAGGTTCAGTTCATCCATTTCTCCGCCAAGGAATACTTACTCAATCTACAGAGCGAAAGCCTTCTGCAATTCTCTTTTTCGCACCGGGAGGAGAATCATGCTGCTTTGACCAATACGTGCCTTCTATACCTGATAATAGCATGTGTAGACTGCGAGCGAAGGGCTCGATATTCTTCGCCCCTTGAAAGAGACAATGAGATGGAAGTCCACGAACGGAAGTGGGGCTTCTATAGTTATGCCCGCCGTCATTGGGGTAGGCATTTCCGGCTATGCGGGAATGAGGTTCTGCCAAGTTATGCAATGCGACGGAAAATCTTTCTTGATAGCAGCCCTACTTTTGATAGCTGGAAATTGTCTCTGACGTGGAACTCTTCGCCGCTAAGGGGTCTTCGCCAGCGTTCAGACCAAGAAGCGATAATTGAGTGGACTGTGGGCTCCGTTGACAATGTTTCTTCCTGGTATTCTCGGGTTCTGGTCAGTTGCATGTGTGGAATGTTGGATATCCTGCGAGAGCTCTTGGCAGAAGCCAAAGAAAGAACACCTCCAGATGCTTTACCAATGGCCGTATATTGCGGGCAGGCGGCCGTGGTGGAGATGCTCATACAAAGAGATGATGTTGACGTGAATTATCGCCTAAAAGCAGAGGATACGTTGCTCTTCCGCGCTCATGAATCGGGGTGGAAAGATATCACCCGGCTGCTGCTTGGACGACCCGAACTACGGGTGAACGAGAACTTCAATCCGGTTGGCCGGGGCTTTGAAAGTTGGTACAGTTTGCTCGGTGGCCCGCAGCCAGTGTTGTTTTACGCACTGGATGTGAACGACGAAGCTTTCGTACGCCAGCTACTGGAGAGAGACGATTTGGACCTCAACTGCATCGGAACAGATTCCTCCGGTGATGATATGACACCGCTCAGTTTCACGATTACCCAGAGAAAGCTACGTCCATTCAAGCTTTTACTCGCCAGAAAGGGTGTAGATGTCAACCTTGCACCCGGTGATAACGGGCGAACGCCGTTACATATTGCGCTAGGACAGAGCTTGGGCGAGTTCATTCAGCTGCTGCTCGCGAGAGACGACATACTGGTAAACAAATCCGATGACAGAGGAAGAACACCACTCGATATGGTAGACCGGTGGCCGAATTCGAAGGAATTCCAATGGGTTCGTGTCAAGGGTGGGAAGCGAGCCCGGGAAATCGCACTCGAAGCAAAAACCAGCACTGGCTCTACTCGATCTCCCCCCCCGCCCCGCCTCTCATTCCCGGCCTCCAGTACCCATATACAACGAGATGCCACCAGTGCTCCCGGAGAGGATGGTCTTTCGTTGATCGCTGCCGGCGGCTCAAGCCCAGAAGCATGCGTTACTTATCATCAGGATTCCCTCGCCAACGAGCCGGCTTTACCCGCTCCCCCGCCACACCCTGCAGGTCCTGCATTCTCGAGATCCCCAGCAGGTTGCGGACCCGATCCGCTGGGGAGTATCACGAACGAGCAAGACAGCAATGACGAAAAGAGAGGGGTGCTCGAGCCGTCACAATTCCAAGATACTATACTTGTTGAGCCGGCCCGCTACTATTACCGCAGCAAAGTGGCTACTTCTCTTCTTTTTTCTCTCTTTTGTGCGTTTTGTTTCATCAACTATATCTTTTTTTGAGGCACGTATCCCGGAAGAGTCTCTAGATATCCACTGGGTAGTTCTATTCAAGACGTGCAGGTAATAATGAGAGGGCGACCACGAATACCATATCCTAATATGTAGTACAAAGGGTCAGGAAGAAGACAATTTAGCAAGGAGCGAGTTAGGAATGGGAGGTTGGAAACTATGAACTGAACAAAGAAAACGCCTGTGTCTGTTGAAATCAAGAAAGGTCCCAGAATCTGCTGAGATTAAGAGTGGTGCCGAACCCGTTGAAAGAAGAAAAGGTGCATGCACAACCCGCTGCGATAAAGAAAGGTGGGCCCGCTGAACAAGTGCATGGCCCGGAAGCTGTTGGACTAAAGAAAGTTGTCGGATCCACTGATGGAAGGGCTGAAGCCTGGCATGAAGTTAACCCGGGAACTTCCATGGGGGGAAAAAGAAAACCAAAAACCCCTTTCTCATCCATATGACCCGTGACATGCTGGAAGAATTGAATGATAGGAAGTTAGATGTATGAAATGAAACGAAATCTAGGAGACTGGTGGAAGAAAAAAGTAGGTTCGACGTTCCATATCAGTGGAAGAAGGTCCGAAGGAGACAGGTAGGTAGCCCAGATTTTTATGATAAAGCAAAGGGAAAGGTTATTCTATGAAGGACCAAAGTGTGTAGATCATTGCGCTGTCCTTAGTGTTTCTGTAAGTGTTCGATTTTACTTCGAAATGATGAAGCTCACCTCTTGAACAGCGGATCTGCAGTACTGAATGAGTCTGCTATATATGGTGACAGTTGAGATAACCTAGTACACATATACCAACTTATTCTATAGCGCTATAGCCCTCCACGCTCAACCTACTACACCCCCCAAAATTCGAACTATAGAGAGTTTTAAAAGAGATGGTAGATAGCTCCGATGACTGTCTACGGAGTGGCTGTTTTGAATTCCTTAATTTCTTAATTTAAAGGGGTTACAGTCGACTGTAGTAGAGAGGCTTAGCAAATGTTTTTGCGTCTTTCTAGGAGAGCATTTTGATTTCTTGCATACCCGCGCACGGAGAAAAATCAACAGAAAACGAAGCATGACTCTCACGCCGAATTCTCTCACAACTATAATCATGGGAATTTTGGTATACAAGGATTACTACAATATCTCTAGGTTATGAGGAATATCTTCCACTGTGTTTGAGACCTTTCCTGTTTGTAGTACTCAAGAGGTGTATCTTCATAGTAATCAGACCTGTTAGGCCGGGGCTATATAGCCTCTTAGAAGAAAGGAAAAATATTCAAGAATTATTGCTATAAACCGCAGTCGCGATCGGTACCAAGAACAATTTTTCTTAACGTTCATTACACAGGTTTTGATAGGCCAGCCAGGGCCCGAAACAGGTCTGGACTCGTCCAGGCACACCAGACGAAAGCGGGGCCCGCCGGCTATCCCTTGGACTGGTGAGACATGCAGATTCCCCGACTTCCTGGTTAGGGTGTGGCAGAGTGACTTCGCCGTTGAGGAAATGATCATTTTTACAGAGGCAAAGTCACTTAGTCACCGCATATAGTTCCCCAGTGAGGACGTCGGGGAATCTGCATGTCTCACCAGCCCAAGGGATACAGGCTTAAGTCTAATAAAACATATGTGGCTGTTGCTTGGTGATAAATCTCATATTATTAGAAGATGTTTTCTTCATAAAGTCAAACGAGATATGGAATCTGATGGATGTGTTAAAATACACACCTATCTCGACCCATTTAAACAACCCATAAACCCGGGGCCGGCCTCAATCGTTTCAGACCAACCCTAGCCCATCATCGGATACCCCTTACCCAAGCCCGGCCGGCCCATATAGCCTCAGGCCTATCAAAACCTCTGTCTTAACCAAATGATCTGTGATAGGTTATTGCTAGACCTCTCTAATCGGTTTTCTGGGTGGGGGTTTTCTAGGTTTAGAGGTCATTATTAAAGGGTTAGGGCGGAATAATTAGGGTTAGGGGATACTGATTCCCACAGACATTAACTTCAACTTAAAGAACCGTTTGGTGTAGTTAACATTAATAGACTATATGGACTCAAGTAATCGTTTATTTTCTTTCCCTTTTCTTCCCTTTTCTTTTTTTATTTTATCCCCGCCGCAAGCTTGGTGGTTGTTGTTACCCCTCCGGATTGGCTCGCTTAAGGGCGATCTTTGTGGGGTCGCTGTTACACTAAGCGAGTACCTGCCAAGCCGGGCTATGATGAGCTATTCATGGTGTGGCGCACTGATGATACCGGCCGGGTAACTACGGATGTGTCACCTTGGCCCACTGTAACTCGATCATCACCAACCCGACCCAACCCAACCCATCACATCCCCACCCCCGACCATCACCCCCCATCACCTCACCTCCCCCCCCCCAACATCACATCACTCCTACGTACTGTCTTTACTTCATAACCATAGCGGTGCTGGAAGCGGGCGCGTCCGCTCTATCCCCTCAAGTCCTTGGATCATCCCACGTCTCGCTTAGGTTGCGACCGTTAGCCTGTGCGCCAAGCCCACACGTGAAACACAGGTCATGTCGCAGGTGGCTGGTTTCCTTAACCTCCCTCCCCTCCATCCCGACAGCATACTCCACCACCAAACCATACTACACCACAGTCTATATTCTCGCGTCCGGCCTGAGTGATGGTGCGTTTCCACAATCACCCCCCCTTCATTTTGTGAATGGCGATCTCGATACTAATTACCTGCCCTCTTCTCCGAGTCAGTCCCGTCGTCCTAGGATTCACCGTTATTTTTTGAATACCCCGCCGTCGGAATGGAACATAACCGATTTCCTCGATCAGCAGTCGCAGAGGAAAGACAAGCCTTATGACCACAATAAGGCGGTCGGCAGCTGGGCCACATCGCTCTCACATCTTTCCAAGGATGAAGATCCCGAAAGGGCGTCTTGCGCAAAGCAGAAATCCGAGAGATTCTATCTCAATAACTGCCGAGTAAGTCCCCCCCCCCCCCCAAACCCCTCCTCTTCCGCCTTCCCCACAATCCTCTGCCAACGTCCTTTCACCGGGCTACAGATAACTCTCGGGTTATCTGAGTTCCTGGCCCGGTGCCGCACTGAGTCGCAGACGAGTTTCGGGTCATCTGATTCTCGGCTCAGTTTGCGGGTCACCCATGGTTGCAGACAACTTTCGGGTTGTCTGGTCCCCCGGCCGTGTGGAGACGCAACTCGGTTACACTTGACTCTCGGGTCCTGTGATCTCTAGCCGTGTCACGCACCTGGTTACCACGTTGACTCTCGGGTCGGTGGATGCCTGGCCAGGTGTCCCGCTGGATTACAGGCGACTTTCGGGTCGTCTGAGTCTGGTCCAGCGGGGTTGGCAGTTGATTTCCCCCCCCCTGATGCAGCTCACTAACCTCCGATGCAGGGGCAGCTATCAGATCGAATGATTGCGCAGAACTGGCACGACAGAATGAGCAAGAACAAGAGGAAGAGGGAGTCGCAGCAGCCTCCGGGGGTGCCGGTGCCCGCGAGGCAGAAGATCCAGAATACCTTCAACATGCATGGGGCGACAAATAACGTGCTTGGGGCAGTAACTGCGGGGGTGGTGAACAACGGATCTGGAGGCCCAATCCCAGACGCAAACCTGAACCGCGAATCTCACCCCCTGGGCCCTACTAGGTAGTTGGTCCTCGGTGCTCGAATGTACCCGGATTTCTGTCGACTAACATACCGCCGCTCCAGTGAGAACGTGGGTGGCTCCAGTCCTTCTAGCACCGCCAGCGACCCGGAAGAAGGCCACGAAAACATTCACCTCCGGGAAACTCTCCGGAGCCTCGACCATTTTTACAGCAACATGGTCGACAAGTTTGCCCTGTCTGACGACCGATTTCTCGAAGATATCCTGTATAAGCATGCTATTGCGCTGGACGAGTTGAGCCCTGCGCACTTCTTCATTGTCGACGATGAACTTCTCGAAAGGATCTTGAAAACACCGGAGGAGAAGCAGGAGGTGTTGCGCGGGGTGGTGCGGTTCCCGTCGTTCCCGAAGAACTTGCGCAAAAGTATGATGCGGTACCGGGGCACAAGAACGACTGCTCAGTGTCGGGCTATTGCGCGGGATAGTCCCGATGATCAGGATATCCAATGGATTGACGATGTTTTTAGACATGTGTTTGTTCCCATCTCCTCACCCAACCCCTGAGATATGGAAACTAACTGCTGGAGGGGGTGCTGGGCGGAATAGCGTCGAGTTGATCACAAATTCGGGTAACATCCTGTCCTACGACGGCCTCAACGAAGGGGTATGGGACTCCCTCGTCTACCCTCCCTTGTGGGACAAATACCTCGCCAGCATTCACACCATGGTTCTGCAGCGGTATCCCCCCCTCCCCCGCCCACGAGGCATCCCGCTTCTCCACTAAACTCCGCCTCCCTCTCAGTAAGGAAATACCGCTCGTTGCACTTGCGCCATACGCGTACCTCCCCGGGCGCCCATCCCACTATGACGGCGTAGTCCAATCCCGCGCACTGCGCGGTGGCAAACGGCGCGGCGATCGCTACGAGTTTGCGGTCTTCGAGGTCACGCGCAGCAGCTCTGACACAAAGAAACTGAGTGCAGACCGCGAGAAGCTGATTGCAGGGTGCCGAGCTATGCTTTGCAGTCTGATGGAGCTGGTCGAGTATGATGCGGAGGCTATTGCGAAGCTCGTGGTTGTGGGTGTGTTACAGGGTGGTACGTGCGGTTTTTTCTACTGTTGCTCCTTTCGTCTATCGGGGGCTTGCTCAGGGAGCTAACAGAGGTGAATGATAGGGCTCGGAACGCGTCTCTTGACAATGTCGTGTATCGGCCGGAACGTGTTTTATCTCCGCGAGGGTGAATGCCGGTACCTGCCGGTAGATGTGAAGAATCTAACAGCGCTGTATGATGTTGTTCTTGATGTCTGGAAGGCAAAAGTGTGCTCCCTCCCCTTCTAGAGTGACAGATGAATAGGGCTCACAGTTCATTGGTGGTAGTGGGCGATTCAGAACACAGAGACGGCGATTGAGGAGTTTTTTGAGAAGAAACAGTTGCAAGAGGAGGAGGATAGGGAGAGAAGGTGGTTGGAGGGGGAGAGGGAAAGGGACACGGAGGAGGACGAGGAGGAAGAGGAAGACGGTGTGCAAGGGGAATGCGGTTAACTGGCCCGGGCTGAAAAATAAGGTTGATCTTGTCCAGCCCAGTGTACCTACTTACTCTGTGGCACGGCCCAGGATACATAGCCGGGTTCATGCCCGGGCTAGATAACCGGCCCATGCAAGGGTATTTCATTGTAGTCTAATAACTCACAAAATCCCGTTCCATATTGCAAAGCGAAGTATCTTCTGTTACTTTGCCCGCATTTATTCCTTGCCTATATTTAAGAAATTCATAAATGAATTCCGGTCCGGGCGAATAGGTTTAGCCCGCGCCGAGATCCTATCATACCCTGGCCTGCTCACTGAAAAAAGCCCTGGCCACCCACGCCAACCCCGACCCTTGTGTACGTGATTCTGTATTTCCATAGGGAGATCCTTGTAGTTTCAGGGCTGTTCATAAGTTGCTGCAGATCAAGGTTCTGAATGATAATCTGGGGATAGGTATCGATAAAATTCTGTGGTACATTCTATTCTACTAGGGGTGTGCCACCTCGCGACCGCGAGTTGTTAACGTAAATTATGTGGATTATGAGTATTAAATATCAATATTGGGACTCTGGCCTTTTACCTCCACGCCTCCAAGCTCCCCCCCTCGCCCACTTCACACTATTTCCACCTCCCTCCCGCTGCCTTCAATCCTCCCGCCCCAGCTCCCTCCAGCTCTCACTGCACACCCCCCCCCCCCCGGGTCCCCCCTACCTCTTCCACCTCTTCCGCCTCCACATCCACCTCGACCCCCTCCACCTCCTCGTCCACCTCCTCCACCGCCCTCCACACCTCCAGGTCCCCCTAGCTCCCAGTACTGCTCCATGTTAAATAGTTCAAGAAATTTATTATATTATAATGACATTCCAATTTTATCGTGTGCGACGTAGAGTTCATTTTTGATGGGGTGGGCTAGTTGCCATGTAGGAGCTAGTCAGGGTTAGGGGTAACGGCTCTCGATCAATCAGACTGCAAGCCCCTTCGAAAAATCATTAATCCAGTACAGGGGGTTGAGGATAAGTACTGAGAACCCCTTTTTGGGGAATTTTAAAAAGTAAGGGTTTGTAAAGGAATCTGATTGGCCTGATAAAATTAAAATGACACTTGGCAGCCAAGCAGGTATTTGGACAGTCTGCCCCGCAGCTTTTGCAATGCAACCTTCTCAACCTCTTTTTTATTACTGTTTTTTTCGAACTTCACCAAAACTTCTTTGATAACTTCGAATCAGTACTCAAGTTAACCTGTGAGTAAGGGCTATTCAGTGGTTATTTTTTTCTATTTTTAGGAAAATATTTGAATGTTTAAGTGAGGATAGATAAAACGTCTCGGTATCTTTTTTCACTATATAAATTTTGAGGCCAAGGCCAAAATTAATTGACTGCTTTTGGTTACAATGGGCGGTTTCCATACAAAATCAACCAATCCTTCAAAGCGACTGGGTATTTAATATTCACACACAGTATATAACAGAAAACTAGGGGTTTGCTAACTCGCGACAGCGACTTGTTAAGTTTAGATTACGAGTATTAAATAAATATTAAGATCAAAAAGCATTTAATAGAGGCAACTACTTCCGAAGCCCCGGCCCCCCCTACCTTTTCCACCCCCTCCGCTCCCTTCGCCACCTCCGACCTCTCTGCTCCCCCGCTGTTCTCCATCCAATCCATCTCCATATCCAATTTTTTCACTGTTCCACCTATTCCACCTATTCCACCTCCTCCATCTCCTCCTCCCAGTACTGCTAGTAAGATCATATCATATCATTAAATTAATTACATGATAATTATACATATATCTTTTTAAATAAATGTTAGGACGTGAATCGTACAGCTACTGTTGCTCAGCAATATCATGGGTTTTGGGTAGGGTTAGCTGCCTGCCATCCAGGAGTCGGTCAGGGTTAGGAGTCACAGCTCTCGGTGAACACTTTGAAAGGTGACACTCACAACTAGGACAGATATCAAAAATCTGTACACTGAAAGTAAACTTCATCACTACTACTACACTCTGATTGTACTGATTTCTTTTATGTTTTTTGGTGGTAAACGTTTTAGCGATTGATTCTTTGTCACTTTTGGTTATCTTTAAGATGGAGGTCATCGGATATAGTAGACAATACATGTATGCATATGGTGAAGCAAGCGGACTTGTTGTAGATGATAATTTGCATCATAAGAAATGGCTTCTGAAGATTCCAAAAATCTGTATATGCTAGAGGATTTGAATTCTAATACTTAACCATATCTAGATACGGTTGTGCAGTCCTCTCCCCTCACTTACATTGTTTCAAATTTCATATCTCTATCGACATTTAGTTCGGCAAAAGCAACCAGTGATAAGTGCAGTACTTGCATAATTTTTAAGTAACCCAAGCCACAATACCATTCAGGAATGCACAGTTGCCAAGATTCAATAATCACACCTCCATTTATACCTCAACAATACTTACAAGTCAGTAACCTTTGGATTGATACATCACAAGCTTTCACAAAACCACATAAATAACCTACATTAACAGTTAGAATATCCTTCTCATTGTAGTAGGTATCCGGCTACTATCTCTAAGGACCAGCCTCCAGCCGAATTTTCATGCCCTGATCATGCTGTGCGTTCGGTTCTTGGGGATGCAGCTATCTAAAAGAGACCCGTCTGAAGACTACCAGTAGTCAATCAGTTTCATAGCATTCATCGTTTTCAATTTCATTACGCTGTCTTCATCACCTATACAGACCCCTTGATCCCTGTACTTTTGCACAAGAGAACTGGATTATGGGATTGATATTCTTTACAGAGATGTTAAGGTTGACAAGATTAGCATTGAGTAAGTCAGGGTGTATACTGCACCCAGAAATTCCACTGTGGTGTATACTGCACCCAGAAATTCCACTGTGGTGTATACTGAATTAAGTTAGTTTTTAGTATTCTTGTAGTACATGGCCTTGTATCAAATCCTTCTTGTGCAGGGAGATTCGAAGATGCAAAAACTGTAAAGAAATATATGTGATTGAAAGAGTTTCTTCCAAAGTCATTTCCTAGTGCTTGTAGTATTGCTTATAATCACAATACCAATTACATTCGAAATGCATCAGTCAGATCTTTCGGGATCCGCAGGGAGCCAATGCTGAATTTCTTGAGTAATAAACGGAGAAAACCTCAAGTATGTTCTGAATCTCCATCATACTGATCATGGTCAGGCACCAGTACTATCAAAGATGATTTTAAATTAATTCACACTGACCCAAAATATATAGAAATAGTAAGGTTCAATTATTTTCCTCAGACACAACTTCGGTGTCATCCTAATTAACCAGATAGGTCAATAATATCCATTTTATAATAAATACTATTCGCTCCGCTGATTTTCTAAGGCACCAGTCTCTGTAACGGAAAAGGGAAATCATCCCGCATTATAGTCCATTCAAGAATCAACGTGAGGTGTGATATTTCTTGGAGTTCCAAATTATGGCTCCCACCTAACAAATGAGAGGATGATGGTTTCGTACTGCATACTCCTCCGCAGTGGACATCACCCTCTAGCACTGAAAAGCGCATTCGGGGTAGTATTTTCAAAACCCAATAAATCCGACTACAACTCTCCCACCACATATGCCATCATAGCCCTTCTTGGGGTAGTGTCCAGAATTCTTGAACACAGAATAACCTACCGACTACATCCCTTTACCCCCATCTCACGCTTCATACACCCCCATCAATGCAGATCTCTCAAAAGTCTATGCACGGGAGATGCTGCCAATAGCCTCATTCCCTGCACAAAACTACTACAAAATGTAGGCCTGAAAGTCTCCAACATCTTCCTAGATATTAAAAGTCGCTTCGACCATGTTAGGGCCAAGTAACGTTAGGGTTTGTAAGGGTTAGTTAGGGTTAAACTTCTAGTAGGGCAATGTCGGACAGGATTTTGAGGTTGCCCGGGAACCGTCACCCTAGAATTCCAGGCTCCGTGGCTATGGGTTGAACACGATGACCCGAGTCCATTCCCATCATCAGGTATGCGCATACAGGGGGTTGTGGTCATGATTGCGGGGGCGGAGGTAGTGGTTGGAGGCTGTTGAGTAGGGTAACTCACTGTGAGTCTTGGCAACCCGTCCTAGTTCACTCCCGGTACCGCCACTCACCGGGCGGGTACAATGATTGATGACTGCATGGTACCGAACACACCATCTCGAAGGCACGATCAAGACGGTGCTCGCAATTCAATGATGCCGTGTTTCCCCATCCTCTGCTTCAATGGAATACATATATTTCGGATTCTGAACTCTGGGTTACCGCATTGGGTGAATCCCACTATTTGTCTCCGCTGTCTTCTTACACTCTCGGATTCTGTACTACAGGTCATCGCTTTACTAAGTTTCAACGCTCGCAACCCTAACTACCCACCTCCAGGTTCCAACCACCACCAAATACACATTGATCTATTACATTTTGACCAAAACTTGAATTTTGTACAAATAGAATAACAACGACCTGAAGAAAAATAGATAGAAAAGTATGACTTCAGTATTCTGTCCTACATTCTAATTTCGATACGTAACCATGAAGGTTGCAATTACTAGTCTTCGGGTTGTATCATATTATTATTCTAGACACTACTGACCAATATTGAATCGCTGGATAGATATGCATGTCTACTAGGACAGCATGTAAAGCAAACAGTAATGGTGAAATTGGTTACTACTGTTTGTGATAGCTTGAGAGGTATAAATATCAATCGAAACAGAAAGTGCATCAGAGTTTGCAATTGAGATTTGTTGGTATGGTTTGCTATGATTCGGTTTGTATGCACACTTGTTGTGACAGAATGTAAATCAGGAATAGGAGATAAGATTTGTGAGGATTTTTGGCAATCGCTTGATACGTATGCACATAAATCGGAATGGCAAATAAAGTTTATACCGATAAGAAAAGCTTTCTGTATGATTTTTCAACACTAAATAGGAGTCGATACCTGTCAGAAAAATATTCGAATCAGTAATTACCAGTGAAATTGGTTGATATCATTAATAATTGGTTCATACTTATATGTTCTTATCAGAACAGCAAATTTAACAGTTATTGACAAACAAAAACTTTTGTATTATTTACAATCGTTTCATAGGTATGTATCAGGACAGCGAGTGTATCAGAAATTCAAATTCTCATTTGTTACAATCGTTTATGAAGGTTTGAAAGCTATGAATATTTATTAGCACAGTAAAATACTGGAATTGATACTCAATGTATTTGATGGCTTGATTGATATACCATGTTCTGGATCAATATTGAATGGATTGAGTACTGCACTACGGTTTGCAAAATATCTTCTCACAAAACACTAGGTTGTGGCTTGCCAATCAATTCTGAAGATATACAATCTATGATCATATTCTGAACTTGAGAGTGAACAATATTCAGCACTTATCTCTAAAACTCATTGTTTTAATTGATAATAGTCTTCATAACGTGTATCCTGATATTTTGTATTTTTGTAAACAGGTAGGAATTTGACAATGTCCGCAAGATAACATCTCTTCCACCTCACCTACCTATTAACAGTATGCGCCCGAATTCCCCCAAGCCTTTAGAATTAGGATTATGGGTGCTTTTAATTGAGAATTTCATATTTAAGCTGACTGGGGGTCAGTATAACACTCAATCCCTTGAGCGTTCTCAGTGTAACCCAATTCAGATCCTAAAACCTTGTCCAATTTCATAGATCGATTGAATAATATAGTAGGTTACAAAGGGTCGAATTGATCAGAAAAATTCTATGGATTTCTAGAAGATTCCGTCGATTTTAGGGGTATGAGTTACTTGGGATTTGTCATTGCTAAGCTTTCTTTATGTATATTAAGGGGCTTTGCCCTCGATTCTATTCTCTTTCCCTCTCTTTTCTTCTCTTTCTTTTGGTACGCAAAGGCTTAGGTAATCTACGCTGGCTATTGCTATTCAAGTACTATTTTCTCTTCCTTTATAAGGAGACCATCTCACTTCTCCGACCTTCCCACCGCTAGACCTAAACTACTGTAAGTGTCTCCAACCCCTCTCGCTGATTAACCTACCAGCCCCTATGACCATTTCCCGTACCCTGCGGAATACTCGCTACCCAACTCCCTAGGATTACGTTGCGTCGTAATCCGCACCATACGCCATGTCCACCCCCAACTGACCTACATGGATGTCATTTAACAAAATCGAGCAGTTTAACCATCAGTACGAATAGAATACTGCTGCCCTGTTTGACCACCTCCCTACTATGTTTTAAAGCTTCCGACACGAGAGGGATAGTGCTCATACACTGCTCTCCGCCGCCCACAAAACCATTGACTACCTGGAAGAGCAAGTAATACAGGTCAACCTTGACCTCACTGTTGACCACACTGCCTCTGCCCCAATGTTCCTGTCCCCATTTTCGCTGCTACTGCACCAACCACTTTCTCCACCTTTGGGTCTGAAACGTTCTCTGAAAAGTTCGATGATATCCGGACCAAAATCCCCGGATTTGCTACCCAACTCCGAATGAAGCTCGAAGTCAACCATAATCATTTCCGCAATGGGACAGCAAAGGTTATCCATGCAGTCAACTGTTTGGAGGGAAGAGTCCGTGATCAGGTCATACAACTTGTTAAAGCCAATCCTGCTGACTTCTTTTCCTCCGTCACCTTCTTCGTGGCCTATATGGAAGGCTCATTTAGAGAACTAAACACTCAAAGTACCAACCACCGCCAACTCGTCCCCCTGAGGCAAGGCAAAGGAGACTTTGCCACCTACTACTCACAGTTCATCAGAAACATGTCCCACTTGCATTACAACAAAGGAGTCAAGATTGACCAATTGCCGGAAAGATTGTCGGACAACTTTAGAGACGTCATGACATATCGAACGGACAGACCCAATATGGTGGAAGCATATGCGACCATGTCAGTGACGATCGACAATCACATGTAACTGACGTGCTATGATGAGGCACAACCGTGACTTCCTTTCGAATAGTGTATATAAAGAGAGTGAGTTTTGATGATACTCGTTCAGAAAGAAGAAAATGGCAGTTTGTATGTTTGAACGTTTCCAAGTCTAGAAAATTATAACTTTAATGGGTCTCCTCTCCATTAAAGATTCGTTGATGATGAGAGGCCAACCTGGGCCAACACCGAGTGCCTTATAGGAAAATGGAACGTTTGCTCAAGTTCTTTTTCCGACTGACAATCTGCCTGTTGATAGGCGGGGGTACAGCAACTGTTTTTTGTCAAGGGAGAGGAGAGTAACTACGACACCTTGAATGAATTTCTGTCTGAGTCAAATCATGCAATTTGCTGAAAGCTGTGGTCGGAATCTTAAGAACTATTGGAAACAGCCGACAAGATAATAATTGTTTATTCTAACTTTATTAGAACTGATTTGAGTGTTTGTAAACCGAAGTTTTCCTTTAGTAGCTTGAATCGCACTCCCACTCCCCAAAGATACTCCGGAGCAAAACAGGAGCATTCCGGCAGTTTGACACTGCGGAGGTTAGTGTTGGGGATTAAAACGTATTTTTGGAATTAGATTTTCCATTAGCTCCGGCACACCGCCAGAATCATGTCTGTAGTGCTAAAGCATGATCTTTGAGCGTCGGTTGCAGAGATATGAAACCTCAAAGATTCGACTGCATAGGTAGGGAACTCCGGTCCTGGGTTCCCTGTGCTATCAACCATCTTTATACTTCGGTTCCAAGCTTGCTCAGCCCCCTACTTTTGACTTGTAAAACTTCTTACTCATTGAGATCCCTGTCCTCTATACGAATAAAAGTACGAGCCCAACTGCTCTTGTCTTCACACATCGATAAAGAACAAGCTGCTGTTACTTAAGGTCGGTGGCTTAACTGATGGAATAGGTTCTTTTGTAACAGCCTCATAGTGGCACTGTTACATTACTCCCCTCTATAGTAGACTCATTTTGACTCCACTGTAGTGTTACTGGAATATTAGTATTTGGTATAGAAGAAAAACAGTAGCTCTAGTGGTGATTACGTACAAACTACATGTCTGTTTCTATCTCCATCAGAGAAGAAAACCTCTAAAATGAAATGCCTTTTAAAACAAAGAAAATGACATATTGTCCACTCTTGTCGTAGAACCTTCCGTTCCACTAGTGGAGATTTCGATGTTGGCAAAAATCTCTCTTCTTCCCTTGTCTTTTTACGCGGGTTTCCACACGCATCTGTTTTCTATCGTTTCTTGCATTGTTTTCAGGGAAAAAATGGTATCCGAACTCTGTCAGACAGATGAAAAACCCGGTACCGGAGAGTTGGTTTTTGTTCCCAGATTTCTTCTGAAATACAGAGCTACTCACGCTGTGTTTTGAGGATCCCTAAAGTTTCACCATATTTTCCGAGGTTTTTGCGGGTATTTTTGATGAAATACTTTCAGGGCGTCATCGGGTCTTCCTTGCAGAATTTTATATAGTTCCCAGGAGTCTTCTGAATGATAGCTCTCCCAAACAATACGACACTCTACAAACATTTTCTAATGCTCAGCCTGTTGCCATCGGCTATTAGCTATTTCTTGGAGAACGTGACTGTATTCTCTTTCGACCTCATCTGGAGTAGGAGGGACTTCAGTGCGTTGAGGGTATTTCAGTCCCTGATAGGAGTCCAGCAGAAATATTTGGAAGACATCATGAATGTTCCATTGAGAGGGAAGCTTCAGCCTGTAGAACGCAACAACAAGTTTCTCATCAACCTCAAAGAGACATAGTTTCTTGTAGTCAAACTTGCTTGAGGGTCGATTGGCAACCATATTGCGTCGGTCCATCATCACCTTATTCCCATCTTTAGGTTCCGGAGGTTTCATATGCTTCTGGTCATACCATTTCTTCTGCCGGGCCTGTGCCTGAAAAATATCAGTCCTCATAGTTTTCCAAAGAGCTTTCCACTTGAACTTTAGTACAGCGCTGGAAACATTGGCATTGTCCAGCTTCCTTCTGCGGGAATGCCAATTGAAATCAGGCTCGAACCCATAGTTCGCGTAGAACTGAGATACTTTAGTGGACTATTGGGTTGCCGTTTTGTAGGCATACTGTGCAAGCGGCAGTAACCCTGCCCAATCGTCCTACTGGTAGGACCAAAAGTTTCTGAAATATTGCTCTAGCGTTTGATTGACCCTCTCAGTTCACCTGTCAGCTTGAGGATGACATGCCGTAGACAGACAAAGGTTGACTCCGAGAAGCTTGATCAATGAATGCCAGAACTTGCTTTCGAATCTGAAGTCCCGATCATAAATGATTACTTCGGATAGTCCATGTAGTCGCCATATTTCTTGATGGAATATATACGAAAGTTCCTTGATTGTTGCCTCGGTCTTGAGCGGTATGAAGTGGGTGATTTTTGTAAAGCGTTCAACAATAACCCCGATATGGGTATAGGCTTCAGATTCTGGCAAACTAACGAAAAGGTGCATAGAGATGGAGCTGCAAGGAGTATTGGGGACCTCTAACTGTTGTAGTATCCTGTACTTCTCATGACTTGAGCTTTTATTGCTTTGACAGGTATCGCAACTCCATACGTATTCTCCCATATCATTGTCCATTTTTGGGCAGAAGAACAGTACCCGAAGATGCTCTGCAGTTTTGAATTGACCCAAGTGGCTTGCGGGGTTCGAATCATGTAGGGCACTCATGAGTTTTGGTTTGAGCTCTTGGTGATTTGAGACGTAGCATCTTTTCTTCTAAAAGACTTCACCGTGTCTCCAAGTTAGGTTTCGGTCTACTGGCTTACCGAAGGTATAATCCACAGCCTGCTCCAAGGAGGATTACTCAGGGCCTGAAGCTGAATGAGGCCGGATTTTGTCCAGAAGCACCGGTGTGAGTTTGCAGACCTGAGGTGATTTTGGCCATGAAGATTTGATCGTAACGATCGGTGGTTGTACAGAAACCATTCTGCCAGAGCAACTTAGGACAGGATTCTTCGGTTGGGCGAGAACCGTAGCCGTACAATTCCCGATTCTGTTGCTGTACGTTGGCCAAAACGAATAGAATCCATCACCATCGTTAGGTATGCGGGTAAAAGGCAACATGATTGTGATATCTGGAGTGGAGGTAGTGGGTGGGGGCTGTTGAGTGTTAGCTCGTGTAACCTAGTGCTAGGGGTAGATAGGGTTAACTGGGATGACAGGCCAAACAAGGGTTACAGCCCAAATCAGGGTTAACTAGGGTTAGTTAGGGCTAGTTAGGGTTAGTTAGGGTTAGTTAGGGTTAGTTAGGGTTAGTTAGGGTTAGTTAGGGTTAGTTAGGGTTAGTTAGGTTAGTTAGGGTTAGGGTTTAGGGTTAGGGTTAGTTAGGGTTAGTTAGGGTTAGTTAGGGTTAGTTAGGGTTAGTTAGGGCTAGTTAGGGTTAGGGTTAGTTAGGGTTAGTTAGGGTTAGTTAGGGTAGTTAGGGTTAGTTAGGGTTAGTTAGGGTTAGTTAGGGTTAGTTAGGGTTAGTTAGGGTTAGTTAGGGTTAGTTAGGGTTAGTTAGGGTTAGTTAGGTTAGTTAGTTAGGGTTAGTTAGGTTAGTTAGGGTTAGTTAGGGTTAG